CTAATATGAGATTTGAATTGCTTTGTTTCTTAATCAACAGATGGCGCCCTATTACTTAGACCAATTACTCATTTTGATCCGAAACTCAGAATGAAACGCAGCAAAAGTGAACCCAGGTTTTTATTGTGTTCATTCTTATCATAATCGAGACAAACATTTATAAAATCTTAATTTTCTACTCACCGTTCAGACGATCTAAAACACCAACTCAGAATCGGCCCTCCACCTCGTATAGAAAAATTTTCGGCCAAAATTCCGCTGACAAAAAACACACGCAATTTTCTCCCTTATCTCTTTCAAAACACTCACACACTGATCAAAACTAAAATGAAATCTCTTTCCTTCGAATCATACTATCCCCTCTATTATTACTTGTATTATTCTATTCTCTCAGGTAGTCGAACCTTTCAGGGTTTCAAGACAATAAAGTTTACGACAGTTTCAAAACATTTATTTTTCTATTGAATACAAACCAGTAAACTATTAAAAAACAAAACTTACAATTTATAAACTGAAAACTAAATAATTAAATAAATCAAAATTTTTAACATTTTATTCGATCAGTTTACACAGTTAAAAATTTTTATTATTATTAATTCTATATAAATAACAAAATTAAAATGAATTCAATTTTTTTGTAAATTTGTATTCTTTATTGCATTTTTTAAGGTTGGAACTATAATAGTGGCATTTATGGAGGGAGACATTGAAGTTACTTTAAAAACAATTCCAACTATTTTATTTGATTGTATAATATCTGCAAATATCATTTTATGGATAATTAATTTCACAAGAGTAAGTTTTTTAATCAAATTTTCTTTGTTAATTTAAAAAAAAATTTGATTAACTAAACAGTTTAGTAATATTAAAAAAAATATATATATATATTAAATTTAGTTGTCAAGGCAAAACATTTTTCTTCATTTTTAATTTTGTTAAATTACATTACTTATTGTTAGTGCAGGTAATAATTTTTACTCGAATATATATATATATATATGTATGTACACGGAAAAAAAGAAAAAGTAACTTTTACTACTTTAAAAGTAAAATTGGACCTGTCCGAAGTTTCTGCGCATCTCTGGCAACTTTTACTCCAAAAATAGTAAAATTTACTTCAGAAATAGTAAAAATTACTACGGAAACAGTAAAATTTACTACAGAAATAGTCAATTTTACTATTTTTCGAGTAAAAGTTGCCAGAGATGCGCAGAAACTTCGGACAGGTCCAATTTTACTTTTAAATTAGTAAAAGTTACTTTATTCGTTTTTCCATTTTTCTCCGTGTATGTTTCTTATATTTTTTTCAGATAAAAAAAATTCTTAAAAATATTTATTGCACTTGGCAATACTTTCTTCCTGAGGAAAGATTAATATTGGAAAAATATGCTGATAAAAGTAGAAAGAACACTGTAACCTATGCCTGCAAGTGAAAAAACTAATTTCTATTTTTCACGTACCATTTATAGTAAATATGCACATTAAGCAATTTTTTTTTGAAAATTCTTATACCGGATTTTTATTGAAAAAATTGTTGTTGTATTATGTATGATAAATAATTATAAACATATTTAATAAAATTATTAGACACTTTTTAATAAAATTTCAGGGAGTTTATATGGATCTCTTATTCCATACATGCTTTTTGAATTATATTTAATTTTAACAAATTCATTTTCACATACAACGGAGACAACAATGCAACTTCTTTATCCAGTGAAACATTTCTTCAATATTGAAAATTATTTTTACTATATTCTTGCAATGACATATTTTGGTACATTTGCTTTAATCAGTGCATTTGTCGCTTTCGATACAATATTTGTCAGTTTCATTCAACATGCTTGTGGAATGTTTGCAATATTAGAGTAATAATATTTAAAACAAAATTTATGATGTTAAATTATAATATATTTATTATAATATATGGGCATATCTCTAGAACTTTTAAACTTTATGTTATCGCTCATTATGATACCTTAAGAATTTTTTTAATAATTTTTCAATACCATAATTTGACCAATTATAGGGCTTTTTAAATGTATCATATGTTATATAATTTTTTTAATTATGTAGGAAATGACGAACGTAAGTTAAAGTAAGTATTAACTAATAGATATGTTTAAATCTGTCTGATATTTCTCACTCGAATGTTTTTGGGGTCGCTGCGACTACTAATCTGAATTTTAAATTTTCCAAAATTCAAAATGGCGAATCCAATATGGCGGACGACTTTTTAAAAAAGTGATCCCATTGGCCTCAAATTTGTTACTCGGGGGTTTTTGGGGTCGCTGATTATGAATCTGAACTTTGTTTTTCAAAATTCAAAATGGAGGATCCAATATGGCGGATGACTTTTAAAAAAATTGATCCAATTGGCCTGAAATTCGTTACTCGGGGGTTTTTTGCGTCGCTGACTACGAATTTGAACTTAGTTTTACAAAATTCATAATGGCGGATTTAATATGGCGGATGACTTTTTACAAAATTGATCCCATTGGCCTAAAATTTGTTACTCGGGGGTTTATGGGGTCGCTGATTACGAATCTGAACTTAATTTTTCAAAATTCAAAATGGTGAATTCAAAATTGCAAACAAAATTTTTTAAAAAATTTTTAAAAAATTAAATTTTATAAAATTCAAAAATTGTTATAAACTACATTTACTTATGACTTTATAAGCCATAGGACATAAAATTTTCGAAACTGTAGCATTAAATCATTTTAAAGGTAACAAAAAGTAGTAGCGACCCAAAAAACCCCCGAGTAACAAATTTCAGACAAATTCGATCAATTTTTTAAAAAGTCGTCCGCCATATTGGACCGCCATTTTGAATTTTGAAAAACTAACGTCGGATTTGTAATCAGTGACCAAAAAAATCCGCGAGTATTTTAAACACATCTAGAGATTTTGGGCAGGTTTTTTGCAATAAGGCCCACTGTGCTGCGTAACAATGTGTAAAAATGAGTTACGCAAATTTTTTTATAGTATTTGATCAATACTGAAGACAATAAAATTTGTTTCACGAATGTGCCCTGAAAAAAAAAATTAATTTTTCTAATATCTCAAAGTTTAAAAGTTCCAGAGATATGCCCATATATAATAAATAATATTATAATATTATAATATTATAATAAATGTTAAATTTCTCTAATAAATTTTCTCTATTATCAAAATAATGTAGTAATCCATATAAATAAGAACTTATTAATTAGATAATTTGCATGTTTTAATTTTTCTTAAAGAAAATTACATGTTTAAAAAGAGAATATATATTTAATCATTTTACAGAAAACGTTTGAAAAATATAACTGTAGATAGTGTCACTTTTGTTAAGCAGAATGATAGTAAAAATCAAAACAACATTTGTAAAATTGTTATTGGATGCTTGACAGTACATAAAATTATTATTGAGTAAGTTTTTTTTTTGTGGAAAATATAAACTTTTTAGGTTGCTAGAGAATTTAAAAATTTTAAATAACATTTAATTATGCAAATAATTTTAATTAAAATATTTATTAATAAGTTTCTTAATTTTTCAAATATTAATACGATTTAATTATTTAGATTTTCAGATTTAGTTAATTCGGCATTTTCTTTTGGATTACTATTATCAATTACCTTAAATTCCGTTCTTTTAAGTTTTACATCATTTTGCGTAAGATCAAGTTTTTTACATATATATATGTAAATTATAAAATACTGTTTAGATTAAATACTTGTACTGTCAACTGAAAGCATGTAGCAAAATTAAATCATACATTTTAGGCTCGTGAATACCTACATAGTCCTACTATTTTCGGGAGATACATGATCTTGACTTTAGTTGAGATTTTTCATCTATTCCATAAATTTTGGCAATGTCAAACATTAATTGATCACAGTATTTTGTTTAGAAATTCTATGTGAGTATTCCCAGATGGCATGTAAGATTACAGCAGCCTTACGGCAAGCTTGCCGCGCAGTATTGCCAACCTTGAACGGAAAACTTGCGGCAACCAACACAGCACCGATAATTCCCTAAAGCTTCACTGAATGTTTTTAGGTTACCTTGGGAAAGTTTTATCTCCGAAAGATGGTTTAAATCTTAATATGTCCGCATGTGAGCAAATGTTTAAAGCGAAACTAACATATCAATTAAAAATAACTCAAAATAAATTTACTTTTAGGTTATGTTTGAAATAACTGAAAATTATTCCAATTATTTTATTGTTTCAGTCACGTTTTATATTGTATTTTAGTAAAATTTCATTAATATTTTTCCTTGTACAAGTTTTTTTCAGCCGGGACCTTACGTGCTATCTGGGTTAGTAATAATAATAATAATAATAAGCACTCAAATTAAATAACTATAATGATATGATTTCAGATATGATTCAAATTGGTATGACGCATCACCTAAAACAAAAACAATTCTATACATTATGTTAATTAGGTCTGAAAAAGTGTGTAAAGTAACAGGAGGAAAATTCTTTGACATGTTTTTTCACACTTTTTCAAGGGTATGAAAATTTTTGTGAAATATGCAAAAAAATTTTGTTAATTTTAAATAGCCAGATTCAAAATTAAACTCTATTTATCCAATACTTTTTAACTTTACAATAAAGTTTAATTGTAATTTTTTTTTACTTTCCAGATTTTAAGTGCAGTTGCTACATATTTTACAGTTTTAGCAACTATAAAATAATTATCAAAATTTTCTACAAAGGACAAATTAATTTCTAAAAATTATTAAATAATTAAAATTTTAGTCTATTTTTAAACCCCTTTCCTCTTATTTTGCAAATTAAGAATAAATTAAACTAAAATCTTGGTAAAATATATATAAATATTTGTCTTTATCTTCATTGATTATTTTTTTTTAGACATAAATGAAAGAATCATAAAAGAAAAACAATTTAAATTCATTAAGAGGTTCAATAATAAACTTTATTTAACGTTTAAAAAATTGATGATTTATTTGCAAATTTTTAAATAAAAAATAATTTCTTTAATCGAAAATTCAAAACAACTGAAATTTATTACTAGGCAATGCTACAAAAATTATATCTAATAATTATATTTTTACTACACTTAATCCTTGAAGTACTTCATCAACCACTAAACATTTAAAAAAAAGGAGAATCAAATGAAAGTCGCATAATAAAAAGTTCCATTCTATCGTCGCACAGTCATCAATACAGTAAAGTAAGACATTGATGTTTGAAGAACCTATAAGTAGTAAAATATAAATAAAAAAATTGAGAATAACTATCTAACATTACAAAAAAGTGATACCCACTGAAAATTTTTGTACTTATAATCTATTTACACAAGAAAATGTAGAAGTTCACCTACTGAACTTGTACATTTTTTTTGTATAAGCATTTTCAGTATGGTAAAAATAATAATATTTCAATTTTGAAATGTATATTTTTTTACCTTTGTAAAAAACTGCAAAGAAAGTGTAAACATTCCTCCAACAACAAATTTTGTAGGTTCAGCGCCCTTTCTCATTATAATAAGTAACGACTTTTTATTTTTGGATGACAATTGATACCAATTTGCACTGTATCTAATTTAATTATAATTTAATATCGACAGTTCAATTGGTTGAGAAATCTTTTTTTAATGAATTAAAAAAGAATTAATTAATAAAAATAATTTTTTACATGCAGCTAGAAATACAAAGGCTTGTATCCAATAAATGTTGAGTTGGAAGAGTTAAAAGAAAAATATGAAAGATTTGAGTAATTGCATAAAATCCAAATCTTAAAGCTTCACTGGCATTATTTATAAACATCACAAACTAAACCACAATTTAACATGAAAGCAAACACTAATGTTATATTGTTCTTTAATTTAACATCTTGAGAATACTGCGTAGACAAGGCAATGAAAATTAAATGATTAAAATCATCATCATGATAAATTTTTTTATCGCATGCATTATTCTCAATATAATAACTGAAGAAAAAAGTTATTACAATATGCTAACAATAATATTTACATAATCAATTGAAATTATTTACCTGAACTCCAGTGATGCTTAAATCGATAATACAAAATCCAAATATTAAAAAATATGCAGTTGATAGGAAATTCTCAATATCATTGACAAATCTCGGAAAGTAAAATATTTCAAATAAAAAGAAAATAAGAAATATAATTTAAAAAAAAATTTCATTAAACTTCACTTAAACGATTCTTTAGAATTTCTATATGAATATTTGTTAATATTTTATAAAAAGAATACCTTTTTTAATAATAATCGTTTTGATAAATTATTTATTAATTCTTTTTCTTAAGATAATTAAAATAAAATTATTTTCAAGTTTAGGATTTATGTTCTTTCTCTATTGAACATTAACTCGAATTTATGCAAAAAAATAATTCTATAGAAATTCTATAAAATATTTTAAATAAAAATTGTGTTATACAAACAATAGAACTCTTTTATGCATTTTCACACAAAGTATTATTTCTCGATGAATATTTTCTTTCAAACTTAGTTTATTATTGTATTCTCGACGTTCCTCAAGAGCAGTAGTCAATTTATGCCTGTACAGAATTGTTTTATAATTTAAAAAAAAAAATTAGTTCAGATTAGGCACTTTAGATTAAGCATTGGTGATTGAATATTTATAATAATAAATATATATATATATATATATATTATTTATTATAATATGTACATAAAAAAACCAATCTCATTCAGGAGAAAAAAGTAGTTTTCTTACATTATGGCCAGGTCCAAGTGAGGGAGCGCCATCTACATTGAAACTAAAATTTTGGAAAATTTTCAACAGCCTTTTCTTGAAAACAAGAAGGTAAAATGCTTTTTCCTTTATGGATAATTGATTATTGGCAAGATATACACCAGCTAAAACTTTTTTTGAGTTAAAATAATAAAAAAAATTTCATGTCAATAAATTAAATATGAGCACTTTTTTCACAAAAACTGTAACAGTACTTTCTCAGAAATTACAATCAAAAATGCAATTTCCATTTGGAAAATTAATAAACGCTAAATAATACACGACCTAAGATTTACCAATCAAGAAAATAACAAAAAAAAATTTTATTAAATATTTAACATATTGATACTGCTTTACTGATTGTGACAGCCCTTTGGTAGATTATGTATTTCAGGTGGTTAGCAACAGCGCCAATCTCCTCCTTTCGGGAAAACCGCGAAACGTCTGGTGACCTACATAACCTGCCAAACGGCTGTCACAATGAGTAAAATATGTTATGTTAAAATACTTTTTTTTTGTTATTTTCGTGATTGGTAAATCTTAGGTCGTGTATTTTTTATCGTTTATTAATTTTCCAAATGGAAATTGCATTTTTGATTGTAATTTCTGAGAAAGTACTGTTACAGTTTTTGTGAAAAAAGTGCTCATATTTAATTTATTGACATGAAATTTTTTTTATTATTTTAACTCAAAAAAAGTTTTAGCTGGTGTATATCTTGCCAATAATCAATTATCCATAAAGGAAAAAGCATTTTACCTTCTTGTTTTCAAGAAAAGGCTGTTGAAAATTTTCCAAAATTTTAGTTTCAATGTAGATGGCGCTGCCTCACTTGGACCTGGCCTTAAAAGAATTTCCAGCATGAATGATATTGATGCTTTTCTTTAAAAAAAATTTGTACTTGTAAAATTTTTAACATTTGCATAATTAAATTTACCCAATAATTTCAAATATTCCACAAGCATGTTCAAGTAGCATAGAAAAAACCATAGCTCCATTTACATTCAAAGTAGTTGTTATGTAACTACATACGTGACTATATATCAATATCAAATAATAATATTTTTCTGGGTCAATACCTAAGTCCAAAAGAAATATAATCGGTCTAGGTGCACTACTATCTCTAAAAAAGCCAATCAGTAGTAAAATAGTACGTGAAAACAAGTAAACTGTAACACTTCCAAAAAATCCAACTGAGAAGAAGGATGTATTTTATCCTACATATAAATTTTAAATAATTTTTCAATATGTCATTGTATTAAAAGTGTCTTTACCAATATAAACTATATTATACAATTTACATCTTTTGCCATATTTGTGTAAAATATAGGTATCATGTTTTGATGTTAACGTTTTCCAATCACTTTGCATTTTTAAAAAAACTACATTCATCTAAAACAAAATTTTTCTTTATATACATTATTTAGGGGCTAAAAATAAAAAATTACACAGGACTACAAAAAAAAGTATCCTACGCGGAAGAGCAGAATACAATAATCCTGTACTGAGAAAAAAGGTTTGAGCTGACAACCAAATATTTCATTCAATATATGTGCAACTAAAATTTTTTGGTTGACACAACTAAACTTTAGTTGACAACAACCAAAGTTTGTTTCAGACGACTAAATAAGAAAATGAAAAAGAATTTGGTAGTTTCAACCAAACTTTGGTTGTATCAACTAAAGTTTAGTTGTGTCAACCAAAAAATTTTAGTTGCACATATATTAAATGAAATATTTGGTTGTCAGCTCAAACCTTTTTTCTCAGTGAGTATACTCTGCTATGCCGCATAGGAAAATTTATCTTTAATGGTTGAATTTAGTTACTTGTTTTTGTTGGACATTGTTGTTTATTAAAATAATAAAACTTATTGAACTATAACATACTGGTGGAATACACTCCAGTACTAAATCAATATTCCCAAATACTTTTATCAATCCTGCAATCTATATTTAGTAATTAATTATTTATCTTAAAATTACTTTAATAAAACATAATATTACCAGAGCAAAAATACAAGACAATATTGTCAAGAAAAAGAATGATTTTATCAAAAATTTTAACCACTTTGGATGATATTGACTTTGTCCAGATACTATTATAATATATTTAGTTAAAATATAGTAAGGATTCTCTAATATGTCCATTTCGCTTCAACGTTTACGTAATATTGACAAAAAATAATGTGAGATTTATTCCTGCTTAGCAACACCCTTATACATTGTACAAATATCACTTTTACCAATCAAATATTCATGTACACGCAAACAGTTTCTTGAGTTAATCGTTTCTGTTATTTTTAATTATACTTATGAAACATTTAATTACAGTCTGCAAAAGGTTCTTACTTTGTTTCTTTATAAAATTTTAATTTTATCAGCTGCTATAGCAGTGTCTATAGATTCTTTAGGTAAAACTTAAGAGAGTACCAGTCTTGCTGTAACTTTCAATGATCTCACTTCACTTGTCAGATTAACTCTTAGCTTTCTATATATAGTTCTGTTTGGAAAGTGGAAAAAAGAATATTTTTATCTTCGACTATTCGCTTTATCAGAATTCTTAATTTAAATTCATGCCTTCTTCTCATCACACTTGGAACATTTATCATTATAAACTGAGTTTAATTTTCATGAAGCCAAAGATGACAATTATTTTTCGCTCGTCTTCCTCAATAATTACACCCGGTAGTATTTCCTTATTTACACCCAACAGTACAAGTTTACAGCACCCAGGTATCAAATTCTCGAAAATCCCCACTCTGCCTCTCTTCGGCCGGTGTCCTCTCTGATTACCTCACTTCGTTATTTGTACCCGACAGAACAACACGAAAAATTTAATAAGTAGAAATGAAACGTGCTAAATACAATAATCGTGACCGTAACCAAGATCGATCTAAACATCACCGTGATCGTGCTAATAAGAAAAGAAAATTAGATGCTATTTTGGAAGAGGTGCGACGAATTAGAGATGATATCTCTAATTCTACTAGTGCGAGTAAATACGACTCCTCGTCATCATCATCATCTGCAAGAAGGTAACAATCGATTTTCGCTATAAAATCAAAAAAAAAAAAAAAAAAAAAAGGCCTCGCTATAGGTCCAGAAAAAATTACAATTATAAAAAGACTTCGCTATAAGTCTATACCTTATAATATTTTATATATATATATATATATAATATTATAATTGTATACGAAAAAGTTACAATTATTCTTATAAAGTCTCGCTATAGACTTCAGAGACTCACTACATTAATTTTATTATTGTAGGCGATACTGAGGAAATGACACATTCTTCGGGCCCAACTGTGGAGACAAACAATGAACAGGACAAGGATAAAACCACAACAACCGAGGAAAACCCAAATATACTTATTGACCTGCTCGGCTCAAATCCCGATAATTTAAATAAACAAATTGACCCTTTACATGAGGAAATATGTTTGCGTTGGGATGTATACCTGAAACAAGGATTAAATAAAGAACAAAAGGAGGAATTAATGAAAAAATATCCAATTTTTGAAAACTGCAAACTGATGACACCACCTAAATTAAATGCAGAAATCCAACAATGCATGGATAATAAAGCCACACGACATGATCAATTTTTGGAGAAACTCCAACTTCAAACTGCCCATGCCCTATCAGCAACAGGAGTTGAATTAAATAGAGTTCTAAAGTCAGAAGATCAAGAAAAATCAAAAGAAACGTGTTCCGCCCTCGCAGACATTGGTCAACTGCTATGCAATATTCATCACGCTATCACTACAAGCAGGAAATACCAAATCCTGCCTTACTTAAATTATAATTCAAGAAAACTGATAGAAAATAGTAGTAGAGATGAATTCCTCTTAGGTTCAAAGTTTGCCGAAGATGTAAAAGCGACAGAAGCTGTTCAAAAAGTCGCAAAAGATTTAAAAATAATATCCAAAAAAAATTTCACAAACAAACCATCCACATCAAACCAACAACCACAATCGTCGGAATATAATTCAAAAAATAACAAAAAGCAACGAGAGCATTTAAACTACTCGCGACGTCGTCAGAGTCCGAAGAAGAAATTCAACAGGGATTATCATCAGAATCATCGCAGGCGGAGTCCAACCAGGAGACGTTAAATGAGGTAAGCTTTCACGCTGGTCGCTTAAAACATTTTTATAACAAATGGACACGTATTACTAAAAATAAATCCATTTTACAATGGATTCAAGGGATAAAAATCCCTTTCATTAAATTACCAAAACAAAACGTGAAACCAAATGTTATTATAAATTGTAATGAAAAAGCAGAATATGATTTTGCGATAAAAGACCTAAAAAATATGGGAGCAATTGTAGAAAAGAGGTCAAAGAAAAATGAATTTTTCTCCAGATATTTTATGGCTTTAAGACCTAATGGAAAATATAGATTTATTTTAAATTTAAAAAACCTTAACAAATTTATCCAAACAAATCACTTTAAATTAGAAGATTACAGGACGGCCTCTAAATTAATATCAGAAAAATGTTTCCTTGCTTCCATAGATATGAAAGATGCATATTATCTTTTGCCAATTTTCGAACCTCATAAAAAATACTTAAGATTCCAATATGAAAATAAAATCTTTGAATTTCAGTGCCTACCATTTGGACTTAATATTGCCCCTTATATATTTACAAAACTCCTAAAACCAGTAATTCAATACCTTCGCGAAAAACTAAACATTCTCTGCGTCATTTATCTGGACGATTTATTAATAATAGGGAAAACAAAAAAAGAATGCTCCGAATCAGTAAAACTTTCACTTAAAACGTTAACAAAACTAGGTTTTCTAATAAACTACAAAAAAAGTAGATTATCACCCTCTCAAGAAATAAAATTTTTAGGTTTCCTCTATAACAGTATAAACATGACCCTAACGTTACCCGATGACAAAAAACTCAAAATAAATAAATTATTAAATAAAATAAAAAACAAAAATTATTGTTTAATAAGAGATTTTGCAAGTTTAATCGGGAAATTAGTCGCAGCGTGCCCAGCTGTTAAATATGGTTGGGCACACATAAAAAATCTAGAACGAGCAAAATTCCAAGCTCTAAAAAGTGAACCCCAAAATTATAATAAAAAAATTCAAATACCTTCATACACACGTCAAGATTTAGAGTGGTGGTCAAATAATTTAAGCTCATCTTATCAAAATATGAAAACCCCAACAAACTTCGATATCGAGATTTATACTGATGCATCACAGTCTGGTTGGGGAGCATACGCGAACGGAATAGAAACAAAGGGGTTTTGGTCAAACGAGGAAAAGAACTTGCATATTAATCAATTGGAATTACGAGCAGCCTTTTACGGGTTAAAATCCTTTGCAAAAAATTATGAAGACTGCGCAATCTTATTGCGCATAGACAATAAAACAGCAATAGCTTGCATAAATAAAAAAGGAAGTGTTCAATTCCCAAAATTAAATAATATTGCAAATAAAATATGGCTTTGGTGCGAAACAAAAAATATAGAAATAATTGCGTCATATATTCCTACCAAAGACAATTACCTCGCTGACCGCCAGTCTAGATCCCAATTCATAGAAACAGAATATGCATTAAACGATAAAGTATTCGATATTATTTGCTCAAAATTTAATTACCCCACAATAGATCTATTTGCATCTATGCTTAATAAAAAATGCAAAAGGTACATATCGTGGGGTCCCGATCCTTACTCAGAAAATGTAGACGCATTCACTGTAAGCTGGCAAAACGAATACTTTTACGCGTTCCCCCCTTTCTCATTAATATCGCGAATATTAGACAAAATAATTCAAGAAAACGCGGAAGGAATATTAATAGTTCCCAATTGGCCCACTCAACCGTGGTACCCGCTTTTTCATAAACTTTTATGTACTAAGGCACTCTATTTTCAACCTCAATATGACTTAATTCTTTCTCCTTTCAGCCTGCCGCATCCACTATACAAATCACTTACCCTGGTTGCAGGGAATTTGTCAGGAAAAAATGGATAGAAAATAAAATTCCACAAAAAGCAATCCCTACTATGTTGAACTCTATTTCGGAAAATACATTGAAACAATATAATAGCGTTCTTAAAAATTGGTGGGAATTTTCAATTAAACACACACAAAATCCGTATGAATATAGTCTAGAAAAAATATCTAATTACCTTATAGAAATTTCAGAAAGAAAAATATCATATTCAAATGTTAACACTCATAAATCCGCGCTTGCCTTTTTATTTTCCATTAAATTAGAAGACGAAAAAGTATTAAAAAGAATACTCAAAGGAATATACAATAAAAAACCACCTACTCCGAAATACGCTTCAACATGGGATCCTAATCCAGTTCTATCTTTCCTGAAAAATTTGCATCCACTGCAGTCATTAAATCTTCGCCAAATTACTCTTAAACTAGCTATGCTTCTTGCGCTCACGACAGGTCATAGAGTCCAGACATTTTCTTTAATCGAATTAAAAAATATAGTAATATTAGATAATAAAATAGAAATTAAAATACCAGAAAAAGTAAAAACGTCAGAAAAAAATAGGTATCAACCGTTTATTGTCTTGCCATTCTTTCAAGAATGCCCTGAACTCTGTGTGGCATCAGTTCTCCAACACTATATGGAAAAAACTAAAAATTTACGTCCAGAAAACGAACGTTTTTTATTTATCACCTATAAAAAACCTTTTCATAGAGCCACAACTCAATCTATCAGCCGATGGTTGAAATCAACACTTTACGAAAGTGGAATAAATACAGAAATTTTCTCTGGTTATAGTACGAGACATGCGTCTACATCCGCTGCATATAGAAAAGGTGTTAATATAGAAACAATACGTAAAACTGCAGGGTGGACGCATGCTTCGGAAACATTTAATAAGTTTTATAATAAACCGGTTACTTCTTCACATTCAGAAGAATTCGCTAGAGCAGTTCTAAGCCTAAACTAATTGTAATTGTTCTTTTTTTTTCTTACCCATGTAATTGTTCAAAAAAAAAAAAAAAAAAAAAAAAAATTCTTGGTTCTTTGTTCCAAAATTTTCTTCGTTATATAATAAAAAAAAAAAAAAAAAAAATGTTCTATTATTCAAAAATATATAGTTTTCAATAAAACAAATAAATTGACATTCAGATCACCGAGTACAGATCTTTAAACATCTACCGGGTGTAATTATTGAGGAAGACGAGCGAAAAATAATTATAAAGATTGATCGACTTACCTGATAGGGAAGATCAATCGAAATTATTTGAGCTCGTCTTCCGAAAATAATTACACTCCCACCCTCCCATTCATATATCCCAAGTGATCTGAAAAAGAACGAATTCAAACAACGAAGTGAGGTAATCAGAGAGGACACCGGCCGAAGAGAGGCAGAGTGGGGATTTTCGAGAATTTGATACCTGGGTGCTGTAAACTTGTACTGTTGGGTGTAAATAAGGAAATACTACCGGGTGTAATTATTTTCGGAAGACGAGCTCAAATAATTTCGATTGATCTTCCCTATCAGGTAAGTCGATCAATCTTTATAATTATAGCACTGAATACAGTCTTTTATAAGCGCTGTCTCACAGTAATTTTTTATTTCAAAAAAATTCAAATTGAAAAATCTTTGCTTGACCTTTTGGAGATTATTTATTCTTAAAAATAAAATCGATATTTTTATCGATATTGAATATCATAAGTCGATTTTTTTCTTTTTTTACGAGGGAAGTGGAAAATCTGCATAACCTTTGGTATCCAAGGCCGATACCTGAAGCCCGGGGCTCCGAGGTTATGTGGGGATGACTGTTTTTGTTCTAGTCGACCCACTAAAAACCACACCCTTTGGCTGGACTAATCATCACGCTACCGAACTGCCATTAAGCTTTAAACTTCCTAGGTGAAGGTTCGGATGTCGTTGCCGATCTTTCTGGCCTGTTTATTCTTCGTTCGTGCGAGAGTCTTCTTCGACTCCTGAAGACTCTACATCCTCCTCTGCCTGCAATATGGTTAATGTTTACCTTATCGCCATACTTTTCTCTACATAAAAAGCAGCTTGGGCTTCTACTGCAGTTTACAAATTTATGATCGACTTCACCGCACTTGAAGCACGCAGTCGATCTGTTCGCTGGTACTAAACGACCATCACCCTTCTTTTTATTAGGCAATACATAAAGTCAATCCTTATGCGTTCCACTTTCTCCAGCCTGTCCACCTCGTCTGGGTTAGTGACTACAACCGTGAACATCGTTCCTTATCAATTGGGTCCAGAACCGTCACTTCCCTGCTTCTTTGCTTCTGGAGCACTTCCACCAACGCCTGTTGGACCTCTTCTGCCTGAATTAGGCAATCCAGGTCGCTCCAACCGCTTTGGTGACCTCAGCTGTGAAAACCTCCTTATTGAAGTCCCCACCGATTTTGATCAGGACCCACGTGTGTCTGACGTCCGGATTCACTTCCATCCAAAGTTTGCTCAATACGTCGGCATACGTTGTTCCTGTTGCGACTCGGATCACTATTCTGGATCTACTTGTCGCTATTTTCTTAATGGTTTGCTTCTCATGGATACGCTCTCTTTTCCTGTTTCGATCTTCTTGGTTCACCTCCATATTGCCTATAGCGCCACTAAGGTTGCTATCTCCATTATCTGCTAGAGGTGCTTTGTCTTCGCCTCACTGACAAGATTCTGAAGAGTCTTAAGTCCGTTCTTAATAGTCATGTTGAAATTTTTCTAGAATTCGACAGACTTTACCATCTTGGAGATCTCTTCGATCCTCTGAAGACTATCAGCTTCCTCCTGCCTAAACTTTAAACACTTCTCGCGCTCTCCTTCAATTATCTCGTTGTCTAGGTCAGGCGGAATCAAACTTCTTCTGTTGCTGACACTAGAAACACTTCTTCTTCTGATTCCAAGTCTTTCCAAAGGGACCTAAGGTACCTTAAGAAACAGGGTGCCTCCAAATTGTGGCAGTGAATGCTGCAGTACCCAAGGTGTCCAATACTGCAGCACTGTTGTCACTAGATTTCGATGCTGGAAAGAAAACTTGCTCACTTGCAGCAGCGACGGCACTGGGGTATCTTTCACCTGCACCGTAAATATCCTTATTTAATCCTTTGATTTTCATATATCTTTTTCTTCTTATTTTACATTTAAGTTTTTAGAAGTCCTTTAGTGTAAAGCCCCACCACCACGACAAGGTCTACCAAGAATTTACAAGGCTCTTGGTAGCGGACAATCATCGGCAGTGCCATAAGTCGATATTATTTAATTTAATAAAGCTTGTATCCGACAGCAAAGCAGAAGCAATAAGACAAGTTCGTAACATCGATTTCTTCTGAAATGTCGTATTAGGTAGAATCAATGTATCGACGTTTTAATTCAGTCACTCAGTAAGTCTTTAAGTCGTATTTCAGAGACATACAGGGATATGAATCATATTTCTGGAGGAAACTCTGTGCATCTAATCAGATTTATTTGAAATTTAATGATAGATAAATACCAATTTATTTGAAAATTGTAATAAAAAACTTTTCATATTTCAGAATTCAATACAGTTGAAGTTTATTGATAAATACTTCATTCTACAGATATTGTTTCTGGTAATTATTACTTCTCTATTTAATTCTTCAAATACTACATAATTAGAAATAGGAAATTCATTTGAATATTGTATGTAAGTACAATAAAACTTCTAGTTCACCGTCTCACAGTTAGAAATACAGTGAAGTACGATACTGATGTTGACATAACCTATAAGTAGGTAAATATAAGTAAAAAATCCAGTGTATTATTCGACATAATAAAGAAGTAATAAAATTGTAAATATATATTTTAATACTGAAATATTTATACCTTTTTAAAAAACTCTAAAGAAAGAATAAATACTCTTCCAATAACCAATTTTGTAGGTTCAGCGCCTCTTCTCATTATAATAAGCAATGACTTTTTATTTTCAGTTGACAGTTGATACCAATCTGCATTATATCTAATGAATCATGATTCTTTAAAAATATTCATAAGATATTTAAAGATTTTCTAAATATATATATGTGACCTGGACAGTTAAAAGGGACCTCTTGTCCGAAAAAATCGATTTTTTATTGTTTGTTGATTCTGATAGAGAAAACTTTTTTCTATCAGAATCACCAATCAATAAAAAATTAATTTTTTCGGACAAAAGGTCCCTTTTAACTGTCCAGGTCACATATAAAAATAAGTTGTACATGCAGTCAGAAATGCAAAGACTCGTATCCAATAAATGCTGAGAAGGAAGAGTTAAAAAAAGATATATACTATTTGAGTAAGTGCATATAAAAACTAAAACATTATATGTTGATAATTATGCAAATCAGTTAAAAGATAAAATTGCGTGTCCGTATTTTTTTATTATTATCGATGTGAATTATTTACCTGAACTCCCGTCAAACTTAAATTAATTACACAGATTCCAAATACTAAAAAATACGTAATCGAAAGAAACTTCTCGATATAGTTGACAAATCTTGAAAAATAAAATATTACGATTAATGAAAATTATAAGTCCTATTTGCATTTACCCTCACAGAAACAAAAATATCAGGATATCCTATGGACAAACGGATATTCCTCCAACGTCTGTAAGACATCTTGAATATCTAGATGCTATTAGGGTAACTATAATAATTCTTTAGATTAAGATAAAATTTGTGTTATACAAACAATAAAACACTTTTATGCATTTTAACACAAAGTATTATTCCTTGCTGAAGATTTTTTTCAAAACTAAGTTTCTTACTGCTACCTTGATTTTCCGTAATAGCAGATGTCAATTTATGCCTGTAAAGAATAAATTTATATAAGATGATTAAAAAATTAACAAGATGGTTAAAAAATTTTGAAAAATATAAATAATTACCGACCTAGAAATCAACCTTATCAACTGATGGTAAAGAACTTTTTTCCTAATATAAAAAATTACATACATAGAAATCTAACTTACCAAATGATGGTAAAAAAGGTTTTTTGAAAAAAGAAAATATAAAAATTATATATTCCTCGTTTAAAAAGATATTCAAAATATGTGACGCTCCACAAGAAAAGGGACCTAACGTGCTTTTGACTTAAGGTTCATTCACTGTGTCATTGCACGGTAAAAGCGAACCTTAAGTCAAAAGCACGTTAGGTCCCTTTTCTCGTGGAGCGTCACATATATATTTAACAAATTTCAATCTTATTTCAATTGTTTCTTAACAATTGCAATATTGATACTATTAATGCTTGCTTTTTGTAAACAATAAAATATCAAAAAGTCACGTTTCTGCTACTGTCGGATTTTTTGAAATTTGTCGATTCAAAAAGGTCTAACATTAACAATTTTTAATGAAAAAATTATTTCAAAGTCAGGAATTGTTGCTGGAATGTTACTGTATAAGAAAAAAATTTATTTAACCCATTAACGCCCAAAAACTGAAAATTCTTTGTACACATTCAGGCTACGTTATTTTAAATAAATCGGTCAACATTTTCTACGAGAGGTACATTTCCTATAGGTCTTGAGTGTGCTCTTTCCGATTCCGGTATCAAAAATTAATTTTGTCTAAGCCGAAATTAAATATGGCGGTTTAAATGTCAAAAAACACAAAAAAAGTTTCATTTTTTTCAGTTTGACATTTTTTTTCAATCGGAAAAAATGTAAGAATAAAATTAAATTGTCTACCATAGGCGCACAAAAGTTGTGTACTTTCGAGAAACGTAAAGTAGAATAAAAAATTTCAAGATGGCAGACCAAATATGGCGTCAAATTCATTGTAAAATGTGAAAATTTTGTGCAATATTGGTCAAATTGACAAAATGTAACTGGATTTGCCTGAATTTTGTTACTCGGGGGTTTTTGGGGTCGCTGATTAAGAATCTGAAGTCGGTTTTCAAAAATTCAAAATGGCGGATTCAATATGGCGGATGAAATTTTAAAAATGCATTCAATTGGTCTGAATTTTCATACTCGGGGGTTTTCGGGGTTGCAGATTACGAATTTAAACTTCATTTTTAAAAATTCAAAATGGCGGATCCAATATGGCGGATTAAAATTTTAAAAATGTATTTATTTGGTCTAAATTTTCATACTCGGGGGTTTTCCGGGTTGCTGATTACGAATTCGAACTTCATTTTTAAAAATTAAAAATGGCGGATCCAATATGGCGGATTTTGAAAAAAATCCATCGTATTTACATGAAATCAGTTTCTCGGGGGTTTTTGGGGTCGCTGATTAATAATCTGAAGTCGGTTTCCAAAAATACAATATGGCGGATCCAATATGAAAAATGAAAAATGTAAAAATCCGTTCAAATAGCCTGAAGGGGTTTTCAGTTTTTTTTTAGCCGCCCATTTAGGCGTTTACCAATTCTTACCACGTGGAGGTAGACAAAATTAAGAATGTTATTTTTTTTTATTTTTTTAAATATAATTTGTTTATTTTAGATTTAATTATTAATACTGAATTAAAAATTTATTTATTCAAATATCTGAATATTTCTAGTGACATACACACAGAAAGAAATAGTTAGTAAAACTTTCATGAACTAGATATTATCTTCTGGATGGGCACGAAGTTAGTAAATTTTTAACTTTTTCGACGAATTCATCAACTTTTTCTGTGCGCATGCGCAAACATTGGATTTATGGAGATACTGGTTATGGATCCGCCATTTTCTATTTTACAAACCCGACTTGAGATTCTTAATCAGCAACCCCAAAAACCCCCGAGAAACTGATTTCATGTAAATACGATGGATTTTTTTCAAAATCCGCCATATTGGATCCGCCATTTTTAATTTTTAAAAATGAAGTTCGAATTCGTAATCAGCAACCCGGAAAACCCCCGAGTATGAAAATTTAGACCAAATAAATACATTTTTAAAATTTTAATCCGCCATATTGGATCCGCCATTTTGAATTTTTAAAAATGAAGTTTAAATTCGTAATCTGCAACCCCGAAAACCCCCGAGTATGAAAATTCAGACCAATTGAATGCATTTTTAAAATTTCATCCGCCATATTGAATCCGCCATTTTGAATTTTTGAAAACCGACTTCAGATTCTTAATCAGCGACCCCAAAAACCCCCGAGTAACAAAATTCAGGCAAATCCAGTTACATTTTGTCAATTTGACCAATATTGCACAAAATTTTCACATTTTACAATGAATTTGACGCCATATTTGGTCTGCCATCTTGAAATTTTTTATTCTACTTTACGTTTCTCGAAAGTACACAACTTTTGTGCGCCTATGGTAGACAATTTAATTTTATTCTTACATTTTTTCCGATTGAAAAAAAATGTCAAACTGAAAAAAATGAAACTTTTTTTGTGTTTTTTGACATTTAAACCGCCATATTTAATTTCGGCTTAGACAAAATTAATTTTTGATACCGGAATCGGAAAGAGCACACTCAAGACCTATAGGAAATGTACCTCTCGTAGAAAATGTTGACCGATTTATTTAAAATAACGTAGCCTGAATGTGTACAAAGAATTTTCAGTTTTTGGGCGTTAATGGGTTAAATGTTTTCATTAATTTTGAATAGCCAGCACCTTACCCGACAGTAGCAGAAACGCGTATGGATTCTACTAATGTCTGGCGGCCGGCGGGTCGCTAGTTTCACCGAGCCTTACCGACTGATGGTTAATTTTGAAAAATTAAAATATAAAAAATACCGCCAAAGAAATTTATCTTACCGACTGATTGTAAAACAGTTTTTGAAAAATAAAAATATAAAAATTACCGACACAGAAATCTACCTTACCGACTAATAGTAAAACAGTTTTAAAAAGGCTGTTAAAATTTCAAAAAATTTATTTACCACCAGTCGCTAACGTAGATCTCTATGTGGATAACACTGCCCAGCAAATTTCAAATTTTTTTCTGCGAATAACATGGGACATAGTGTTTCCGAACGGATTTTTTGTGCTGAACACGAATCTGGGGTCGAAAACTTCCCATCACGTCACGTTTTCGAGAAAATAGAGGTTGAAACCCCTAAAAACAGGGTTTTTGGCCATTTTTGAAAAATTATACAGCGAAAACCTGACGTGGTACAAACTTTGCTGATATCAGAAATTAAAGGTTGGTTCATGCCCTTTCAAACGAGCCCTATTCGAAATTGATCGCACTCACCCTTAGAGCAGGGGGTGTGTTTTTGTCTAGCGGTGCACGAAAAAAATGTAAACATAACATAAAAATTCAAAATGGATAACAATTCAATAAATCATGATAGTTAAGGGGTTTTCGGGGTCGCTGATTACGAATCTGAAGTCAGATGTCAAAAATTCAAAATGTCGGATCCAATATGGCGGATATCAAAATAAAAATTTGATCCAATTCACTTGAAAATGGTCACTCGGGGGTTTTTGAGGTCGCTGATAACGAATCTGAAGTCAGATTTCAAAAATTCAAAATGATTTATTGAATTGTTATCTATTTTGAATTTTTATGTTATGTTTACATTTTTTTTCGTGCACCCCTAGACAAAAACACACCCCCTGCTCTAAGGGTGAGTGTGATCAATTTCGAATAGGGCTCGTTTGAAAGGGCATGAACCAACCTTTAATTTCTGATATCAGCAAAGTTTGTACCACGTCAGGTTTTCGCTGTATAATTTTTCAAAAATGGCCAAAAACCCTGTTTTTAGAGGTTTCAACCTCTATTTTCTCGAAAACGTGACGTGATGGGAAGTTTTCGACCCCAGATTCGTGTTCAGCACAAAAAATCCGTTCGGATACACTATGTCCCATGTTATTCGCAAAATCGATGCAGAGCAGTGTAATTTTTTATATTTTCATTTTTTAAAAATCTGTTTTACCATGTGAAATAACCCTAATGATCACATTGCGCTCGCAAATGAAATTCGAAATTTAACATTTATAATTATATTTACCCTATAATTTCAAATATTCCACAAGAATGTTCAAGTAGCATTGAAAAAACCATAGCTCCATTCACTAACAAAATAGTACCTACGTAACCATAGAAATGACTCATCACTAATATAGAATAGTAATATTTTTCTTCATCTACACCATAGTCAACAGGAGTTAGGAGCGGCCTAGGTTCATTACTATCTTCAGTGAAACGAAATAATAAAAAAATACAACGTGAAACCATGAAAATTGTAACACTGCCAATATATCCAACTAAAAAGAGACATGTATTATTTTATCTATAAATTATTTTAAATAAATTATTTTCTTATGAATTATTCAATATGTCATGTGAATTTACCGCAGTAAACTGTATTATATAATTTGCACCTATTGCCATATTTGTGTAAGACATAGGCTTCATGTTTTGATGTCAATGTTTCCCAGTCATTTTACATTTTTGAGAAAATTACATACATCTAAAAAGAAATTTATTTTGCTATATATGATTTAGGGACTGAGAATTAAAAATTATAACTAGTTATTACTTTTTTTTCTTGAAGATGGTTGTTAATTAAAATAATTAAACCTTATAAAACAAAACATATTGGTGAAATGCAATCTAATACCATATCAATATTATCCGACACTTTTATCACTCCTGCAATCTAATTTTATTAATAATTAATTATATAGCTTAAAATTATTTTAATCAAATACAATATTACCATTCCAGAGATAAAAAACAATTAAACGAATAGAAAGAAAGATTTTATCAAAAGTTTTAACCACTTCGGATGATATTGACTTTGTCCTGATACTATTATAATATATTTAGTTAGAATGTAGTACGGATTTTCTAATATATCCATTTGTTTTCAGCGTTTACACTATATTTGCAAATAAAATTTTTGAGGGTTATTTCTGGTTAGCAACTACTTATAATAATACTTTAGACTGTAAACATTTTTTTTTTTAATGTAAAATAAATAAATTTCTCAGATCAGGCAATGTAGGTAAGGGTTTGAATTTGCGTGGCCCTTATATTTCTCTGGAAACATTAGTAACTTAATTTTTGTAAATTTCTGAATCCTTCTGTTAATTGATATTTCTCTACTATCCGCGAGAAAATTCAAGGCCCCTGAAAAATGATAGACTTTCACTTTGAATAATCCTTTAAAAAAAATTGCTAGGAAAAAACGGAAACAATATTTGGAAAGCTTAGAATCTCACAAGCTTGTATACTTCAGGCTGTTTCTCAAAAAAAATTTTTCTTTCTGACAGACGCAATAATAGATCAAAATGCACCCTATTTTTTGTTACTTTAGAAATTACCTGACTTTGCATAACACTTTTATATGAAAATCTTCATTGAAAAAATTTGAAAAAAGTATCATTTATTCATTAAATCCTTCGGAATAAAGCCATTTTTGAATTTTTAAAAAATATTAATTATTATTGTTTTTATTGTAAAAAAAAGAAGACAGTGTTATCTCTCGATCTACTGGGCCGATTTTAATGAATCAAATTTCTGTGCATAAATATTAAACCCAACAATTAATTCAATTTGTTGGAAAAAGTGTAATTATCGTTCTTTTCGCGATTTTGGTCATTTCTGTAGACAGTTTTTTTTCTAGGAACAGGTGAAAAAGGGTAGCGGTAGGCAAAATTTTCTTGAATAGAACTATTAAGCATGCCATAAAAAAGATCCCGGCCAACTCCTTTGCCTAGACTCAGAATTTTTTTCACGAAACATTATCAGTGCTGTATATATGTTGTAACTAAGGGCCCAAAAATAATAATTCATATGTTACTTATAAATGACATTTATTTTTTAATAATAATTATTATAATAAATACAAACAATAATTATTGTTAATAAATTTTTTTATAACAATTAATACTTAAAGTTTATTACACTACCAATTTTTGGGCCTTTAGTCACAACATTTATACAGCACTGATAATATTTCGTGAAAAAAATTCTGAGTCCAGGCAAAGGAGTTGGCCGAGATCTTTTTTATGGCAGGCTTAATAGTTCTATTCAAGAAAATTTTGCCTACCGCTACCCTTTTTCACCTGTTCCTAGAAAAAAAACTGTCTACAGAAATGACCAAAATCGCGAAAAGAACGATAATTACACTTTTTCCAACAAATTGAATTAATTGTTGGGTTTAATATTTATGCACAGAAATTTGATTCATTAAAATCGGCCCAGTAGATCGAGAGATAACACTGTCTTCTTTTTTTTACAATAAAAACAATAATAATTAATATTTTTTAAAAATTCAAAAATGGCTTTATTCCGAAGGATTTAATGAATAAATGATACTTTTTTCAAATTTTTTCAATGAAGATTTTCATATAAAAGTGTTATGCAAAGTCAGGTAATTTCTAAAGTAACAAAAAATAGGGTGCATTTTGATCTATTATTGCGTCTGTCAGAAAGAAAAATTTTTTTGGAGAAACAGCCTGAAGTATACAAGCTTGTGAGATTCTAAGCTTTCCAAATATTGTTTCCGTTTTTTCCTAGCAATTTTTTTTAAAGGATTATTCAAAGTGAAAGTCTATCATTTTTCAGGGGCCTTGAATTTTCTCGCGGATAGTAGGTAAGAAGATGGAATTTGATACCTTACACGTTTCATTGGTTACCGTGGTAATCAGCAGGATAAAAATAAACCATGCATCCGTACGCAATGAGAATACTCTTTACATTATCAATCTAAACAACTAAGCTAAATTTCATGATAATTAAATAAATTACACAAAATCCAAATATTAAAAAATACGCAGTTGTAAAAAACTTCTGAATATCATTGGCATTTTGTATATCATTCAATATTAATTTAACAACATTGAATGATTTTGGATTTAGATTATGTACTACAGAACAGGTTAGACTTTTTCACTAGTATCAAAAAAAAATAATTTTAAATGGCAGTTATATGTTTATTTAATTATTTTTCATTTCTGACATTTTAGTGTAGCCCTTATTATCAGATTCACTGTTTAACACTATAAGTTCTAGCGTCGATGCTGTTCTACATTTCACAAAATGAACTTTACAAATTTTAGAGGTTGAAATCATTTTATACAAACATTTGAAACTTTTTAGACATTCTCACACAAAGTATTATTTCTTGCTGAAGGTGTTTGTCAAAACTAATTTTATTAATGCAATCTCTGTTTTCTTCAATAGCAGTTGTCAATTTAAATCTGTAATGAATCAATTTATAATTTTAAAGAAAACAAAATTCAGAATAGGTACTTTTAGGGTATTAGTAGTTGAATGTTTTTCTTAACATATAAATTTAATCATTAAAAAATTAAACAAACCAATCGCATTCAAGGAGAAGAAATCCAAGAATAGTTTACTAGTATATGTGTTTTTTTAAAATTAGATGAACTTTCAACAGAATGCGATTGATGCTTTCTTAAAATAATCTGATACTTATAGGTAATTTTTAATTTTAGGGTTTTATGGTTTAGGGACGAAACCCTTATAGTTTCGCGCTTTGGCGTCCATCTGTCCGTCGTATGAGTTACCATTGCAACCGTTACCATAACAACCGTTACCATGGCAATCGTTTCCAAGACGACCATTGCCATAGTAACCGTTACCATAAAAACTGTTTTCATAACAACCATTTCTATAACAACCGTTTTCATGACAACCCTTTCCATGGTAACTATTTCCATAGGTCCATAGCAACCGATTTTATGACAACTTTTACCATAGCAACCGTTATTATGACAACCGTTGCCACACTAAACGTTACCATGGCCAACTATTTTTTATTATATATTTTTGACCTGAATTTTAAAAGACACGAAACCCTTACTGATTTTTTAATAAATAAATTTACCCTATAATTTCAAATATTCCACAAGCATGTTCAAGTAGTATTGAATAAATCATATCAACATTCATAGTCAAAATAGCACATAAGTATTCCCACATATGAAGGTGCAACATAATTAAACAATAATATTGTTCTTCGTCTATATCAAAGTCAACAACAGCTAAAACTGGTCTTAATTCTTTACTATCGCTAAGAAAACAAATAAACAACAAAATAATACGCGATAGCAAATATATTGTAACATTTCCAAAAAATGCAACTGAAAAAAAGATTGTATCTTTAATTTAAAATGATATTTCATATATTATTCAATATCTCATTCTATTAACAGTGAATTTACCCATGTTAACCATATTATAGAATTTGCACCTTTTGTCATTATTTGTGTAAAAAAAATGCTTCATGTTCTGATGTTAGCATTTCCCAATCACAAGAAAACTATATTCATCTAAAAAAAAAATTTATTTCGATATATTTTTATTTAGAGACTAATATTGAAAAATTATAAATATAAAAATTAAAAGTCATTATAAATAATAATTACTTGTTTCTCTTGGAGATTGTAATTTATTAAAATAATAATACTTATTAAACCGTAAAACAGTGGTGAAATGCACTCCAATACCAAATAAATATTACTCATCACATCTATCATTCCTACAATCTAATTTTAATAATTAATCATTTAGCTTTGAATTATTTTTATTGAATATATAGTATTACCTTCGCAAAACTACAAGACAATATAAAGAATAAAAATAAAGATTTTATCGCTAGTTTTAACCAATTCGAATAATATTGACTTTGTCCTGATGCTATTACAATATATCTTCCTATATTACAAAAAGATATCGCCGCCGCCGCTGTTTCAAGAATTCTTGACCTAGGAGGGGGGAGTCCCTCCTCCTAAATTTTGAGGTTATGTTCGTTTCAAGGCTCTGAATTTAGCCGCAAGTCCCCCCTCCCTCCTCTCATTTCCCCTCCTCCGTCAAAAATGACCTAAATTTTGAGGTTATGTTCGTTTCAAGACTGAATATAGTCGCAAGTCCCCTCCCCCGTCAAAAATGACCTAAATTTTGAGGTTATGTTCATTTCAAGACTCAGAATATAGCCGCAAGTCCCCTCCCCTCCCCCGCCAGAAATGACCTAAATTTTGAGGTTATGTTCGTTTCAAGGCTCTGAATATAGCCGCAAGTCCCCCCTCCCTCCTCTCATTTCCCCTCCTCCGCCAAAAATTCACCTAAATTTTGAGGTTATGTTTGTTTTAAGACCCTAATAAAGCAGTAAGTCCTTCCCCCTTCCCTCATCTTTCTCTGTATTTCCTGCCAAAAATGACATAAATTTTAAGGTTATGTAAATTTCAAGACTTTCAATATAGCCAAAAATGACTTGAATTTAAAGGTTATGTTCGTTTCAAGACTTTTTAATAATTTATTGGTTGTTAGGCAATTTCATTGAAATTATTTTTAAAAATAATTTCTTAATGTCGATTTTAATTTATTTAATTATTTATTTATTATTAATTTTATTAATTTATTAATTAAAATTTAATAATTTTAATTTTAATAATATATATTCAGATTTCAATGAATTTGTAATAATAATTCTTTGAAATAGGTGGTTCATTTGGAAAAATAAGATCAATGGAAAATTAAAAAAGGGGGGTTGGCGCGCGAAGCGCGCAGGGGGGCGTAGCCCCTTTAGTTTAGATAGAATGTTGTACGAATTTTTTAATATGTCCATTCCTCTTTAGCCTTTATGCAATATTCGGTAGAAGACAATGTAAGGATTATTTCTGCTTAGCAGCACCCCAATACTTTGTAAAAACTTTACATCGACTAATAAAATATTCATGCGTTTACGCAAACACTTTCTAGGGAACTGGTAATTGTTTCTCAAAATATAATAATACCCCTTTAATAAAAGTTCTTCCTTTGTTTCTTCGTAAAACTTTAATCAATACCACTGCAATATCAATGTCTATAGATTCTTTAGATACTACTGAAAAGAATACCAGTTTTGTTGTTACTTCAATTGATTTCACATCACAGATTAACTTCTAAATTTCTCTCTAAAAAGAACTAGAATTCAGGAAACTATTATTTTTATATGATTTAAATATTCTGACATTATCGAATTATAAACTCTCTTCTGATTTTTGTTGCTCCAACAAGGTCATATTGTAAAAAACATATAAGACTGTAGCCATTTTTTGTAATGCAAAATAAATAAATTTCTTGGACCAGACAAAGTGGGTGGAATTTTGAATTTTTATGGTCCTTGAAATGCTTTGCTGGAAACAGTAAAATAATTTTTAATAATTTTCTCAATCCTGTTGTTTACTTGTTGGCAATCTAAAATTTCTAAATTAACATTACATTTATTACAATCGGAAGCTTTTAAAATCGTGTTTTTAAACCTTATACTTATGGCCTAAAAAATCTATTACCCCTTAATGAATTTTACAGTTTTTCATTTTTAGAAAATTAAAAATCTTTATAAAGTTATTAATGAAATTTTATTAATGACATTTCTGCATACGTTATAAATGACAATAGATCACATTAATTCTGTTTATAAATTTAAACAAAAAATAAATTATATTAATGATGTCACCCTAGAGAGTATGAAATTTATCATGAATAATTATAATGTACAATATTAAAAAATCCATAAGTGGTATAAATAACTAATTGAAATATAAAAAAATACAATTATAAAAATACAATACATGTGTACAATTATATAGAACAACAATATTCAAAGATGAAAAGAAACTTGAGGAAAATCTGTTTATCCAAGTTTATGTGAATAGAAACTATTTTAATATATTATCAATTCAGTCAATTATACAGATCATAAAAAGCTTGGAAAATATATGTTTCTTTAAATTCTTAATATTAACGGTATATCGTATATATATCGTTAGAATCTCAACAATTATGGACTTTAACTATTTTAAGATTTAATATAATTAGAACTAAATTTTATCTGTGAATATTATAATACACTTATACGCACACACAATATACACATATATAAATACATATTATTAAAAATTGATAATCGCATTCAATAATTAATTAAGATAATATTAAAATAAGAGAAAAATTTTGTTTGATAAAAATTTAAGTGCAAACATAACCAGTCTACCACTAAACAGTTAAAAATGGGTAATCAGATGGATGTCGCATATAAAAAAAATTCTATTTTATTGTCGAACAGCCATCAATACAGTGAAATAGGATACTGATGTTTGAAGAACCTATAAGTATTTAAAAGCATAAGATAACCTATAAGTAGTTTAATATAAATAACAAATATTACCTGACATAACAAAGAAGTAATAAAATAATTTATAAATATATATTTTAATACTGAAATTTTTAAACCTTTTTAAAAAACTCCAAAGAAAGTATAAATACTCTTCCAACAACCAGTTTTGTAGGTTCAGCGCCTCTTCTCATTATGATCAGTAACCATTTTTGATTTTCGGATGTCAAATGATACCAACTTGCACTATATCTAATTAAATCATTTTTTAATATAATCATTTTAGATAGCTTACAACAACAAATACTCACAAAATCTTTAAATATCATATAGATATATCTGATCACTAATATAAAGAAATGTTTGTTTATATTTACATCCTAATTCCCTAAAAAATAATTTCTGAAAAATTATGCATTCAAAAAAATCTTCTTTTATATATACAGAATAAAAAAATTAAATAAATTATTTTCATTGTTTTTTTTAGAAGATTTTCCATTCCGACAAGACTTTATCTTTTTCATCTAGCTCAAATGCATCAACGAAAAAATATTTAAAGATTTTCTAAACACTCTGCTGTCACAATTATTACTTAGGAAAATGTAAAAAAAAAGAAATTGATAAAAATAAGTTATACATGCAGTCGGAAATGCAAGTGCTCGTATCTATTAAATGTTGAGTTGGAAAAGTTAAAAAAAGAATATTAAGAATTTGAGCAACTGAATGAAGTCCATATCTTGTGGCTTCCCTGGCATTATCTAGATTCATTACAGCCTAAGGAAAAATTTTAAATTAAAGCCAGAACTATTATTGAATTATTCGTCTATTTTACATTTTTAAAACACTGCATGCACAATGCTGTTTTTATTACACTGAAAAAAAAACTAGTAGGTTTTACTACTTTTTAACTACTCTGAGTAGTACAATAGGTCCTCAACTGAATATTTAAACAGTTCTATTAACTATATAAAAATAGTTAAACCAATTAAAAATGTAATTGGTAGAATGACATTTTGTTATTGTATTAATTCAATTTAAAAATGTTAAAACAACTCAAGATGTAAGTAGTAGATTTTACTACTTAAAGTGGTTCAATAGGCTTTAAGAACATTTTTTTGGTACATTTAATAAATATTTTGCAATTGAAACTACCACTTTAAGTAGTAAACTTTACTACTGAAAGTGGTTCAATAGGTTTTAAGAACATTTTTTTGTAGAATTAATAAATCTTTTGCAATTGAAACTACTACTTTAAGTAGTAGATTTTACTACTTAAAATAGGAAAATAACATTATTTTTTTTATAATTGTTTATTATCAGTAGAATTGACTTTTTCATCCTCTCTCCTATACTGACGCTTATTTTATGCCCTAACGATTATGTACCTAACAGAGAAAATTTCTAACCGACGGGAATTGAACCCTCGACCCTAACGCTCGCTATCCGATACCTTAACCGACTAACCACGCACGCTCGCTACGACAGTCTGCAAACTACTCGAAGACTACTTTCTGCTTGTCCAATTGTTAATTTAACTATTTAAAGTAGTCATTTTTACTACTTTTATTAGTTGCTATAACTATCCTTTTTAAGTTTTGACTTATAAATTTTTCATCTTTTAATTATATTATAAGTTGTTTAATTGCATAGTGCAGTAAAATCTACTACTTAAAGTGATAGTTTTAATTGCAAAGGATTTTTTAATTCTACGACATAAATGTTCTTAAAGCCTATTGAACCACTTTAAGTAGTAAAAGCTACTACTCAAAGTAGTAGTTTTAATTGGAAACGATTTGTAAATTTTACATCAAAAACGTTTTTCAAGCTTATTGAATTAATTAAAATAGTAAAAAATTACTACTTAAAGTAGTAGTTTTAATCACAAAGGATTTGTTAATTCTACAACAAAAATGTTCTTAAAGCCTATTGTACCACTTTGAGTAGTAAAATCTACTACTTATAGTAGTAGTTTTAACTGGAAACGATTTGTAAATTCTACATCAAAAATCTTCTTTAATTTTATCGAATTAATTAAAATAGTAAAAATCTACTACTTAAAGTAGTAGTTTTAATTACAGACAACTTGTTAATTCTACAACAAGAATTTTATTGAAGCCTATAAAATCATAAAAATTAATAAAAAAATTTACTACTCAAAAAGCAGTTATATTAATTAAAGAACATAATTCCTTTTACTACATTTCATATAAGGGGGGGGGGGGTATGGTTTAAAAACGAAAAAAAATCGATTTTTTTTTTATTTTTTTAATCGAAAGTACAACTCATCAGAAATATTGTACTAAAATTTCAACTCATTTGAAGTTGAATTGAAGGAGATATGGAGCCAAACGCCTTTTGAAACCGATCGAGCGTGTCGAAAAGTTATATGTGACCGCGTCTGAGAAAAGGGTGTTATCGACCAAAAAATTGATTTTTTTCTTAAGACGGTTTCTTATAGTTTAAAGTCCTAAAAATACGATGCAGCAGGAACACTACTTTATGGTGCTGGCATCGATGACTCTATGTTAGTGCGAATAAACAATATTTATTCTTCAAATTTTCTCACTATAAACTTTAAACGCGTTTTTCTCAAAACCACTTTTTTGAAGTCGGTGGTCACGATAACTCAAAAATTTGTAAACCGATCGATTTGAAATTTTACACACTTCTTTAATATATATTTGACTCCCAGCCAACGATCCCCTTTTATTTATTTTTTGCATCTAATCGATCGTACAGCGACAAAATGGCGCCTTTTTATGCTAAAAACCGCACTTTTACCTTTTAACAGATCGTTAAAAAATTAAAAATTTTTTTTAACAAAAGGGCATCGTTGGCTGGGAGGTATACTTCCAAACAACTAATTTCTTTAATCCCGTGTATTTCAGATGATTCTTCGATTTTATATCATGACCACCGTAAGAGGTGCAATTTGTGACATTGTCTACTTGACGTAACTACAACTCCGCTGTTTCTCGACATTTTAAGTCAAAAAAATTCACAAATATACTTAAAATGTTACTGAAGAATGTCATAATAAAAGTATTGCAAAATATTTAGTAATTTCATAAAAAAAAAATATTTTTAAAAGTGATTTTTTTGGCCCGTTATACCATACCCCTCCCATAACTGATGAATAGTAGTTGGATTTACTACTCTTGAAATTTTGAGTTGACTACAATTCCACTTGTTTTTACTACCTTAAGAAAGTTAATTTTACTACCGACCTGTAGTTGTACTTTAACTACAAATTTACGTAAAATCAACTATTACTTATTAACTTCTTAAAAAAAGTTATATTTACTACATGCACAGAAAATTATAAGGTATTAAAATAAGCTGCAACGCTCATTATTTTAATCCAATTTTACTTATTTTAATACTAAAATGGATTAAAATAAGCAAAATTGGATTAAAATAATAAGCGTTGCAGCTTATTTTAATGCCTTTTAATTTTCTGTGTGAACATGATTAGATTAACTAAAAAAAGTAGTTATTTTAACTACTTTCTAGTCAACTACCCAATGGTAATTGAATTTCTCGGCAATATTTTTTTCAGTGTAACAATCTAAATAATTCACCTGAACTCCCGTGATGCTTAAATCAACTATACAGAATCCAAATATAAAAAAATACGCAGTTGAAAACAACTTCTGAATATCATTGACAAATCTTGTAAAGTAAAATATTCCAATTAATAACAAAAAAAATACTACAATCATTGAATGAGTGTATAGAATACGTCTACCTCAATTTTATAAAATCATTCAGTGAAATTTTATATGTATAATCACTGCAAAAAGAAGTATCTTAATATAAGATGTTTTGGTAGTAATTTTTAAGATGTTTTTGTAGTAACTTTTTAGTTATTTGAAATATCTTAGTTTAAAATATTAATAGTATCTTTGCCAAAGTGCTTCACACATTTTTGATGAAAAAAATTTTGAGATTAACTAAGGCCTCTTATGTAAGATGTTTAATGTATTTTATATTTTAGTAACTTCAAATTCTGACGTATCTTAGAATTTACAAGCATCTTTTTTCTAAACATCTTATGACTCCACAAATATCTTAAATCAAGTTACTTATAGAAACTTACCGAAGTAACTTACATTTTAAGATCATGGAAGAAATATTTTAATTCTTGTTAAAACGCAAAAAGCATGTTAAATATTAATAAGATACTTTACAAAATATCTTTTTTTAAGATGGAAGATACCATTTTTCCATATTACATCTTACTGTAAGATACCAAGTAAGTCACTTATTTTTGCAGTGATGTTTATCATAGAAATTTTTCGACTAGAATTTAAATATACTCACTGCAAAAAGAAATGTCTTATTTTAAGATGTTCTGGTCACCGTTTTAAGATGTTTTTTATAACTTGCTTCTAAGTTATTTAAAACAACTTAAAATGCATTAGTTTCTTAAGATATAAAATGGATAGGAAGATACTTTTGGTAACTTGCTTCCAATGTATCTTATAATAAGATATACTTCTTTTTGCAGTGCTGTCAATATAATTATATCTTTTGATTTATGATCATGAACTGCAGAACAGGCTAGAATTTTATTCTGTATGAAAGCAGTGATTTTAAATCGTAGTTGTTTATTTTATTAGATTTCGTCTTTTTTAACTTTACAAAGTTACTGTTCAATCTGGCTCTATGTTCGAGTGTAGATCCTGTTCTGCAATTCAAAGCATTAGTTAAATAAATTTTAGAAAAAAACAATATTATACGAACGATAGAACCCTTCTATGCATTCTCACACAAAGTATTATTTCTCGCTGAAACTTTTTTTTAAAAATTAGTTCGTTACTCTGGTTTTGGTATTCCTCAAGAGCAATTGTCAATTTGTGTCTATAAACATTTGATTTATAGTTAATAAAACATGATACTTTCTATTAAAAGCATTTTCAGTTAAATGCTTTAGTTAAGAAAATGTATAATTAATTTATCATTCAGAAACTTAACTACCCTATTGAAAATACTTCTACAAGACCTTGTACAAGAAATTATATATGCACTAAAAGAAATAACTATGGAGTACAGCGATAATTATCGGTTGTCGAACAATAATATATTGTTAATATAGATACTGCCACACGGTATCAATGTTAAAGCCATACAATAAAATCACAGAAAATTAAAAGACATTAAAATAAGCGTTGCAGTTTATTTTAATGCCTTTTAATTTTCTGTGATATTTCTAGATTAACCATACGTATTACTCATTTAACTTTACCTTGAAAACAGCTTAGCATATTGGTTCTTTCGATAATGCCACCGACACATATTTCAAAAAAATAAAAGAAAAACAAATGAATTCATTAAATTTTCAAACTAAATTATTTATTTTAACACTTTTGAAAATCACTGCAATTATTAAACACAACACTGTAATGTTTTATATCGAAAACTATTTGACGCAAGAAGGATTTTAACGCACTACCTAACGATTACGATCTCGAAACCTATAACCACGCAACTATATTAACGCTTGAGAGTAAAAATTTTAATGACTCACAAATATGAAGGACTTGAGATTCAGAAGATTTTAAACGAACTCCCAAAATAGGCACATATAAAAAACCGCACTCACTTAATTTCACATTCACAAAGATATTTATGAACTGTCACTCTTCGTGGCAGCCATTTTTAAAGTCGCAGTTAAGATAACTCCGTGAAGATACACTATGGCAAAAACACCGATACAATATAGAGAGAGCACGAATATGGATTGGAAATTGTGACAACTTGTATAGCTAGAACAGAGATACAGCATTATTGCCATAAAATAAATATAAAAATCTCTCTCTTTCAAGCAAAGGAATATTAGAACTTCAATTTTGCTATTTCTATATTGAATAACTAAACTATGCCTGTACTAACTTTACAGCAAATGTGTGTATCAAATAAATCTTTTATTCGACGTTTTTTCCAACATATGGTTAAATAAGACATAAGGTATCAGGCATATTGGATTTCATGTTTCTCTTATTTAAGTGTCCCTAAACTACAATATATAAACCTAGAAATGGTACATTATATTGCTTTACAAACAACTTAACAAGCATAATCGTATAGTTACGAAGAACATAGTATTTCTTTCAGTGTGTTCAGCAGCTGAACTTGTACCAGTTCTGTTGAGAAAATGTACAATTTCGGCACCAGAATATTTGCATACGTAGCCTAGTATACTAGGCTATGTATATAAATATTCGTAACCCGTAAAACTATAGTTTTACGTGCGAGAACTCCCTGTATAGGTATACCCACACGGACCCAAGGTCGCGGACCAAGAATTAGTGCCTGACCAGCACCGATGACACAGAATTTCTTCCAGTCATCTTCCAATTTGCAATGCGACCGGCCTAATTCACGATTACTTCTCTTGGTAAGAGGTGGGACCTTTTCAATCCCTAAAAACTCTCCAGATTTGCCGTCCGAATTGAGTTAGTGCAACTAACACGCCGAGTACGAAAGAAGAGTTTTGATTATGATTCTTAGATGAATAACGAACATTTCTCAATAGTTTTTAAAATCAGTTTACGTGCCCGATTTAAATAAAATTGAGTTTTTTTTATAAAAACAGTGTTTTATGGGGAATCAGAATTTATTTAATCTTATAAATACTGTAATAAATGATAAAATAATCACTTATTTTCAATTTTACATATAAATAATTATATTACTGTAGTGTTTGTGTCCAATTTTAAAAAATTAAATTATAATGTTAAAAGAACAATTTTAAGAGTGACAAAATTTACGAGGAATGGTCTCTGAAATTTTTTGGCAAGAAAAGACCTTTAATTATCGCTCTGAACGTGAAATAGTATTGATTTTAAAATACTTTTTTCTCGAAACACGAACACTTTTAACAAAATCAGCCAAAATCCTCATCTTATAAATTTTCTAAATCCAAAAGAATGTACGAATCCATAGAAAAAAATGGTTCCAAAACAAAAAGTAGAAAAGTAATTTAATAACAGCTGCGACTTTGTGCGCCCTGCATGCTTCTGCCATCTGACGGCGGCAGAAGGTAATGTACCTGTCATTATATTACTTTTCGTTTTGCAATCATGGTTTTGTATGGATTTGTATAATCTTTAGGATTTAGAAAATTTATATAAGATAAGAATCTCTAGCTGCTTTTGTAAAAAGTGTCCGTCTTTCGAGAAGAAAGTATTTTAAAATTAATGTTTATCATTTTCACGTTTAGTGCCGTTTTTATAGGGCGATAAATTTAAATCGGACACGTAAACTGATTTTAAAAACTATTGAGAAGTGTTTGTTATTCATCTAAGAATCATAATCAAAAAGAATTTTTAAGTGCTAATTCATTTTTATTTAAACCACCTTCTGGCACACCGTGCACAGTTGAACCGTTAGGCTTTTGGGACAAATTCTCAATTTTTTGACTCACACGAAACGCATGAAGGCAAACGTTTAACATTTGATCTGCAGAAACGCCACGGCTCTGTCAACCTCTAGCTGGAACTGGTGCCGAAATTGTATATTTTCTTCACCAGAACTCCCAAGTAGAAATGTGCCACTGGCATAGTACTGACCCAACACTGCCAGTCAGTATAATAGTACTGACTGCCGTACTGGGCCAGTAGTGGACCAACCCTGGCTGGTAACGCTGTCCAGTACTGATTTTGTCCCGCTCACCAGTACTAACGTAGTACTAGAATAATACTGGCATAATACTGGCAAAGTACTCATCCGGACTTAAAATCTCACTTTTTTACAAAATGCTAAAACACGCTTTCCAATGCAAATTTCATCCTTATTAGCTTATTACTCCCATTTTTACCACGAACAGGTAATGTGAAGCCAATAATAGTTAATGTTATTTAGAATATATAAAATATTATTAACAATAAATAATTAAAATAATAATTATCATTTATATTAATTAAATTATTTTATTTTTAATAAATTATTTTACAAAAAATAATTTGTGTTGTAAATTTTTTTATTTTTTTAAATTCATAATATTTAATTTTTTTTACTTTGCACTTATACTTAATTTAATAATTATTTAAAAATTGATATTACACATGAACAAATATTGTACTTATAACACTTAAAACTAAGAACGAAAAATCTCGCACGCATGGGGGATCGAACCCTAAACCCTTAGAACGCAAGTCAGATACGCATACCGCACAGCCGCGCTGGCTTGAAGTGCTGACTTGAAGTAGTTCACCTAATACAAAAGTTTTGATTTCAAAGTTTGTATTATCTATTGATCACGAAAATAAAATGAATTTATTCTTAAATTTTTTAAACTCATAAAATTTTTTCAATTTTTACAAAGATTTAAGGAAATAAAACTGGATATCAATTTCAGTTAAATATTTTTAATAAATTATTTTTACCGTAAATAATATTAAAACAGACAAAAATGATTGATGAATTACATAATTAAAAATAAGTTAATAAAAGACGACTGTAAAATATGAATGGTAAAAAATTTTTTAAATTTAATATTTAATTATTAATAATATTTAAAAATTACAGTGAAAAAATTACATTTGCTTTATTTTTAAAACTATTAGAAAAAAATTCTCAACTTATTGTTATTGCATGCATGATAAATAACTTAATGCACATATTTCAATGAGTACTAAAATAACTAAAAAAACATAAATATATTTTATATAGGTATATAATAATACATTACAATTACATCCAAAATTTTGAGGGAAAGTATTCGAAAGAAATTAATATACATTTTTTTAAATAAAAAATCATCGTTTTTTACCTATTGGAATAATTTAAAGACTTTTTCATTTAATGTTTTTTATCACCGACATAGTACTGATTCGGTGTGAATGACAGTGTACTGCCAGTACTGGTTTTAATATTTTTTTACCTCCGACATAGTACTGATTCGGTGTATTAGTCAGTACACTGCCAGTACTGAAAGTCAATACCGACAGCCAGTATTGGATCAGTACCATGCCGGTGTTTAATTACGGCGAGCTACGGATATTTCTACTTGGGCTGGTACAAGTTTAGGTGCTCAACATGTACATTTTCTTGTACAAAATCTTGTACAGGGTTTTTTTTAATAGGGTAACCAATTGAATTCAAGAAGAAGTTTATAGGAAAAGGATTGGGAGAACTAAAATTCAGCTACGAAAACTTACAGTCGTATATGTTATGTACAAAGCCCGAAATTATACAGACCCGCGGTGTGAACAACGATTTTTGTACAGACCGCGATTGAAACAAGGTATTTTGTACAAAGCTAAAATTCCCGGGCTTGGTACAGATATTTTTGTACTGAGCTTATTGAAATCGAATTTTCCGAAAAAACTAACGAACTTAATTTATTTTCAAAATCGTTTTTCATATTAATAGAAACCTTTATAAATCGATAATAATATACGCTTTCGAGTAAGACTTCAATAGTACTAAATTAATTTTGAATTCAAAAATAAATTATATCCTCATTCTCTTGTCATAATTGTCAATCAAGATTCAATAATAAACAGAAATACATAACATATACATAAAAAGTGACTAAGAAAAGGCAAGTAGGCTAAAAAAAAAGTTGGGACACTTAGAGAGTAGTTTTAAATGTAACCCGATCAGGAATCAAATAATAGTTGTACGTTGTCATCAGTCCTTAGGAAATGGACACTTAGAAAAGAATTTAAAGGAAGCAGACATAAGCTGCTGGCTTTAAGTATTAAGAAGCTGATCATTTTGTTCACAGATTACGATATTTATACGAATTTATATAAATTTATACTTGAATGCGATTAATACTTCCTTTAAAAAAATCTACTTTAAAAATGTAAAATTTTTAATATCTATAGTTTAATTTACCCTATAATTTCAAATATTCCACAAGCATGTTCAATTAACATTGTAAAAATCATAGTTCCACTTATAGTTAAAACAGAACCTAAGTAAGCACAAAGATGAAGATGTATTGATATCCAATAATAATATTTTTCTGGATCTATACCAAAATCAACAATAGCTAAAACAGGTCTAATTTCATAACTATCATTTAGAAAATAAATGAGCAAAAAAATAGTACGTGAAAATAAGAAGACAGTAAGATTTCCCAAAAAACCAACTGAAAAGAGATGTATGATTTTATCTGTTAATTGTAAATGATATTTCATAAATTATTCAATATCTCATTTTATAAACAATGAATTTACCTAGGTAAAACGCATTATAAAATTTACTTCTTTTTGCATATTTGCATAAAACATAGGCATCATGTTTTGATGTTAAAGTTTTCCAATCACTTTGCATTTTTGAGAAAACAAGAATCATCTAAAAAGACATTTTTTGTTTTGTTACATTATTTAATACCCTAGTAGAAATTTGTCATGGCAGCACTAGAATTCGTCAAGTTACTGGACAGTTTTTTTCGTGTTGGATGATTCTAGCTAAACTTGCAAATTACTATATACATATAGTGGCTGACCAACACTCTTGGAAATAATTCAAGTTCACCGAAAAAAATCCTCTTGTTTCAAGAGGATTCCTCTTATTTCAATGCATATTTTCCTCTAGTATATGCTGCAAAAGGATGTCCCCTAGGTTTAAGAGGATTGTCCTCTATGTAAAATTATTCTTCTTAATTTAAGAGGAAAATATCATCTTAAAAAGAATTCTGAAATAATAAAAATGCAATCATCTAATTTGTATGTCATAGATATAATCTATAAAATTAAAAGGAATAAAATTTGCTATTCCATGATTTACATCTATTTGAGTATAAATAAATTGAAATTGATTTTAATTTTTTTGAATAAATCAACTAAATCTATTTTTAATAATATTTTTATGCCCAAATTTATTTTAAATAAATTTTCAAATATAATTAAAATAAATAAAAATCGTAATAAAATAAATGTTTAAATAGCATAACCTCAAAATTATTTAAATTTTCTTAAAAATTACTTTTAAAAATTTCTTTTACCTTCAAAAATAGGCACGTATCTTATAATTTATAGAGGAATATTCTTAAACATAGAAGATTATTCTAAATTCTAAGAGTATTATTTTTATTCTAAAAAGATTATTCTGAATATAAGAGGAATGCTCTAGAATAGTCCTTTTGTTTCGATCCTCTTGAAATTAGAGGAAAATATTCTCATTTAAAGAGTAATACTCTTGTTTTAAGAATAAAATTCAAGAGGATTCTGTAAGAGGAATTTTCCTCTGAATACAAGAATATTTTTTTTCGGTGTTAAACTCGAGAAAAAATGAACTTTCCTTTCCAGAGCATCTAAATCAATATTCGTTTTATGAAAATCACTGTAAATTATTGTTCCACATAAATATTTTTTGCATAACTTACTTAATTGCAATAAATATACACTTGCAAAATATTATTTGTTGTAAATGTTTGCCAACTGTCGCATGAATCAGAAACGAACATAACCTATATTTAGTTGAAATCACCTGATTGGCCCAAGACAAAATAGCGCGCGCTTTTTTAAAATAATGAAATTTATTAAATTATAATAAAATAATTGCAATAAATTAAATTATCATGAAAATAATATTACCTTGAATAAAAAAGTGTTTTTAGTTTTAAAAAAAATTATTAAAGAATTATTATTATTTTCAGACAAATTTTACAAATATAGTAGAATATTATTTTTCTGTTTGAGTATATTATAATAAAATAATAATAATAATAATATTATATTATATCAATAATTATTAATTTATTAAAATAATTTTTATTTATAAAATTTTATATATAATTTTTGAGGATAATAAATAAAACAAGGAGGGGGTCCTTTATGTTTATTTCATAAACATTATGCTTCCTCATTGTGTGAAGCAAAAAATTCGCTACCTCGTGAAGGAAGCAATGAATTTGTCCAATTCAATTGATTGATTTAAAAAATTTCGAGTTAAAAAGGTTTTAAATTAATTAAATTTTTTGAAAAATAAAGAAAATTTTAATTAATTTTGAGTGTAACATAAACTTTATATATACCAATCGATTCGTTTTAATGCAAGGAATACAATTATTTTATTCATCAACTTGAATTTTTAAAAAACACAAAATTTTTTAGCTAAAATATGAATTTTCGATTTTTCAATTTTTATTAATTCTCAAATTTTAAATCAAATCTATACTTTATATATACCAACCAATTCGTTTCAACGCAGGGAATAAAATTATTTCATATATAAACATGAATTTAAATAAACACATCATTTTTTAGCTAAAATGAGAATTTTTGATTTTTTAACTTTCATTAATTCTTTAAATTTCAATCAAATCTATACTTTATATATATATCAATCGATTCATCTTGACATAAAGAAGACGATTATATTATATATTATCTTAAATTTTTCGATTTAAAAATTTTTTCAATTAAAAAAAAATTTTTGGAAAAAAGACGATAAAATTTTTTTTTGGGGGTACTTTTAAAAATCCTCTCGTCATTTTTGAGAGATTAATGTGTTAAATAAGCCTACCAAATTTTACCCAAATCCATTAAAACCTGTTAAAGATATCGTGTTCACAAAAACTATCCACACACACATACACACACACACATACATACATCCGGACAATTGATCAGAATCTCATATAACATGTTTCTATATAGAGGAAAATTTGTTTTCACCATTTTTAAAAATTTTATAAACGAAAGGACTACATAGCTTCCTCCACGAGGAAGCAAAAAATTAGTAATTAATTTTTTTATAATTATCTAATGTTTAAATTAAATTATAAATAAATCATTTAAAATCAAATAAACATCTAAAATGTTTATTTGCCTAGAAAATAATAAAAATAATATGCACAAATTCATAATATTATTAGGTACAGTGAAACACGTCAAGCATTTATTCTAATATCACTAATCAGAACGGCCGAGTTGCATAAAGCGTGCGTTTCTATCATTCGCGCCCAGCAGACCCGTGTTCGCTCCTCGGTACCCCCAAGATTTTTTCGTTGAAACTGCGAGAAGTGTTTTAAGGTACATGTTTATGACATTCATATTAATATAATAATTATAATTGTTTCAGTGTTGTTAATAGTTCAGTCAAGATGTGGATGTGTTGCATCAATCGTTGTACTTATGTAATTTTTTTTTAAATCCAGTTTAATTGTGAATGAAAAATAATATTTTTTATAACGAATTACTATATTTAGTGCATTATATTTTCATATAATAATTTTTGTTGATAATTGTAATTTTTTTTTTTAATTACATAAAATAAAAGTGTTTACTACATTAAATCTTATTATTAAATGAATTTCGAAATATTTAAAAGAATTAATTTGACTAGTTTTTCAAAAGTCCTATTGATAAAAAATTATCAAGTTGTGCTGGATAATATAACTTGATGAAAAAAGCGTGACATGACATTCGAGTTTTTAGCGAGCTGGCTAGTAAAGTAACTAGACAAATTCAAGCACGACTGGCCGCAGTTCTTTTATTATAGCTAGGACAAATTTCTACTATAGGGAAGGACAAAGAATAAAAAATTATAACTAATTACTTGTTTTTCTTGGACATTGTTGTTTATTAAAATTATAATACTTATTGATGCGAAACAGAGTGGTGGAATGCACTCCAGTACCAAATCAATATCACCATATATTTCTGTAAGACCTACAATCTAATTATATTAATTAGTTATTTATTTTAGAATAACTTTTCAAAATAAAGTATATTACCTGCCCAACGGAACAAGACAGTATAACAAATGAATAGTAAGATTTTATCAAAAATTTTAACCACTTTGGATGATAAGGACTTTGTCCTGTTGCTATTATAACATATTTAGTTAGAGTGTAGTATGGATTTTCTAATATATCCATTTCGCTTCAGTATCTATGCTATATTGGCAAAAAAAAAAATAATGTGAAGTTTATTTCCGCTTAGTAACACTCCAATACCATGTAAAAATATCACGTCGACTAATAAATTATTTATGTTTACGCAAACAGTTTTCTTGAGATCTGATAATCGTTTCTGTAAATAGAATAATAATCCTTTAAAATATTCTTTACTTTGTTTCTTCGTAAAACTTTAATCAATATCACTGCAATAGCAGTGTCTATAGATTCTTTATAGATAAAGCTGAAGCTAATACCAGTCTTGCTGTGACTTTCACTGATCTTACTATACTCTTATGACAAATAAAATCTGATGTTTCTGTAGTTGTCTCCAAACAACAAAGAAAATATATAATTTCAGAAGATATATAATCTTGGTGGGGTTTTGGATATTTGTATGGTTCTTATTCTTCTCTTTATAAAAATGAGTTAGTGGATTTTACCATTTACTAGTTGGTTAGTTTATGTACAATTTTACCGTTACAAAATAAATTGGTAAAGTCATATATTTCTATCAGACAACAAGAATAGAAAATCTTCAATTAAAATATATCAAAATTTATTAGTTAATACAAAAATATTAGCTTGTTGTTAGTTAATTTCCATTTGATAAAGTGACCACAAGGCAAAATCAAGAAGACATGTTTCTAACATCGATTTTGTCTCAAATTTCTTAGTAGATGAAATCGATGAATTGACTTTTTAACCATGGGAAAAATTTAAGCAGCCTTTACGTTGCTTATAACAAATTTTGAAATTTTAAAAACTTAATAAAAATTTACCCACTTGGTGTCATACAAATTTTATTTATTTTATATCAATACTATTAACAAATAAAAAATTTACAATTTATAGGTAAAAATATGAAAATTTCAGATTTTGTAATCACTTTGTTGATTGTTTTCATTTCTTAAAAATGATCTAATAAAATGAAACAACTTTTTTTTGCAAAGTTACCCAGTGAGCACACTTGCTCATAAGACGTTCTGAGGATATCTTTTTGTGAACGTTTTTTGGACTCATTTTGAGCTCAGGTTTTTTCTGTGATTGCAAAGTTCGTAAAAATTCAGAAATTGCATACTTTCAAATTAATATTTATTTTATATTTAAAATAAAAAATAAAGAAAGCGCTAAGAAAACCTGAAAGTTCATCACAAATACTCTAAATTACGTGAATTTTTATTTTATTTAATAATTCCACTTTCTCGAAATTAATAGAAAAAAATCGCAAAATTAGGTTATTTTAATATCTATTGTAATAATACCTATTATTTTAATTTTATCACTAGTTTAATCATTAACCCCTTAACAGTCGTTGTCCCATAAATGTCCAAAAAAAGTCATGCCACCTTTGTCATTTTGGATATATTAGAAATGGGTTTTTAGGGTCGCTGAATCCGAATTTGAGGTCAGAATTAAAAAATTCAAAATAACGGACCCAAAATAATAGCGTCCAAAAAATTTAAAAATTGACAAAATTTACATAAAAATGATCGCTTTAGGGTTTTTGGGGTAGCCAAATCCAAATTTGAGGTCAGATTTAAAAAGTTCAAAATGGCGGACCGAATATGGCGGAAAAATTTAAAATTGATTCGATTCGTTCAAAATTTGGTACTCGGGAATTTTTGGGGTCGCTGAATCCAAATTTGAGGTCAAATTTAAAAAATTTTAAATGGCAAACCACTATGGCGGAAAATTTTTAAATTAATTTGATTCGTTCAAAATTCGGTACTCGGGGGTTTTAGTAGTCTATGAATATAAAATTTTGAATTTGTTAAATCTAACCTCAAATTTGGATTCAGCGACCCCAACAACCCCCTAGTATCGAATTTTGAACGAATCGAATCAACTTTAAATTTTTTCCGCCATCTTGGGTCCGCCATTTTGAATTTTTTAAATCTGACGTCAAATTTGGAAAAATAAAAACGAAAAATTGATGGAGAAAACTTTTTTCTATCAGAATCACCAATCAATAAAAAATTAAATTTTTATATCACATATATCATATAGAAGTAACTTTTAAATAAGACCGCAACGATTTAATTCGAAATATAATTTAATTTTTAGACCCAGAATCAAAAGAAATACACTCAAATTTTTTGAAAAACGTATCCTTGGTAAATAGTGTTATTTATTTTGTTTAGAAAAATATAGCTTGAGTAGTGAACATGAAATAATAAAATTTCGTGCGATAATGGATTGAAGATCGTCAACGACGATCTCTTCTAATAGATATGCTGGATTCGTCAGCATTCATTGAAATACCAATCATTGACATTCATAAATTTTTTTCCCTTCTTGTTGACGAATAATTAATTGATTTCTCATTTAGATTAATATTTTTTTCCAAATCTAATATACCTATATATATAAATATCTATATAAATAAATGAAAACATATAAACATTAACAATCAAATATTTGATTATAATTATATTAGAATTTTATTCTAGTTTTATTCACTTCATTTTATTATACTCTAATGTAGAAGTGAAATACTCTAATAGACTAAAAAAAATTTCTAATGTAAATGCAAATATACATACTGCGTATACACATAAAATTGTATAGACATAACAATAAAATCAAATAAAAAATTCATAATTATAATAGTTCCTCTATGTATACAGTGTATCTACTTTTATGATTCCTAATTTAAGTTTTCCCTATAGAAATTTTTTTCCAAGTACTTTTTTTCCTTTTAATGTTAATTCTCAAGAGATTTGTGAAAAATGGAAAACTTTTTTAACATTCCTCAATTTCAAATTAATAGATTTTTATTGATTTCTCTCGGTCTTTGGCCATTTAGAATGAAAGTGTTACAAAAAATGTGTTTTTTACTCTTCATCTTTTTCGTTTTTTGTCAGACGTTTTTACAGGTACGTTAATTTTGAATCATTTTTTCGTTTCTTTTTCTAGATACCTTAAAAATGTTATGTATATATATATTTATTACACACTGAGAGAAAAAATTGATTGGGGTAACCCTATTTTGAGGTGACCATTTTTATTTAGTAAACTATACTGCTGCTAACATATATTAGTTGTAGTTACTATTGGTTGGCATAACTATATTTTATTAGTTGGTTTAACTAACTAGTTTGTTGGAATAACTATTTAACCCCTTCGCAGTCGAGTAGAAAAATCGTTTGTGGGCCTAAAACGGTCCAAAAAAAAAGTTTCCAAAAAAATTTTATATCATATTATAGGTTATTGGGGTCGCTGAATCCGAATTTGAGGTCAGATTTTAAAAATTCAAAATGGCGGACCCAATATGGCGAAAAATTTAAAATTGATTCGATTCGTTCCGAATTTTGAACGAATCGAATAAATTTTCAATTTTTCCGCCATATTGGGATGTGCCATTTTGAATTTTTTAAATCTGACCTCAGATTTGGATTTAGCGACCCCAAAAACCCCAAAGGAACCATTTTTATGAAAATCAAGTCAATTTAAAAATTTTTTTTTGGACGCCATATTGGGTCCGCCATTTTGAATTTTTTAATTTTGACCAGAAATTCCGCTTCAGCGACCCCGAAAACCTTAGTATACACATTGACACTCAATTCTAATTATATGTTTAGTATTTTTTTTCTAATGTAGACATATATGTCCAAAATCACAAAGGTGGCACGAATTTTTTTGGACATATATGCGCCATCGACAGTCAAAGAGTTAATTAGTAACCTTACTAACGAAATAGTTAGGCTGACAAACTAAATGGTAACAGTAAGTAATATAAATTAGCAAAAATACTCTTACTAACGAAATGGTAATCACAACCAATCGTTTCTCTCAGTGCATAAACCTCTCCTTATAAATGCAACATTTTGTTGCATTTTAACTTCATTAAAATGAGTTCTATTTATTTGCAAATTTGTCCTTTATTGTATTTTTTAAGCTAGGAACTATAATAAAGGCATCTATGGAGGGAGACATTGACGTTACTCTAGAAACTGTCCCATATACTTTACTCGACTTGATAATTTTAGCAAATATCATTTTATGGTTAATTTACTTCACTAGTGTGAGTTTTTTTTTAACTCTTAAATGTAATTTTAAAACTCATTTGATAAATCATTATTAGGAAAAAATGCATAACAAAATTTAAAAAAAAAATTATTTTAACAACAAAACATTTGGATCATATAAAATTTTGATGTTTTTATTTAGCCAAAAACAGAATTTTTTTCACTGTCCAAAATCAAAATTTTGTTAATTCAACCAATATTTTTAAGGTTTAACTAAATTTTAAAAATATTAAAAATTATAGTAATATTTATATTAAATTTAGTCTAGAGTAAAGTTATTTAAAAATTTTTAACGGTTTTATAATTTTAAATTCTTATATTTTTTTCAGATAAAAAAAATTTTTAAAAATATGTACTCTAGTTGGCATTACTTTCTTCCTGAAGAAAGATTAATATTGGAGGAATATGCTGATAAAAGTCGAAAAATTACTGTAACCTATGCTTGCAAGTGAAATAATTAATTCTTTTAATTAGCGTTTATAAATCATATTGAGCGAATGTTGATTACGATGCCGGTGTCCGTATGACGTTCTCACGTCAACCTCAAAGTCAACACAAGGTCAAATACCTTAATTTGAAATATTTAATTTTTTTTTACCCCACTTTCAGAAAGAGCGGAAAATGTTACATCCAGATATGTTTTGACCTTCTTTTAAACTAACATTTCAAGGTCATTTCAAGGTCATCTAGAGGTCAAATTCTTCTATTAATTTCTAAGCGGGAATTTTATCCTGGAATTGGTCCTAGAACAGTTGCTTCTTATGTTTTTGGGGTCGCAGATTACGATGCCGGTGCGGTGTCCGTGTGACGTCATCAGGTCAGCATCAAGGTCAACTCAAAATCAAACACCATAATTTAAAATATTTAATTAGCGACCCCAAAAACATAAGAAGCAACTGTTCTAGGACCAATGCCAGACTAAAATTCCGGGCCAGAGAGTAAAAGAAGAATTTGACCTCTAGGTGACCTTGAAATGTTAATTGAAAAAAAGGTCAAAACGTATCTGGACGTAAAATTTTCCGCCCTTTCTTAATCCGGGGTCAAAAAAATTAAATATTTCAAATTAAGGTATTTGACCTTGTGTTGACCTTGAGGATGACGTGATGGGGTCATACGGACACCGGCATCGTAATCAGCGACCCTAAAAACATAAAGGTCTCCTACGCTTAAAACATGTCCACCTCAATTTCCCTTTGTGGTCTTGTGTAATGTAGGAAAGACCAGGAAAGTAAATAGTGTATTTTAATTTATTTAAAAAAAATATCCGTATGTAATGTGTGTGTACTAATTTTACATTTGCCTCAATATCTCATGTACCAGAAAAGTTTCTGACCTGAATTTTTTTCAAATTGTAAATCTTATTGCGGGGGATATTACATAGTAGTATTTGAACCTGATTAATCAAGTTTATATTTTTACATTTTAAAATTTTCAAAAATAGGGTAACTGCACCAGAGGTGGATCAACTGAGAGAAAAATGGTCATTTGTGTTTACACGTTTGTAAGTAAATGAACCGCAAGTGTCGGTAATTGTTAAGAAAGTTATACAGATCAATATTACAATTTAAAAAATTTTTTAAATTCATCGCGAAGAAAGCAGGACAATTACTAAAGTGGTGACAGAAAACAAGAGTTTTCCTTAGCATGTAAGTTAAGAGTATATTTTGGAATAGAAAGCTTTGGAGCCATTTTAGGACAATTTTTAATTCTTTTCACAATAGGAGGCACTTCGTTTCATCCCCATAGAGCCCTGAGAACAATATTTACGTCTGTAAGTAGCGCGTGTCCATTGTTTTGGGGTGATCCACGACTGGAACCAAAAAAGTAACAAAATCTAGTGGTGGATCAATCCTACTTTTCGCCTGTTGACGCATTGTGGACGCTCCACTTGACATGAAGTTTTTGAGTTTTTATTTGTTCTTCAACTACTTTCTTCTTTTGTCTTCAAAATATGTTTCTTAAATTTAAATTCAAAAACTTATTTAAGTTTTATTTTGTTTAAAACTCGACATTAATAATTCAAATGTTAAATTTTTTTAAGTAAAAATTTTAGTTTCGTTTAATTAAAAACTTTGTGAACTGAATTTTCTTCGAAAATTATTAACATAAAATTAAATTTTGTTTAATTCAAAATTTTATGAATTAAATTTTCTTCTAAAATTTTTAACATAAATTCAAATTTTAGTTTTGTTTAATTAAAAAATTTGTGAATTTAATTTTTTTTTTTAATTTTTAACGTTAATTTAACTTTTAGTTTTGTTTTATTGAAAATTTTATGAGTTAAATTTTAGTTAACACTAATTCAAATGTTTATCAATTGTTAACATCTGATTTCAAATTGTTAAATTATTGTTGAATTAAAATACCCAGAATTAATAAATGTTATTTATCATTGAAACTGAAGCTTTAAGAGTTTCTATTTATTTATTAGCACATTTAGTCACATTATACCTATAGAAATGAAAGAGGAGGGGATAAGTATGGATAGGAAAGTGAATTTGAAAATCTGTCCGTAATTTTGAAATGCAATGTTTTTTAGTATGATTTTTTAAGTGATCCACCACTGGAGCAATCTATAACCATGACTGGTGCAAACAGTGATCCAGAATAGGATCATTGACAAATTATCTTTGATGGAGCATTAAAGTAAACGTAGGTGTCAAAATCAAGTCCAACCTTAAAGGAAATGTCTATTGGAACTATCTGGTCCATAATACTATAAAGAATAACCTCGATTTTGTCTAAAAGCAACCTATACAGAACTTCAAAGTCAAAATAAGAAAGTTAAAGGGCTTAACTGATCCACCACTGGTGCAGTTACCCTATGTTTTTTGCCCATAACTTTAAAAAAACACCTATAGATATTTTTTTTTTAATTTGTAAACCTTTTTAAGACGCATCTTTTGTCCTATTTTTGTTTACCTTTAAAAATAAAATATGACGGAATTATTAACGATTAAAAAGTCAAAAAAATTGAAAAATCTGAATTTTTCATATTTTTAACTTAAAAAATTTTCATTCTTTGAATTATTACAACAACAAAAATCCTTGTATGCAAAGTACATGCATTATTTTTCATTTAAATTTATTATATTTAACTGCATATTAAGAATATATATTAAGTTTGAATCAAACAAAATTTATGTTGAAATGGAATATATTTTCTCAGTATAGCTTGTAAGTCATTACTCGGAAGTTTTAGGGTTTGATGATTACGAATCTGACATTAAATTTTCAAATTCATCAAATTTGCCCAAAACTTGTGCCTGGAGGTATTTGGGGTTGCTTATGATAAATTTAATAATCACTCTCTAAATCTGAATTAGTAGTTTTTCAACTAATGAAAGAGTGCGGATTCGTTTACCAATTGGATTAGTAACAGTTTTGACTGTTTTTTAGTAGGAAACTACTAATTGCTAGTAGAAAACTACTAATTCATGGTGTAAATCGGCTTACTAATTTGGAATAGTAAAAAAAACGACTTACTCCATAAATGAGTAGTTTTCTACTAGCAATTAGTAGTTTTCTACTAAAAAAGAGTCAAAACTGTTACTAATTCAATTGATAAACGAATTCGCACTCTTTCATTAGTAGAAAACTATACTAATTCAAATTTAGAGAGCAGTAATTCAGAAACCTCCGAGTTTCAAGTCATATCAACGCAATGTATACCTATACTTAAAAATAATTAGATAATTTTAAATTATATTTTAGGGAGTATATACGGACCTCTTTTCCCATTCATGATTTTTGAATTATATTTAATTCTAACAAATTCATTTTCACACACAACGGAGACAACTATGCAATTTCTTTATCCAGTAAAACAATTTTTGAATATTCAAAATTATTATTACTGGGTTGTTGCAATCACATTTTTTGGTACTTTTGCTATGATCAGTGGATTCGTTGCTTTTGATACAATATTTGTCATTTTCATTCAACATGCTTGTGGAATGTTTGCAATATTGATGTAAGAATATGTAATATACAATTTCATACATTTGCAATTTTATGAAACAAAATATGCTTAAAAATTTGAGTTACAGAAAAATTTTGTTTAAATTCATACCTAATAATATTTATGAAGTTTGCATGTTTCAATTTTTCAAAAAAAAAAACATTATATCATTGACATATATTGAAAAAGAATAAATACCAAATTATTTTACAGTGAACGTTTAAAAAATATAAATGGAGATAATGCCATTTTTCTCAAGCACAACAATAATAAAAATCAAGATAAAAATTGTAAAATTCTTATTGAATGCTTGGCAGTACATGAAATAATTATTGAGTAAGTTTTTTCTAGTGAAAAAAAAATTAAATTAATATAAACTTTTTACATTACTTTTGAATTAAATATTAACATGATTTTATTATATTTAGATTTACAGATTTAGTTAATTCTACCTTTTCTTTAGGACTACTAATATCAACTATCTTAAACTCAATTCTTTTAAGCTTCACATCATTTTGCGTAAGACTAATTATTATTATTATTATTCAACATCAAAATTTTGTTTTACAGATACCTAAATAGGGTGAAGGAACCAATTACAGAGACCGTTCCAATTAAGAACCTAAAACATTGTCTTTAAATAGTTTTTTTGTGGATCTAAAAATAATATATTATATTTTACACTCAGTAAGAAGCGAGAATTCCATTTCTGTCAAATTATTTTGTTTTCATTTGGAGTAATTAAAAATAATCTCAATTCAATTCTTTTCAATGCCATTTAAAAATTTTATGCTAAAAAAATGTATTGGTTTGAAGATTTAAACCTTCGATTTTTTTGTGCTGAATTCGAACAACTTGTCAGTGCAGCTATATATTTTATAGATAATTTTAAAGATACTTAAAATGAAACTTATTTTAGTATTTTAGAAATTAAAAAGAATTTAAAAGTGAACAAAATATTAAAATGGAACATATTGGAATTCAAACTTGACCCAACAGAGAATACAAAAGAATTGGACAGAAATGGAATTCAAAAAAATATTATGTAATTCATCATTTTCTTTAAAAAAGGAAAAAATTGTCAATTCTAAATGGATAAATGGTTATTAGTGCCTTTACCCTATATAGATTAAAGTTATAATTTTATTACAAACTATGCATGAAGTTCTATTGTATATTTTAGGCTCGTGAATATAGACATAATCCCACTATTATGACGAGGTACATAATCTTAACTGTAGTTGAGATATTTCATCTTTTCAATAAATTTTGGCAATGTCAAACATTAATTGATCACAGTATTTTATTTAGAAATTCTATGTAAGTATTAATAAATATAAATATACGTATAGGTATATCACAGATTTCTGTTACCGACATGTACCGACACTTGAGAAAAAAGTGGTTCTGATCCGTGCTAAATGTAAAAAGCCATAAAGATTAATATGGGAGGAGATATTTAGCGCTATTTCGTGAAAAAAACAAACAATGCTTCATTAATCGCGAATTTTTTTTGTAAAAAACTGAGAAAGAAAATATCAAAAAACGTATAAACTATCATCAAACTGTTTGCTTTTATCACAAAACAACGCTAAATATTCTACTCCCTTTTAACTTTCTATATTTAGCACGGATCAGAACCACTATTTTCTCAAGTGTCGGTAACATGTCGGTAACAGGAATCTGTGCATCGAACACTCCCTGTATATCTACTTATGATTTTAGATATGATTCGAATTGGTATAAAGTATCACCTAAAACAAAAAAAGTTTTGTACATTATGTTAATTAGATCGAAAAAATTGTGTACAATAACAGCAGGAAAATTCTTTGAAATGTCTTTTCATACTTTCGGGAAGGTATGGAAATTTTTTTAAATATGCGGATAGTTTGGTCATTTTAAACTACATTTAAAATTGATATATATATATATATATATATATATATATATATAATTAAAAATATATAATGTAAATTTTAATTTTACTTTCAAGATTTTAAAAACAGCTGCTTCATATTTCACAGTTTTAGTAACTATAAAAAAAGTATAAAAATTTTCGAAACAACCTATGATAAAAATACAAATATTTTGTTAAATGCTAAAAACAAAAATAATTGTCAAACTGTGACGCGAAATTTAATCAACTGATGAGTAATTCCAGATGAACTTATCACAAAAAAATTGTTGGATAATAATTATGCTATGGAGAATTAATATAATTGTAGACAAATTTTTCTATTAAACCAATTGATTAAAATAAAAGTCTGTGAATTTTTTTAATTACATTATATACATGGAAATATTGAACATTGTAAAAGTTGATTTTATTTGAACATATACCGTATGTCAGACTTCTTGATGTGACGTATATATACGTTTGGGAATATCCACATTCTAGGGAAACTCGATTCTCTCCTAATGACATAAATATTGGTTTTTTTTTTGTTAAATATATTTATGTAAATACTTACTTTGTATTTACAAAAACTTTTACAAACATTAACAAAAACAAAACAAAAATAAATTTCATAATTTGACTAGTTTTTGAAGGTGTTCAACATATTTTCTTGTACTAATTTAATTCTCAAAAAATTTTGTAAATGGATAATTTTTTTAAATTCTCTCAATTTAAAATTAATAGATTTTTATTAATTTCTACTGGTTTATGGCCGCTTAAAATAAATTGGCAACAAAAATTGTGTTTTTCGCTCTTAATTTTTCTAGTTTTTTGTCAAACGTTTTTACAGGTAAGTAAAATTCTTTTTAGAAAGTTTATCGAAAAATATGTATATATGAGTCTATAAACATTTTTCTTTTTATTCTTGACAATTTTAATTATATTCTGAATAATCACAATTTTCTATATTTAAAATAAAGTAGGTAATTTTTTACGAGATTAAATTTTTTTTAAGGTAGGAACTGTAATAGTGGCATCAAAAGAAGGAGACATTGTCGTTCTTTTAGAAGCATCGCTAAATATTTTTATCGACAGTATGATTATATCATTTATTATATTGTGGCTAATTAAATTTACTACAGTGAGTTGTTGTTTTTTACTATTATAATGAAATTTTATAAATCGTTTAATAAATGTTATTCAATCAGATAAGAGTTGATATAACAGTAATATATTCTTTTAATTTGAATCATGTTCAACATATCGTTGACATTAATCTTTTTGATTATGCTCAAAATTTTTTTACCGTTTTGTACCCTTCAAAAAAGCACTTCATGGTTTTTTTCAAATTTTTTTATCAAGCCGTTTTCGAGATGTGAATTTTTATAAAATTTTAATGTTTCATATTTAAATGTTCATAACTTCCTTAAAAATGCATCAATTTTAAAAGTTTTTCTTTCAAAATGTGTGTTTTTAACTAAAGTTTTCAAAAATTTCATGCAAAAAATTATAAAATTAAAATTTTTTATATATATTTTGTAATTTAACCCTTAACTGGCACCATGGGTCCAGTAGACCTAAGAATTTTTTCGAGATCAAATTAATTGAATGTGTAGCTTTTACGAAGCTGAAGTACGCAACGTTTATGATAAACAATTTTTAAAGAAATAATTTTTTAAAATAGAAAATTCTATAATTGTTTGCCTAAAAAATATTTTTTTTATAATTTGTTGATTAATGAAAACTACAAGGAATATTTTTTATGCAACCCAGATAGCACGGAAACTTGCAGCAAGCTTGCGGCAAGTTCACCGTGCAAGCTTGCCAAGCTTGCCCCTCAAATTTGTTTCGAAAATTTTCTCGTTAAGTTTCCAAATGAAAATAAACAGGACATAATTAATAATAATAAACGTCACAAGGATTTTCATATTTAAAAAAAACAAATAAATTTTTTTTTAATTTAAAATGTATTTTTTAAAAATTGCAGCAAGCTTGCTGCAACCTTTCCAGAAGCTTGTTGAAATTCTCCTGCAACCTTACGTAGCAAGCTTACAGCAGACTTTCACGGCAAGCTTGCCGCAATCATTCTTAGTATGCTTGCAGCAATCTTGTAGCAATCTTTCATGGCAAGATTGCAGCAACCTTTCCTGGAAAGCTTACAGCAAGCTTTCACGGCAAGCTTGCCCTGGGTGGGACATTTCGCTAGCTCAGACAAGCTTGCAGCAAACCTGCGCGGCAAGCTTGGCAAGCTTGCACGGTGAACTTGCCGCAAGCTTGCTGCAAGTTTCCGTGCTATCTGGGAAAGAATTATAGAATTTTTCATTTTAAAAAATTATTTCTTTAAAAATCGTTTATCATAAACGTTGAGTACTTAAGTTTCGTGCTCTTTTTTCAAGGTTACAAAACGGTAAAAAAAATTTGAGCCAAATCAAAGAGGTCAAACTCAACGATATGTTGGTTTAAATGGAAGCCCTCATATATAAAAAATATTCTATGTATATTTCTTATATTTTTTTGTAGATAAAACAAATTTTTAAAAATATCTATTGGACTTGGCATTATTTTCTTCCAGAAGAAAGAACAATTTTAGAGAAATATGCAAATAAAAGTCGAAAGATCACTGTAACCTTTGCCTGCAAGTGAAATAACTAATTATTATTTTTCACGTACTGTTTATAGTAAATATGCACATTAAGCAAAAATAATTTTAATATATGAGATTATTAATTATAAACATAAATATATTCATAATAATTAATTACCTACTATTTTTGAATACTATTTTAGGGAGTTTGTACGGAATTCTTATCCCATATATGGTTTTTTTGTTATATCCCATCTTAACTAAATCATTTCCACAAAAAAATGAGAAAACTATGCAACTTCTTTATCCAGTGAAACATTTCTTGAATATTCAAAATTATTATTACTGTATTGTTGCGATGACATATTTTGGTACCCTTGCTATAATCAGTGCATTTGTTGTATTTGATACAGTAATAGTAATTTTCATTCAACATGCTTGTGGAATGTTTACAATATTGATGTAAGAACAAATATTATTTAATGTTTAATGTGAAGTTTGCATGATTTTATAAAATTTTACTAAGAAAATTATATTACATTTACATATATATTTTTAAAAAAATTAGATAACAAATTTTTCTAGGCAACGTTTGCAAAATATAACTGGAAATAGTGACAGTTTTGATCAGCACAACGCTTATAAAAATCAGGATAAAAGTTGTGAAATTGCAATTAAATGCTTGGCAGTACATAAAATTATTATTGAGTAAGTCTATATGAAGAATATAACTAAATATATACTAGTAAACTTTCACGTAGAGAAAAAAAAGGCTACGGTAACCGGAGACCCAAGTAGTAACTGCCTGAATGACCAGTAGCATTAAAATCAACACAATTTGGGTCCCAACTAGTTTTTGCATAGTTAAAACTCAGACGGTACACCGAGAAAAAAGATTTCTTTGATTCAAAGAAAATTTATATATTTCAAACAAATTATCTTTAATTAAAAAAAAATTATCTTCGTTTCAAAGAAATTTGTTATTTAATTCAAATAAATGTTTGTTTGACCCTATATCTTTGAAACTAAGAAGCTTTTTTTGTTTCAAAGAAAAAAAAATTATTTTTAGACGATCGAAGACGAAGAAGATTCGACTGATCTTCTTCAATTCATGATTGAAGAAAAAGATGTTGAGCATCAAAAGATGTTTGAAGCAACTTCTTCAACAATTAACGATATTTTAAATGATTTTTCAAAAGCTCTCAATATTTCAAAAGATGAAGATATTTTAAAATATTGGAAGGTAGAAAAGATTTACATCCCCAATTATATTCTCTATCAAAAATTGTTGACGCTGCCCATCTAAAAATTAATTAATTGAAAATTAAAAAATTCAAGCATTTCCTACCTTACCCTCCTAATTTTAACCAGACTTTTAATACAGCTTGTGTTTGCCAGCCAAAAATTACTTGGGTCTTAAGTTCTGCCGTGCAAAACTGAAAAACCGCACGGAGAGAAATAGATGGTAAGAATTTATGATCTTAAGATGGTAAAAAGTAGATGTTATCCGGTACTATCGTTATGCTACTCGGTACTATCAAAGATGTTACAAAAAGTATGGTTATGTTACCCACTACAATCAAGATGTTACTTTGTACAATCTGGATAGTAACTAATAGAATCTAGATTGCTGTCCGTATATGTATATGTACTATCTAGATAGTACCCCGTACCATCTATTTCTCTCCGTGCGTAACTTTATTTTTCAAATACCTAGCTTATGTTACACTCTAAATCTGAATCAATGAAAATTTCACTGAATACAAATCAGTGGCTCAGAATTAGTGGTTTCTTACTGATTCTCAGTGAAATTCCATTGGTGAATTAAAGAAAACTGAGCCACTGATTTGAATTCAGTGAAATTTTCACTGATTCAGATTTAGAGTGTAAATTTTTCCTTTTTGCAAGAATATAGAAATTGAAATTATGAAAATTTTGATCCACATCAGGTAGAAATAATTATTTCTACCTTAACAAAACAAATTTTGATCAAAATTTTAATCTCTTTATTTTTATAGAAAAAATGTGAAAATGTAATGGTCAACATTACCTGATTGAAAAATGAAATTGCGGTCTTTCAGTTTTGACCGTAGTCTTTTTTTTCTTTCTGTGTATAATATATTCCTGCACGGAGAGAAATAGATGGTAAGAACTTATGATCTTAAGATGGTAAAAAGTAGATATTATCCGGTACTATCATTATGCTACTCGGTACTGTCAAAGATGTTACAAAAAGTATGGTTATGTTACCCACTGCAATCAAGATGTTACTTCGTACAATCTGGATAGTAACTGATAGAATCTAGATTGCTGTCCGTATATGTAAGATCAAATATGGTATCTGGTACTATCTAGATAGTACCCCGTACCATCTATTTCTCTCCGTGTGGTGTCTTTAAACCTATAGAATGTAGATACTTAGACAGAAGTCTATAATTTTATTAATATAAATTTTATCAGATTTTCAGATCAAGTTAATTCGGCTTTTTCTTTAGCACTACTAATATCAATTATCTCAACCACGGTACTTATAAGTTTTACAGCATTTTGCGTAAGAATTATTTTTTATTTACAATATCTTAGGTTCTTTTAGAGTAAACTACAAAATAAATGTTTAAAATTAAACACTTATTAATAATTTAAAATATGCAGCAAATTTGATGATAATTACATTTTAGGCTCGTGAATATCGACATACTTCCTCTATTATGGTTAGATACATGATCTTGACTTTAGTTGAAATTTGTCAACTTTTCCATAAATTTTGGCAATGTCAAACATTAATTGATCACAGCACTTTATTTAGAAATTCTATGTAAGTAATAAAGTTGAAAATAATTTGAAACATATATAGTAACTACACTGAAAAAAAATTTATTTGATTCAAATAATTCGGTTACTTTTGACTACTATCTAATAAATATTTACATGAACCAAAAAATTTTTATTTGAAATAATTAAACTGTATCAAAAAACTTTTTTTTCAGTGTATCATTTGTTGTTTAATTTTTATAATATATATTCGTATAGTTTAAAAATTATTTTATATAGACTAATAAAACTAATAAAAAAATATACAATTTCAGCTATGATTCAAATTGGTATAAAGCATCACTTAAGACAAAAAAAATTTTGTACTTTATGTTACTTAAATCTGAAAATGTTTGTAAATTAACAGGAGGAAAATTCTTTGACATGTCTTATCACACTTTCGTCAAGGTATGAAAATTTTTTGAAAATATATGAGCCTATTTTCACCGTGTGGATAAATTTAATCTTTCGAGAAGTTAAAGGCAGTAGATATGTTCTGCGTCTGCGCAGAAACTGTATACAAACATTCTGCGCAAAAGCAAAATATATCTTTACTGCCTTTAACCTCACGGAAGATTAAATTTATCCTCACGGAAGATTAAATTTATCCACACGGTGAAAACGGGCTCTACATATTTTAATTTACATTTTTGAATTTTTAATCTTTTTTGCCTTTATAATGTATAATATTAAAAGTATTTTTAATTTTTAGATATTAAGCTCAGCAGTTTCATATTTTACAGTTTTATCAACGATAAAATAATTAAATTTAAAAATTAAAAATTAAATTTCTCCAACATAAAACGGTGTTATTACTTTTGGACAATGATATCGGCTATAAAATAATAATTTATGGTATATCTGACGAATTCCATCTAAATGTTATGACTACTTTATATGTCACTCTTATGACAAACAAAAAATAATTTATATTATTTTTGGCCGAGTCAATTTAGAAGAATAGATTTTTCTACTTTTTTTCGCTTCATCAAGGAATTGAATAAAAGCGTAAATTTACGTAAATTTATCTAAACATTTTAAACATGGCGGACATTTTAATATTTATTCAACCTTTACTAAATATTACAACTAAATATCCGGTAGTTTGTACTTAGACCTTTAATAAATATTTAGTAAAGTCTCAATGCTGTGTGGATAATTATAGACTAATTTTTCTATTGAACAAATGATTAAAATAAATGTGTATAATTTTTTTATTACATTATAAATGAAAATATTGAACACCGTAGACGTTGATTTATTTCAGCATATACCATATGTCATATACTTGTGATATGACGAATACGTTTGGAAATATGCACTATCTAGGGAAACTTGATTCTCTCCTAATGACATAAAAATTGGTCGTCATTTTTTTAATTTATATGAAAATACTTATTTTGTATATATACATAAAATTGTACAGACATTGAGAAAAATAAAATAAAAAGAAATTTCATAATTTGACTATTTTTTCAAGGTGTACAACATATTTTTTTATACTATTTTAGTTTTCAAAAAGTTTATAAAAAAAAATGGACAACTTTTTTAAATTCTCTCAATTTAAGATTAATAGATTTTTATTAATTTCTACTGGTTTATGGCCGCTTAAGATAAATTGGCAACAAAAATTGTGTTTTTCACTATTAGTTTTTCTAGTTTTTTGTCAAACATTTTTACAAGTAAGTAAAATTTTTTATAAAAAGTTTATTGATAAATAAATATGATACGAATTTTTTGAAGTGATATTAATTAATTAATCATAATGTTAATAAAAAATAAAATATTTTACAAACAAATAAAGTTAACGTAATTCCGCATTTTTTGCACCATTCTAAAGAGCAGGGAAAAACCTTTCGCAATCATATAGGTCATAATTTTTTTTATCCTCTTTTATAAACATTTTTTTTTTATTCTTGACAATTTTTATTATATTCTGAATGACTTTAATTATCTATGTTGAAATTGAAATCGATAATTTTTTTATGTCATTGGATTTTTTAAGGTCGGAACTGTAATAGTGGCATCAAAAGAAGGAGACATTGTCGTTGTTTTAGAAGCATCGTTAAATATTTTTATTGACATTATAGTTTTATCAAATATTATAGTGTGGCTATTTAACTTCACTAAAGTAAGTTGTTTTTTACTTTTATAAATGAAATTTTATAAATCGTTTAATAAATGTTATTCAATTAGATAAAAGTTGATATAACAGTAATATATCTGATAATTTTTGAAGGCAAATTATATAGGAATTATTTTTAATATATTTATATTTAAAAAAATATTCTTTCTTTATTAAATTTATACATTTTACTACATCTCTAAATTTTGATCAGTGCAGGTAATAAATTTTATACGAATATATATATATATATATATATATATATATATATATTTCTTGTATTTTTTTGTAGATAAAACAAATTTTTAAAAATATCTATTGGACTTGGAATTATTTTCTTCCAGAAGAAAGAACAATTTTAGAGAAATATGCAAATAAAAGTCGAAAGATCACTGTAACCTTTGCCTGCAAGTGAAATAACTAATTATTATTTTTTCACGTATTGCTTATAGTAAATATGCACAATTAAGAAAATTTATTTTTTTTCTCATATAGAATTTTTTTTTTTAAAATGTTCTACCTATATATATCATATATATATATATATATATGTGTGACGCTCCACGAGAGAAGGGACCTATCCCTGAAATAACATTAGGCTCAGTTTTCCGTGCACCGTACATGAAAACTAAGCCTAATATTATTTCGGAGATAGGTCCCTTCTCTTGTGGAGCGTCACATATATATAAATATGAGATTATTAATCTTAAACATATTTATAATAATTAATTACCATTTTTGAATACTATTTCAGGGAGTTTTTACGGAACTCTTATCCCATATATGGTTTTTCTATTATATCCCATCTTAATTAAATCATTTCCACAAAAAAATGAGACAACTATGCAACTTCTTTATCCAGTGAAACATTTCTTAAATATTCAAAATTATTATTACTGTATTGTTGCGATGACATATTTTGGTACTCTTGCTATAATCACCGCATATGTTGCATTTGATACAGTATTAGTTATTTTCATCCAACATGCTTGTGGAATGTTCTCTCTAAATCTGAATAAGTGAAATTTCACTTAAAATGTGTCAAAAGTCTTCCACGTAGAAAAATAAGTGTATATGCACTTTTAAATAAGTGGTTTTCACTCAAAAATAAGTGAAGTTTCACTTATTTTTAAGTGCATATACACTTATTTTTCTACGTGGAAGACTTTTGACACATTTTAAGTGAAATTTCACTTATTCAGATTTAGAGAGTTTACAATATTGATGTAAGAACAAATTTTATTATGGTGAGGTTTAATGTGAAGTTTGTATGATATTAATTAAATTTTAATAAGAAAATTATATTACATTTACTTCAGAATTACGGTAACTTTATTCGTTTGTAAAATATTTGATTTGTTATAAACATTAATTAATTAATTAATTAATATCTCAAAAACTTTAAAAGATCCCACTCTGAAAATTACATGTTTTGTAGGAAATTAGTCAAGCTTTCCATTGAGATAGTTAAAAATAATTTTAAAAAATCCGATTTTGAGATAAACGTAAATTAACATTTTGACCTTGAATTTCAAGGTCAAATGTTATTTAAAAAAAAAAAAATTTCATTAACAGCATGTAGCTCGTCAAAAAAGCTTTAAAATATGATAACTTTTATGCATTCGACTTATAAATATTGTACATTGAAAAAATTTTTTTTTTCAAAAGTCAAAAATTAAAAACGTTGTAATTCAAAAACTATTTTATTAAATTCAATAATAATTGATTTTTAGACTTTCATCAACAATAATAACATTTTTGAAAAGTATGGATTAAATTCGAGAACTTTTAGTTTTTTGTTCGGACATTTCAGGAATTTTGCCTCATATATATATTTAAAAAAATTAGATAACAAACTTTTCTAGGCAACGTTTGCAAAATATAACTGTAAATAGTGAAAGTTTTGATCAGCACAACGCTCATAAAAATCAGTGTAAAAATTGTGAAATTGCAATTAGATGCTTGGCATTACACAAAATTATTATTGAGTAAGTCTATACATAAAATTCAATTTGTAAATTTTTAATATATTACTAGGGTCAGTTGGAGTAAATGGGGACAAAATCGCTATTTTTCACAAATTACGTAAGTTTCTTCCTTTAAAAGGTAATATTTGCGGGTTTATTTTTTTTTTTGTTATTTACATTCCCAGGATTAATTTTATGCATCAGAAAAAAATTTAGATAAGCTTTAAACGCATGAAACTGACTGTCCCCATTTACCCCAAGATTTAGAAAATTTGGGGTAAATGGGGACAGCATAGTTTCTAAGGAAGGTCTAAGAAAAAAGCTTCCTTAAGTATATTACTGTATTAAGGGATGAAAAAACTTGAAAAAAATTGGTAATACGGCAGACAAACTTAAAAATTTTCTTATAATTTGATTAAATTTGCTTCGTTTATGTCTTTTATTTAATTTTTTTTCAGTATTTTGTCTCGCATTTAAAAAAAAAGACTTAAAAATCATACAAAAATTTTTTTTTATTCCTTATGATTTCCATAACAGAAATTCACTTGAATTTTTGATTTTTGTCAATTTTGTTAATAATAACAAACTGTCCCCATTTACCCCAAGTTTTCAAATTCTTATGGAAAAGGGGAAAACTGAAACAGTTTAATTTTGATTTTCAAGTTTTTATGCATTAAGCGATAACTTGAATTATCTTGCTGCCAATTGTCAAGATAAAAGTTTGGCAATATTCAGAACCTCTTGTTGGTGATCTAAGGTTAAAATATTGACGTTGAACTACGTAAATTAAGCTCCAACACCTCTTGTCCCAATTTACCCCAACTGACCCTATACAATGTACTTTAAGAAATGTCTAATTTTATTAAAATAGATTTTCAGATCAAGTTAATTCGGCTTTTACTTTAGCACTACTAATATCAATTATCTCAAACACGTTACTTATCAGTTTTACAACATTTTGCGTAAGAATTATTTTTTATTTACAATATCTTAAGTTTTTACAATAAACTAAAAATGAATGTTTAAAATTAAACATTTATTATAATAATTTAAAATATGTATAGTAAATTTAATGGTATAAATTTTTAAGGCTCTTGAATACCGACATACTTCCTCTATTATGGTTAGATACATGATCTTGACTGTAGTTGAGATTTTTCAACTTTTCCATAAATTTTGGCAATGTCAAACATTAATTGATCACAGCACTTTATTTAGAAATTCTATGTAAGTAATAAAGTTGAAAATAATTTGAGACACTATAGGTATATTTAGTAACTATTATTTTTTGTTGAATTTTTATAATATATTCGTATATATAGTTGAAAAATTATTTTATATAAATTCTAATTAAACTAATAAAAAATATATACAATAATTTCAGCTATAATTCAAATTGGTATAACATATCACTTAGGACAAAAAAAATGTTGTACATTATGTTACTTAAATCTGAAAAGGTGTGTAAATTAACAGGAGGAAAATTCTTTGACATGTCTTATCACACTTTCGTCAAGGTATGAAAATTTTTTGACAATATATGAGCCTATTTTCACCGTGTGGATAAATTTAATCTTCCAAGAAATTAAAGGCATTCTGTTAAGATTATTCTGCGCAGACACAGAATATATCTACTGCGTTTAACCTCTCGGAAGATTAAATTTATCCACACGGTCAAAATTGGCTCTATATATTAAATATATTTTATTTTATAATAAAATATTCATTTTTAAACTTTTTTGTCTTTATAATGTATAATTATTAAAAGTATTTTTATTTTTTAGATCTTAAGCTCAGCAACTACATATTTCACAGTTTTATCAACCATAAAATAATTAAATTTAAAAATAAAAAAATTGAATTATTTCAATAATTATTCGCTTCATACTGGGATAGATGTACTTCATCAGCAAACATTGAAATACCAAACATTAACATTTTTAAATTGTCTATCCTTTCTTAATGACGAACAATTAATTAATTTCTCATATGGATTAAGATTAATATTTTTTTCAAATCTAAAATACCTATATAAAAATATCTATATAAATTAAAACATAAATATTAACAACCGAATATTTGATTGTAATAATTATTATTTTTAACTCGACAAATTTAACTCCCAAATCTCAGTGCTGTTAACTCCCTAATTTTTTACAGTGTACATCACAAAGCAAAACAGTAGGAATATAGAGGTAAAAATCAAAAAATCGTCAATATGAGCCTAACTTTTTTAATTAAAATAAAATCTTTGGAATGTTGAAAAAAAAAATTTTTTTCGTGAGTTTCGTTCTAAAATATGTCAAAAATCATAAAACGCAAGATCAAGGAACACTTCTCTGCTTAATAAAAATTTTTCTAGTAATCACATATTTAAATAATTTACATATAAAAAAACTATACAAAACAAGAAAAACGTTCTTTTTATTTTTAATAACGACTGATTTCACTCTTTAAAAAAAATGTCTGACACGACACGATGACAAAAATAACAAACACGAATTTTTAGTTTTAATATTACTCGAAAACTTCAATTTAATTTCTATTGTACATTTGCACCTTTCTATGCATAGTATAATATGTGAGCATGCTCACATATTATCAAATTGATATCGTACTTCATTTATTTCATATACTATTTTTATCAGTCGTTAAATTTAGCAACTGCAATTAAATAATAATAATAATATCATATATACAGGGAGCGTTCTAATCACAGATTTCTGTTACCGACGTGTTAGCGACACATGAGAAAAAAGTGATTCTGATCCGTGCTAAATGTAAAAAGTCATACAAATTAATGGAAGGAGAATATTTAATAATATTTCGTAAAAAACAAATGTATAAAGTTTCATCAAACTCTTTGTTTTTTTCACGAAACAGCGCTAAATATTCTACTCCCTTTAAGGCCAGGTCCAAGTGAGGCAGTGCCATCTACATTGAAACTAAAATTTTGGAAAATTTTCAACAGCCTTTTCTTGAAAACAAGAAGGTAAAATGCTTTTTTCTTTATGGATAATTGATTATTGGCAAGATATACACCAGCTAAAACTTTTTTTGAGTTAAAATAATAAAAAAAATTTCATGTCAATAAATTAAATATGAGCACTTTTTTCACAAAAACTGTAACAGTACTTTCTCAGAAATTACAATCAAAAATGCAATTTCCATTTGGAAAATTAATAAACGCTAAAAAATACACGACCTAAGATTTACCAATCACGAAAATAACAAAAAAAAATTTTATTAAATATTTAACATATTGATACTACTTTACTGATTGTGAAAGCCCTTTCGTAGATTATGTATTTCAGGTGGTTAGCAACAGCGCCAATCTCCTCCTTTCGGCAAAATCGCGAAACGTCTGGTGACATATATAACCTGCCAAACGGCTGTCATAATGAGTAAAATATGTTATGTTAAAATACTTTTTTTTTGTTATTTTCGTGATTGGTAAATCTTAGGTCGTGTAGTTTTTAGCGTTTATTAATTTTCCAAATGGAAATTGCATTTTTGATTGTAATTTCTGAGAAAGTACTGTTACAGTTTTTGTGAAAAAAGTGCTCATATTTAATTTATTGACATGAAATTTTTTTTATTATTTTAACTCAAAAAAAGTTTTAGCTGGTGTATATCTTGCCAATAATCAATTATCCATAAAGGAAAAAGCATTTCACCTTCTTGTTTTCAAGAACAGCCTGTTGAAAATTTTCCAAAATTTTAGTTTCAATGTAGATGGCGCTGCCTCACTTGGACCTGGCCTTAATCTTTATAGTAGCTTTTTACATTTAGCACGGATCAGAACAACTTTTTTCTCAAGTGTCGGTAACAAGAATCTGTATCAAACATTCCCTGTTTATCTATTTATGAGTTTAGATATGATTCAAATTGGTATAACGCATCACCAAAAACAAAAAAAGTTTTATACATTATGTTAATTAGATCTAAAAAATTGTGTAAAATATCAAGAGGGAAATTCTTTGATATGTCTTTTCACACTTTCAGAAAGGCATGGACATTTTTTTTAAATATGCGAATAGTTAGGTCATTGTACACTACATTTAAAATTAAACTTTATTTATCAAATTTTTTTTTCTACATGCCTGATTTTAAAAACAGCTGCTTCATATTTCACAGTCCGTTAGTAACCATAAAAAATAGTATAAAAATTTCCTAAACAACCTAAAATAAAAACACAAAAATTTTGTTAAAGTTAAAAATAAAAAGTCATTGTCAATCTGTAACGGGTAATTGAATCAACTGATGAGCAATTCCATGTGAACTTATCACAAAAAAATTTTGTATAATAATAATTTAAACTCAAGGGGGAATTTACTCAGGTAGTCAAGTGTACACTCTTCCTGTAATACTTGTGTAATAACGTGTAATACCGTGTAATAATACGTTATTACGGTGCTGTAATAACGCAAAAAAGTCTGTAATATCTCAGTAATAATGTGTTCTAAACTGTAATAACGTGTAGTACTTAGTAATAAGGGTAATATGAAGTGTATTACCGGTAGTCAAGTGTACACGTTTTTAACTAGTAAATTCTCCCTCGTTTAAACTAAATGATTAAAATAAAAGTCTATATTTTTTTAATTACATTATAAATGAAATTATTGAACATCGTAGAAGTTGATTAATTTCAGCATATACCATATATCATATACTTCGGATATGATAAATACGTTTGTAAATATCTACTATCTAGGGAAACTTGATTTTCTCCTAATGACATAAAAATTGGTTGTCGTTTTTTAATGTATATGCAAATACTTAATTTGTATGTACATAAAATTGTACAGACGCATTGACAAAAATAAAAGGAAAAAGAAATTTCATAATTTGACTAGTTTTTCAAAGTGTATACAACATATTTTCTTATACTATTTTAGTTCTCAAAAAGTTTATCAAAAAATGGACAACTTTTTTAAATTCTCTCAATTTAAGATTAATAGATTTTTATTAATTTCTACTGGTTTATGGCCGCTTAAGATAAATTGGCAACAAAAATTGTGTTTTTCACTATTAGTTTTTCTAGTTTTTTGTCAAACATTTTTACAAGTAAGTAAAATCTTTTATAAAAAGTTTATTGAAAAATAAATATGATGCGAATTTTTTGAAGTGATATTAATTAATTAATTATAATGTTAATAAAAAATAAAATATTTTACAAACAAATACACTGCAAAAAAAAGTGTCTTAATATAAGATGTTTTGGTAGTTAGTTTTAAGACGTTTTGGTAGTATCTTTTGATTTATTTAAAGTGTCTTATTTTAAGATGTTATAATAGGAATAAAGCATCTTAATATTAAAATTAACATCTTATTCTAAGATGGGAGCGAATGGAAGATACCATTTCCATCTTAACATCTTGTTTTAAGATACCAAGAAGATACCTTTTTTTTGCACTGTAAAGTTAACGTAATTCCACAGGAAAAAACTTTTCGAAATCATATAGGTCATAACTTTTTCCATCCTTTTATACAATAGTTATGTTTTTTCAAAAAATGCAATGCTTACATTTTGGCTATTGGATCACTTCAGAAATTTCGCTCCATATGTATATAAAACGGCATTTTTTCGATTTTCAAGATCAAATTTCTCGGATCGTGTTCAACGTCAAAAAACCTGTAAGAATTACAATATGCGATCCCAGAAATTAAAAAAAAAATTAAATTCTGTTGCACAGTGTTCTGAATGATTTTAATTATCTATATATTAAATTTTAAAGTTGGTAAATTTTTATGTCATTGATTTTTTTAAGGTTGGAACTGTAATAGTGGCATCAAAAGAAGGAGACATTGTCGTTGTTTTAGAAGCATCGCTAAATATTTTTATCGACATTATAGTTTTATCAAATATTATATTGTGGTTATTTAACTTCACTAAAGTAAGTTGTTTTTTACTTTTATAAATGAAATTTTATAAATCGTTTAATAAATGTTATTCAATTAGATAAAAGTTGATATAACAGTATTATATCTTGAACAGTGCAGGTAATAAATTTTATACGAATATATGTATATTTCTTGTATTTTTTTGTAGATAAAACAAATTTTTAAAAATATCTATTGGACTTGGGATTATTTTCTTCCAGAAGAAAGAACAATTTTGGAGAAATATGCAAATAAAAGTCGAAAGATCACTATAATCTTTGCCTGCAAGTGAAATAACTAATTATATTTTTCACGTATTGCTTATATAGTAAATATGCACAATTAAAATTTTTTTTTCTCATATAGAATTTTTTTATTAAAAAATGTTCTATATATATATATATGAGATTAATTATCTTAAACATATTCATAATAATTAATTACCATTTTTAAATGCTATTTCAGGGAGTTTTTTCGGAACTCTTATCCCATATATGGTTTTTTTATTATATCCCATCTTAACTAAATCATTTCCACAAAAAAATGAGACAACTATGCAACTTCTTTATCCAGTGAAACATTTCTTAAATATTCAAAATTATTATTACTGTATTGTTGCGATGACATATTTTGGTACTCTTGCTATAATCACCGCATATGTTGCATTTGATACAGTATTAGTTATTTTCATCCAACATGCTTGTGGAATGTTTACAATATTGATGTAAGAACAAATTTTATTATGTGGACGTTTAATGTGAAGTTTGTATGATATTAAATAAATTATTTTAATAAGAAAATTATATTACATTTACATATATATATTTTTAAAAAAATTAGATAACAAACTTTTCTAGGCTTCGTTTGCAAAATATAACTGTAAATAGTGACAGTTTTGATGAGCACAACGATCATAAAAATCAGGTTAAAAATTGTGAAATTGCAATTAGATGCTTGGCATTACATAAAATTATTATTGAGTAAGTCTATACATGAAATTGAGGGTTCACATGCAATAAGAGGATAGGCATGAAAGTGAAAGTCTCCGCGTACAGCGATTCTGCGGGTGCGCGAGGGGCTAACGAAAATCCTGCGCGTCCCCTTATTCTATGTGAACCCTCAATTCAAATTGCAAATTTTTAATACATTCTAATACACCCAGATAGCACGTAAACTTGCAGCAAGCTTTAAATGACCCACCTGGCTCAAGCTTGCATGGTAAGCTTACCGAAAGATTGCTCAGTAATCCTTCCCAAATATTGCAGTGTAAGGTTACTACAAGATTGCACAATAAGATTATCACAAGATTTCTCAGTAAGTTTGCACGGTAAGCTTGTAGCAAAGTTGGTGCAAGGATGCTAATTAACCTTGCTTTAAACCACAAAATTTTTTTTTTAATATTTCGTTTAATTTATATAATAAAATTGTATAAACTTGACGAAACATTAAAAAAAAATTTTTTAGGTTCAAAGTAAGGTTATTTGGCAACCTTGCACCAACCTTGCTACAAGCTTACCGTGATAATTCTTGTGATATTCTTATTGTGCAATCTTGTAGTAACCTTACACTGCAATCTTTCGGTGGGATTACTGAGAAATCTTTCGGTAAGCTTACCATGCAAGCTTGGGTCTGGTTGGACATTTAAAGCTTGCAGTTAGCTTGCGGCAAGTTTGCCGTGCAAGGTTGGCAATATTGCGCGACAAGTTTGCCGCAAGGTTGTTGAAAGCTTACGTGCTATCTGTTTAAAAAAAGTATAATTTTAATAAAATTTTGATTCTCTCACTCGGTAGTATTTAATAATATAAGAAGATGATATCGATCATTCCGAGTCAAGGATTAAATAAAAGATAAAAACATTATTCTTTACGTTTCAATGGCACAGCCATCCTCTTCAGAAACTGAAAGTTTATTACAAAATATAAAAAAATTTTTTTATAAAACTTTAAAACATTTGTAAAAAATAAAAAAATATTTCTTATAAAAAAATTAAAATTAAATGACTAAATTTACCTTAAAAAAAATGAAAACATTATTCAAAAAAAACTTTCTTTGACTAAGTAAATTTAAAAGTGATTAAACGTCTCAATTGACACGATTGCTAATAGACACTGATCAATTACAAAGTAGTATGAAGAAGCGTAGAGTGAAATTAGGTTCATTGACCTTATTTCAATAATGTAAATAGAGAAACGTCAAGGTATTATTAGACAGGGATAAAAGTTATGAATATTTTCTATCATTGAGAAAATGGAAGTAACAATTACTGAGATTTTGAGTGTCATCTTTTTTGTTTATTGCATTCTTTTGCAGATTAATATGAATCATTTCGGATATCAAGCGTTTGTTCTCATTTGATTCTCTGTCAAGAATTAAAAAGTTATACCAGTCAAAATCATGCTTTTTAGAATCTCTATGAGTAGCAGTGACACCAACTTTTGATTTTTTATGTTCATTAACGCGAACCCCCACCATTCTCTTTGTTTCACCAACATAAGATGCGGTACAATTTTTGCAATTTAATTTATAAACAACATTAGTTACCTCTGTTTTTTTGTTTTTGTCCTTACCCTTTCTGATCAAATTATGACTCATAGCATTGTTATTTGTAGGAATCGTTAAAATATTATAATTACTAAGCATTGAAGACATTTTTTCATATAGATTAGGAACATACGGTAAAAAGACTTTGGGCGTTCGTTTGTATAAAATAATATTTGCATCGTTTTTTTGAGTATTGGACTTTATAGAACAAATACGTTTTTTTTTTTTTTTTTTGCTTAGGGACTATTGGGAAATCTGTTTACAGATACCTTGGCTTCCGCATGCCAAGGTTATGTGGGGTTGGTAAAAAAAAAGGAGAACAATAAACAAAATAAGCTGGCGAACTACTACCAGCCCCGACCCACTAAAAACCCGTCAACCCTTCTTGGGAGCCCTTTGATCCACCCTCGGTACTGTCGTGAAGACTTTTGCCTTCGAGGGAGAACAAATACGTTTGTTAATGTATTTATCTATAAAGTCAGTGGGGTAGTTATTACGTAGAAGAACTTTTTTAACGTATTCAATGTTTTTTGAATGAAATTTTTTATTTGAAAGTTTTACTGCTCTGTCAATTAAGTTATAAACAATAGCAATTTTTTGAGTGATAGGATGCTGTGAATCATAATTTATTGTTCGTTCAGAAAAAGTAGGTTTTTTATACCAGTCAGTAATGAGTCCATTATCGTCTTTAATTATCATAACATCTAAAAAATTAATTGAATGATTAATTTCAACTTCATGAGTGAATTGTAATTCCTACAAATTCCTACAAATAACAATGCTATGAGTCATAATTTGATCAGAAAGGGTAAGGACAAAAACAAAAAAACAGAGGTAACTAATGTTGTTTATAAATTAAATTGCAAAAATTGTACCGCATCTTATGTTGGTGAAACAAAGAGAATGGTGGGGGTTCGCGTTAATGAACATAAAAAATCAAAAGTTGGTGTCACTGCTACTCATAGAGATTCTAAAAAGCATGATTTTGACTGGTATAACTTTTTAATTCTTGACAGAGAATCAAATGAGAACAAACGCTTGATATCCGAAATGATTCATATTAATCTGCAAAAGAATGCAATAAACAAAAAAGATGACACTCAAAATCTCAGTAATTGTTACTTCCATTTTCTCAATGATAGAAAATATTCATAACTTTTATCCCTGTCTAATAATACCTTGACGTTTCTCTATTTACATTATTGAAATAAGGTCAATGAACCTAATTTCACTCTACGCTTCTTCATACTACTTTGTAATTGATCAGTGTCTATTAGCAATCGTGTCAATTGAGACGTTTAATCACTTTTAAATTTACTTAGTCAAAGAAAGTTTTTTTTGAATAATGTTTTCATTTTTTTTAAGGTAAATTTAGTCATTTAATTTTAATTTTTTTATAAGAAATATTTTTTTATTTTTTACAAATGTTTTAAAGTTTTATAAAAAAATTTTTTTATATTTTGTAATAAACTTTCAGTTTCTGAAGAGGATGGCTGTGCCATTGAAACGTAAAGAATAATGTTTTTATCTTTGGGGCCGTGTACAAATTACGTAAGGTCAATTTTAAACATTTTAAACCCCCCCTCCCCCCATGTAAGGTTAAGTAAGATTTTGTTAGCCTCCCCCCCCTTTCTTACGTAAGGTTTAAAGAAAATATAGGTCAAAAATTAAAGTTATGTATTACACGTTTTATTCTTAATGTTAATAAATTTTTTTAATTATATTTAAAACAAAGTTAACATAGTTAAACAGTCATTACTGTAGAGAACAAAATACATTTTTCAACATTATTAGATCATATATTATTGTAGAAGTTTACCGGCAGAACTGCCCGCAAGTTTCATGAAATTTTTTAATATATGGCCTTACGTAAGAAAATCTTCGCATCTACCCTCCCCCCACGTAAGAGTCCGTAAGGATTTCATACACCCCCTCCCCCCCCTGTGGCCCTTACGTAATTTGTACACGGCCCCTTTTATTTAATCCTTGACTCGGAATGATCGATATCATCTTCTTATATTATTAAAGTATAATTTTATTAAAATGGATTTTATCATACAGATTTTCAGATCAAGTTAATTCGGCTTTTACTTTAGGACTACTATTATCAACTACCTCAAACACGATACTCTTAAGTTTTTCAGTATTTTGCGTAAGAATTATTTTTTATTTATAATATCATACGTTTTTACAATAAACTAAAAATGAATGTTTAAAATTAAACATTTATTATAATAATTTAAAATATGTATAGTAAATTTAATGGTATAAATTTTTAAGGCTCTTGAATACCGACATACTTCCTCTATTATGGTTAGATACATGATCTTGACTTTAGTTGAGATTTTTCAACTTTTCCATAAATTTTGGCAATGTCAAACATTAATTGATCACAGCACTTTATTTAGAAACTCTATGTAAGTAATAAAGTTAAAAATAATTTGAGACACTAGGTATATTTAGTAATTATTATTTTTTGTTTAATTTTTATATTATATTCGTATATATAGTTGAAAAATTATTTTATATAGATTCTAATTAAATTAATAAAAAATATATACAATAATTTCAGCTATAATTCAAATTGGTATAACACATCACTTAGGACAAAAAAAATGTTGTACATTATGTTAATTAAATCTGAAAAGGTGTGTAAATTAACAGGAGGAAAATTCTTTGACATGTCTTATCACACTTTCGTTAAGGTATGAACATTTTTTAAAAATATATATATATATTTATTTATTTTATAATAAAATATATATATTTTTAAACTTTTTTGTCTTTATAATGTATAATATTAGAAGTATTTTTATCTTTTAGATTTTAAGCTCAGCAGCTTCATATTTCACAGTTTTATCAACCATAAAATAATTAAATTTAAAAATGAAGAAAACAGTGTTGTTACTTTTGGACAACGAAATCGGCTATAATATAACACAGGCACACAAAAGAAAAAAAATTTCAATTGCCAGGACTGCCATATGGTAGATTTTCTTCCTTAAGGTGTATCTAAAGAGAAAAACGTAGTCCAACCTAAAAGAAAGTTCGTGTTTTCTTTTTACAAACATGGTGCACGGAAAAAATTAATTCAGTATATTTTACAAAACTGTGACGGAGTAGCGGATACAGCTCTTTACGAAACTGAGTTTTGTAAAATATGATGGATATTTTCGGATAAACTACAGAAATTTCGTTGTTTATACTGAATATTTCTGGAGTTTGTCCTGAATATTTCGTGACATTTTACAACACTCAGTTTCGTAAAGAGCTGTATCCGCTACTCCGTGATAGTTCTGTAAAATCTACTGAATTAATTTTTTCCGTGTGGGGGGGGGGTGTGATTTTTTAGAAATTGATTTCTATGGGAATTTACTCAATTTCTATATCTAAAACTGGATTTTGTGCTTCTTCTGAATGTTGATTTGGATTCAGTGACTTTAATAACATAAAAATTGGATATACATTACCGTCGGAAATTGTCGGTACGATTTACGTTCAAGGAGTGAAAATTCGGCGATGACTTTAAGGGTATGTGGGAATCTCCCACGTGACCTAGTATGGGAAAATGTGTTTTGGTAGTACCTAGGGGAGGATGGGGCAAGGATAGTTAAGGGGCAAGGATAGTTAGTGGTTCTATTGCCTATACGGCTTCTTCAAAAAGGGCACTATTCTTTATATATACTTGTTTTAACACCAAAAGACGTCAAGACAAATTTGATCTTGATGCGATATCATTTGTGGAAGCTACGTGTTTATTTGTGAAAATCCTGTTTTTTCTAAAATGTCTCAGTTCTGTTTAAAACACTGTTTCAGATATTAACTGTTTTAAATATTTATTTATGTCAAAAATATTTTTTTGGTAGTGCTTTGAAGTGTTTTGAGGTGCTTTTATCCAATGAAATTAAAAAAAGCCCAAATTTAATGTCTTTTTTTGATTATTTTTCGTAAAAAGAATTTTGATAACTATCCTTGCCCCAATAGTGGGGCTAATATCCGCTAATATCTCGAAGGCATTGCAATCCACAGCAAAATAATGTATTACAAAATTGTTGCTAAATAAACAGGTTTTCGAACGATACTATTCTTTTTCCGATGCCTGTTGAATTTTAGCTACTAGATCCAAAAATGTCTTACCTAACTATCCTTACCCCATCCTCCCCTATACATTTCACTTTAAAATGAGAAAAGATTTTTGTCTAAAATTTTGAAAAAAATACATAATATTTATTTAAATTATTAAAAAATAATGTTTAAAAAGTGACATTTTTAAACGAAAATGAAAACAAACATGACGGCGCATAGACAGACATTGCTTAAGAGTGTCAGTGCTCCAGTAAACAGCGCCAATTCGAGCAAGTGGCCACTGAATGAACTATGATTAAATACATTATTTTACTATTTATTACTTTATTTTTATTCTTTTCGCGTTAAGTTCTAGTAATTGAAAAGAATAGCGAGATTTCTTGTACCAAACTAAATCATCGTAAGCCGTATTGGATACGCCATTTTGAATTTTTTAAATTTAACATCAGTAGATTCGTCTTCAGCGACCTCGAAAACCCCCACCGAGTAACAAGTTTCAATCGATTTCATTCATTTCGAAATTATTTTGTCCGCCATATTGGATACGACATTTTGAGTTTTTATAAATTAACATCATATTTGTAATCAACGACCCCAAAAACCTCCGAGTAGCAAGTTTCAAAGAAATCCGAGCAATTTTTTGAAAAAATTCACCATTGTAGATCCGCTATTTAAAATTTTTTTTATATATCCAATTTTTATGTTATTAAAGTCACTGAATCCAAATCTACATTCAGAAGAAGCAAAAATTCAGCTTTAGATATAGAAATTGAGTAAATTCCCATAGAAATCAATTTCTCAAAAGCAATTTTTCTTTAGATACACCTTAAGGAAGAAAATCTACCATATGGCAGTCCTGGCAATTGAATTTTTCTTTCTTTTATGTGCCTGTGTAATTTATACCATATATCTACCGAATTCCATCTAAGTGTTAAATCACTTCCGCAAAAGTCACGACACCTTCATGAAGATGGTTTCGACTTTCAGTGTCGAAAAATTTTTTTCACAGGACCAAACAAACTAAATCATTTTAAAAAAGCTTTTAAGTACCAAATATATTATTGCACATTTTAAATTCTTATATATACCTATCAATAAATCCCCTAAAATATTTGAAAAAATCTTTTAATTTTTTTGATCCTATGGAAGAAAATGATTTTCATGGAGGTCAATTTTCAGTGTCGTATATCACGGTGAGCTTCGTTTAGGTTCAACCTAAACTGCATGACCCTTCTCAGGTTTTTTTTATATCAGTTCGGTGATGCCTCACGATCATTTTAAGACGAAAATTAAAATAATCGTTGGAGGGAAACTCAAATTATATTGATTTTTAAATTTTTTTCCTAGGTTATTGAAGATATTTTCATTAAAATACCGTTTGGTAAAATACTTATTGCTTCAAAAGCTACAATTTAACATAAAAATAGATTATATATAATAATTAAACCATTTTGATACATAGAATTAAGAAAATGTTTAAAAATAGTCGAAAAAACTGAAATTTTTCTAATTCTTTAAACTTTACTCCTTTATTTAACGTTATTTCAATAAAGTCATGTAGAAGTAAATTAAAGTACATAAAATTTCCTGTACATTAAAAAAAACTCTTCTATCTATTACCGTTACAAAAATATGGTCATTTGAATTTTAAATTTAATGGATAAATATGTAGTTAAAATTTAACATTAGGTCTAGATTATTTGGTAAAATTGTTTTCGCAGAACTTCATCTCAATTCCATATTATAATACGTATAAGAAGGTTTAATCTTGAATAGTTTCAAATTGAAAAAACTGACTTATCTCACTTACATCGAAAGTTACATTGGTTTAAAGAATGTCTATTTCTATAAGAGAGATTTGAGTAGTTTTTAAAAATTCGTTTATTTTAAAAAATTACTTTTTTTTGAAAATATTTACTTTTTAAAAAAGTAAATATTTTAAATATGATTATGTTGCATTTTTCAAAATAAACGGATTTTTAAAAACTACTCAAATCTCTCTTATAGAAATAGACATTCTTTAAACCAATGTAACTTTCGATGTAAGTGAGATAAATCAGTTTTTTCAATTTGAAACTGTTCAAGATTAAACCTTCTTATACGTATTATATTATGGAATTGAGATGAAGTTCTGCGAAAACAATTTTACCAAATAATCTAGACCTAATGTTAAATTTTAACTATTTATCAATTAAATTTAAAATTCAAATGACCATATTTTTGTAACGGTAATAGATAGAAGAGTTTTTTTTAATGTACAGGAAATTTTATGTACTTTAATTTACTTCTACATGACTTTATTGAAATAACGTTAAATAAAGGAGTAAAGTTTAAAGAATTAGAAAAATTTCAGTTTTTTCGACTATTTTTAAACATTTTCTTAATTCTATGTATCAAAATGGTTTAATTATTATATATAATCTATTTTTATGTTAAATTGTAGCTTTTGAAGTAATAAGTATTTTACCAAACGGTATTTTAATGAAAATATCTTCAATAACCTAGAAAAAAAATTTAAAAATCAATATAATTTGAGTTTCCCTCCAACGATTATTTTAATTTTCGTCTTAGAATGATCGTGAGGCATCACCGAACTGATATAAAAAAAAAACCTGAGAAGGGTCATGCAGTTTAGGTTGAACCTAAACGAAGCTCACCGTGATATATCTCGAAATGTAAAAAATGGGAAATAAAATATGTAGATATGTAAAAGCCTAATCATTTTTAAAAATTACCACATTATTAAAATAAAATGCTTTAAGGGTATGTGGGCAAAGGATGTTTATTTATGATTTGAAACTTTCTCAGAAATAAAAAATGATTTCGGGTTAAAATTTGGGAGAAATGATTTAATTTGGTACAAGGAATCTCGCTGTTCTACTCATTTACTACAACTTAACGCAAAAATAATAAAAATAAAGCAATAAATAGTAAAATAATGTGTTTTATCATAGTTCATTCAACGGCCACTCGCTCGTGTTGGCGCTGTTGACTGGAGCACTGACACACTCAAGCAACGTCTGTGTATGCGCCGCCATGTTTCTTTTCATTACCATCTATTTCTCTCCGTGAATAAAATAAATTTTGTAATAAAAAAAAATATTTAAGAATAGTCACTGACAAGTAACACTACCCAAGTGCCAATCGCCGATTGACTTGAATCTTTGCGCATTTTTTAGAGGGGCTAAAAATATTTGATACGTACATTTTTATATCGGCAATGAAGATGTTTTAAGGGTTGAAAACAGGGGTTGAAAAGTCATATTTTGAGTGGCAAAATATACATATCATGATCATTAAAGAAAGTTTAATTAAAATAATTATTTCATTATTCAAAAAATTTTTGACACTTCTTTCTTCATTTCCTAAAAGATACTGCTCGGTAGAAATTACCGTTATAAACCTTTTTGAATGGGGTGAGTGAAACCTTTAACCCTTTAAGAACCAAATATACAAAATTTTTGCATGATTTCACAACCAATTTTTCAAAGTGATTTGAATCGCTTGAAACTTGTTACTCGGGGGTTTTCGGGGACGCTGATTACGAATTCGATGTCAGTTTTTCAAAATCCAAAGATACTTTATTTTTTACCTATTCTACATGAGTTTCGTTACGAAATTTTAATCACCCCTTTCCCAATTTTTCGCCCACCATATTAAATCCGACATTTTCAATTTTCCAATTTTTAATCGAATTCGTAATCAGCGACCCCGAAAACCCCCGAGTAACAAGTTTCAATCAAATTGCAGTTGATTTTCAAAATGTCTTCCGCCATATTGGATCAGCCATTTTGAATTTTGAAAAACTGACATCGAATTCGTAATCAGCGTCCCCGAAAACCCCCGAGTAATAAGTTTCAAGCGATTCAAATCACTTTGAAAAATTGGTTGTGAAATCATGCAAAAATTTTGTATATTTGGTTCTTAAAGGGTTAAAGGTTTCACTCACCCCATTCAAAAAGGTTTATAACGGTAATTTCTACCGAGCAGTAATTTTTAGGAAATGAAGAAAGAAGTGTCAAAAATTTTTTAAATAATGAAATAATTATTTTAATTAAACTTTCTTTAATGATCATGATATGTATATTTTGACACTCAAAATATGACTTTTCAACCCCTGTTTTCAACCCTTAAAACATCTTCATTGCCGATATAAAAATGTACGTATCAAATATTTTTAGCTCCTCTAAAAAATGCGCAAAGACTCAAGTCAATCGGCGATTGGCACTTGGGTAGTGTTACTTGTGAGATGTGGTACTAACCCCTTAATAATAATATAAGAAAATATTTTGAAACACTAAAAAAAATTCTAGGATAAGAGCACCAATTGCGGCGAGTGCATCAATTACGGCGTGTTTATAAAAAATAGCAATTACATATTACGTTGTTCAAGTTGGGTGGGGAGAAATCCAAAATAGCGATTAAGCGGTGCACCAACAAACATAAGAAATGTACAGGATGAAGTCGAATTTTTTTAATATCTCGCTTAAATGAAATTTTGGAACCTATAAGTGTATTAGGATTTTAGTTTCTATTTTTAATTACCTATTTAATGCAATAATAAAAAACGATTTTATTTGTTTAATTAATTTTATTATAGCATTAAATAGGTAATTAAAAATAGAAACTAAAATCTTAATACACTTAGGTTCCAAAATTTCATTTAAGCGAGATATTAAAAAAATTCGACTTCATCCTGTACATTTCTTATGTTTGTTGGTACACCGCTTAATCGCCATTTTGGATTTCTCCCCACCCAACTTGAACAACCTAATTACTACCTATTATGTATATTTAATGTAACTGTTGCAAAATAATTAAAAAAAATTATTTTAATCTTTTTTTGATACAATAACTAATAAAGATACACATTTAAACAATTATTAATTTATAATTATTTGAGATCAAATTTTTTCCCTCGTCGTAATTGAAACATTTTTAAAATTTAAATTGGCTTCAATTACTGCGAGCAATGTATCTTCAAAATACACGTAATTTTTTGTCACCGAAACTGATACAAACGCGCCGTAATAGAAAATTACGGTATAGTTTTAATTTCTCATATTTTTTTAAATGATCGATTTTTATAAAGTTAAAATTTTTTTTTAATATATAAATAACATAAGCTTTTAGTTTAATAAATCTTAAATTGACTTTATACAATAGAAATGTCGAATTTTCTATTTCAAATATGTTTTGACTCGAATCGCGCCGTAATTAATGCATTTACCCTATATGTGTTAAATTTATTATTTTTATGTTTAGTTATAATGTTTTTTTAATGAAAATTAATTTTTATAAATTATTTTGAAATTAATTTTTCAATAGGAATAATTTTACTAACTATTCAAATGGATATTTTTTATACCACAGATACGAAAATGGGGCTTTTAGATAACAGACGACAGGGAGTAAAGTCTTTTATTATTTGTATTCGCGACCGTATGAGAATGAACGTTATTTCTTTAAATCGAACAAATGAATTACTTTTACTCCCAGTAAAACTCATCTGCTATTTGAAATCGCAACTATTGAGTCTTTGTAATACTCTCAAATTAAAGTAAATATTAATCTATCCAAAATATTGTATGGAATTTTATACAATATACACAAAGTTTGCGAATTCAAAAAGAACGGATATTAACAAGTATTAAATTTTTTTGTATCCAATTCTATAAAAAAAAAAGTATTCGTTTTGATAGACTTTCTATCAAAAATAATTGATAGAATCTTATACAATATGCACAAATTAACGGATTCAAAAAACGTATTGAAAAGTATATTAAAAAATTTTTCTATCAAATTCTATCCAACTTTTTAAGCAGGGATAATAACGCTGCACTACTCTTACCATTTTCATAGTTTTTCTTACAAATATATTAGTACATTTGTTCCTAAAATTTACTTTTAGCTCTTCCACCTTTACTTATTTTTTCACAATACTTAATTTGTTTATAATAGTTGGCAAAGCACAAACACATTAAATTTCAAAGACAAAGTGTACAAGGTTATGTTATCAGAGTATGCATAAATTATATAAAATATATATATGTTTTCTTTTTATGTAAATATTGCAGTATGAAATGTAAAAAGAACAAAACATAACCTAAAAATTAGACACTTCAATAATAATCATAATACTTTCATGAAAATGTATCAAAATATCTCGATGGTCAAAAAAATCGAATGTAAGAAAAAATCACGAAGTAGTAGAAAAAATGAACTTTGCTTTCCAGAGCATCTAAATCAATATTCATTTTATGAAAATCACCTTAAATTATTGTTCCAGCACATATATATTTTGCATAACTTACTTATTTTTAATAAATGTACACTTGCAAAGCATTTATTTGTTGTAAATGCGATTGCAGCTGCGTTATGATTTTATGAATCAGAAACGAACATAACCTACATTTAGTTGAAATCACCTGATTGCGGCCCAAGACAAAATAACGCGCGCTTTTTTAAAATAATGAAAATATATTAAATTATAATAAAATAATTGCAATAAATTAAATTATTATGAAAATAATATTACCTTGAATAAAAAAGTGTTTTTTGTTTAGAAAAAAATTATTCAACAATTTTATTATTATTTTCAGACAAATTTTATAAATATAGTAGATTATTATTTTTCTGTTTGAAACTTTCTCTATAATTACATGCCTTTTTTGCATTTTGTTAACAATATTATTAAATATTTAATAAAATAATTGTAATGAATTATGAAACATATAAATTGAAAATTAAATTGAATGGACAAAGGAATAGAAGCGGAGGCGCTAGTAATATTAAAATATGTACTCACTCGTGAAAAGAAACACCTTTTGCATATTTTTTTTTTCCTACAGCACGCAGATACTATAACCACTTTCACTTTAATGTTAATTTCAATTACATAAATATTAATAAAACAAATTACGAAAAATCTTCAAATCTCGTGTCAAACAAATGAAAACCACTACTATCTCACGAATCACACAAACGTGCGCGCACAATAACAGGAGTACAAAACAAGGAATAAACAATATGGAGACTAGAATTCAATTTGAAGCACACCGGAAAATATACATTGAATATACATTAAATACGTATACATACATATAACTTGCCTACACTTTTTTCTCCTTTTCTAACGCACGTGTTTCCACCACGTGTTGCATATCTGATTGCCATGGAGTATTATACGTTCCCAACCCTGACTCAGGTGGTAAATTATGCGCAGATCACGCAGATATTTCTATTACCGACGCGACAAAAATATACCGCCACTTTTATTTACTACAATTTAGGCGGCATGTGATATACAAAATCACTGATAACTTTGTGTCATATATTATCTCCTTGTGACAAATACAACGTAGATATTGATTTTTATATTTAAAACGCGTGAAATAAGTATTTTTATAAAGTTGTACAGTTTTGTAACAAAACAATATGTCAAAAGTACGTATTGACAATTTATATTTTACATTAAATTCTATTTGAAATTCAATTTGTTTCTTTGAGGTTAGGAAATACTTTCAATATTAAATATATATATATATATTTATAAATATTACATTGTCAATAGTTATTTTTTTTAATAAGTAATTAGTGACAAAATTTTTTCTACTAGATCATTTTTACAATTTTTTTTCGAGAGAATATGTTTTAATAAAAACATAATTTAGTTTTTTCTAGAAAATATTAATTTTAATTTCTTTTCACAATTAGTTTAAAAATATTTTTAATTGGTATAGTTTTACAAAATTTAATTTTATTCCTTAACAGAAACAAATTGTTTTAATGATAAATTATACAAAAAAAAAAAAAACTAAAGTATCGAATTTTTTTTTGTTAGGATATCAGATCTTTTTTCAAACCAATTGGCAGTAAAACAACTGCTCCAAAAAAAGAACCAGTTATTTCCTCTGACGAAGAAGATGCAAAATCCTCGAAAATTACAAAAAAATCAAAGGTTGATTTTTCTATATTTTTTAATTTAATTTATATTATTATACTCTAATGTTATTTTATTTCTATATTTTTGTTTTTCAATAAATTTAATTAATCAATTTTAATTTTAACAATTAAATTTGAAATATAAGAATTTTTCTTAATGGAGATATAATTTTATTTCTACAATTTTGTGTAATTAATTTATAATTCTTAGAATTAAATTATTAAAAAAAAAAAAAAAGAACTTGCAAATTATATAATTTGGAATTTTTTAAAATTCAGGTTGTAGAGAAAAAACGTAGGAAACATGTATTGTCAGATTCTGAGGATGAAGAGCCAATTAAGAAGGAGGTACATAAAAAAACAGAGAAAAAAATAACAGAAAATCATAAAAATGTTTCGGCATCCGATATATTTGGTAAAGGTCCAATAAAAAGGGAAGCTGCGACAAAAATTGTCAAAAAACCAAAGGAAACAAAGGAAATTAAAAAAGTTGACAAGAAAATCAAAACCGTGTGTGAAAAATTCAATTTTTTTTTATTTGGCTTTTGAATTTTTTTTTTTATTCAATTTTATTAATTTAAAATTTTACATTTTAGGAATTAGAATTTCACGATGATGATATGAATTCATCAATTCTTGCTATTGACGAATCATTGGCAATTGAAGAAAGTTTAGCTGCCGTCAAATCAGAGGAATTGAAAAAAATTGATTCAGTCAGTGGCACTTTAAAAAAGAACAATGAAAATCAAGGTTGGCATTTATTGGAAAATAAATTTTTTATTTATTTATTTATTTTTTTTTGCACAAATTCTAACGAAATTTGAATTATTTCTCAGTTATCGAGAAAGAAAAACCATCGGATTTGTTGCCGAAAAAAATGAAAGAAAAAAAATCACCGAAAAAGCATTTGGAAATTGATAAAGATTCAAAAACGGGCATAAAACGTAAATCAAATAAAACTCACAGTAAATTGGAAATTGATGTTAGTGAGAAGAGTACAAAAAAAGCAAAATTTGATATATCCTCCGATATGTTTGAGGAAATAATTGAAAAGAAAAAACAAACTTCGGCACTTTATCAACAATTTTTACATCGAGGTGGTGCACGTAATCCTGGTTCAAAAGAAATTCCCATTGGCGCTGATTATTGTCTCGCTGGTTTAAGTTTTCTAGTAACTGGTGTTCTCGATTCACTTGAACGTGAGGAGGCTGATGAATTAATACAAAAATACGGTGGTCGAATGCTTCATCAAGTTTCACGTAAAACTGATTATGTAATTTGTGGCGATCAACCTGGTCCTTCAAAATTAAGTAAAGCCGAGAGTTTAAAAGTGCCAATAATATCGGAAGATGAATTATTTGATTTAATTCGTACACGACCAGCTGGACGTAGTACAAATATTATAAAATCTCACAGCAAAGCACAAGGACATGTACGTCCAAAATCACCAGAACCCGAGCCAATTCATCCAATTTCACCGCCGAGAAAAAAGAATAAACCCAATGGATTTGAAAATGAAAATAAAAATGAAAAATTAGAGGAGAAAATTATTGAAATAAATCAAGAAAGTAAAAATGAGAAAAAAGACGAAAAAACGAGTGAGAATAATAAATCGACGGAGAAAATTGAAAAGAATAAAAAAATTGAAACATTGGAAAATAGTGAATCGACAAATTCAACGTCATTCACAAAAACAGATGCTTTGGTTGAAAAATATCGACCGCAAACAATGAAACAATTAATTGGTCAACAGGGCGACAAGAGTAATGCAAAGAAATTTCACTTTTGGTTGAGTAATTGGTACAAGAATCGTAGCTCAAAAGTAAAACCATCGAAACCAACGCCATGGACAAAAAATGACGATGGATCATTTTTCAAAGCTGCTTTACTTTCTGGTCCACCGGGAATTGGAAAAACAACAACTGTCTATGTTGTTACCAAAGAACTTGGTTTTGATTTACTTGAATTCAATGCCTCGGACACGAGGAGTAAAAAATTATTAAAAGATGAAGTCTCTGATTTACTGTCAAATACAACCGTGAAGGGTTACTTCACAAGTAAGAATTTTTATTTTTATTTAATTAAATTGAAAATTTTTATTAAAAATAAATTTAATAGAGACTTTTTGGTAATTATTATTTCAAAAATTTTGTTGGTATCGTCCCTTTTTTAGGACAATAAAGAAAGGGAATAATAATTTAGAAAAATAACGATGCTGCAGTACGCAACGTTTATAATCAACGATTAGAAATCAATTTTTATTTAACACGGAAATTTATAAAATTGTTGATCTAAAAAATAGTTTTTTTTTAATAATTTTTTGATTAATAAAAACTATGAGAAATATTTTTTAGGCAAAAAATTATTTCTCTAAAAATCGTTTATTATAAACGTTATTTTTTTCAAATTTTAAATATTTTTATTAATTTTTATTTTTGTTTCTTTTTGATTACTTTATTGTTTGTTTAAAAAACAAAAAAAAAAGTGTAGAATTTTTTCTATCGTAGACGATAAAACGGAAAAATCAACTAAAAATCATGTTTTACTGATGGACGAAGTTGATGGAATGGCAGGAAATGAAGATCGTGGTGGTTTACAGGAATTAATTGCATTAATTAAATCCACGGATATTCCCATTGTTTGCGTTTGTAACGATAGAAATAATCCAAAAATGAGAACATTGGCAAATTACACATTCGATCTTCGCTTCCAAAGACCAAGGATTGAGCAAATTAGGGTGAATATTAAAAAAAAAAACAATTATTCAATTATATTTTCAGATATTTTTAACAAAAAATTGAAATTAGTCACAAATCAGAGAAATTTTGGAAATTGAACAAAAATTTACAGAATAAGGAGAAAAAAACAGAATATTATTTAGTAAAAATGTGCGAGCAACTTTATTTTTAACAATTTGAATTATTAAAAGTTGTATTTAAAAAATTTGTTTTTTTAAATTATTAATATATAATATTAATTATAATTTTAGGGGGCAATGATGTCGTTGTGTTTCAAGGAAAACATAAAAATCAAGTCCGAGGAATTAAATCAATTAATTGAATCAACAAATCAAGATATTCGTCAAGTAATAAATCATTTAGCATTACTTGGTGCAAACGTCGAGGGTAAGGATGAAACGGACAATAAAAAAGTTGTAAATAAAGATATGAAACTTGGACCATGGGATGTTGTTCGAAAAGTTTTCACTGAATCCGAGCATAAAAATATGAATATTCACGATAAAAGTGGATTATTTTTCCACGATTACAGTATTGCACCATTATTTGTTCAAGAAAATTATCTCTCCGTTGTTCCAAAAGCACCAAAGTAAGTTTTTCATTAATTAATTAATTAATTAATATTATTATAAATTTAACTTATAATTATAATAATTATATTATAATTTTAACTTTTAACTATTTGAGGAACGAAATTTTGGAGCGAGTTGCAAAAAGTGCTGAGAGTTTGTGTATTGGCGATCTCATTGAAAATGCAATTCGTGGTAATGGCGCATGGTCACTTTTACCAACTCAAGCAATGTTTTCGTCAGTGATTCCTGGTTCTTTAATGTCCGGTTATGTGGCCGGTCAAATTACATTTCCATCATGGCTTGGACGAAATTCAAAACGTAATAAAATGGATAGGTGAGAATTGTATATATTTTTTGAAAATAAATTTATTCAAGATAAATTTTAAAAACAAACATAAAAAAATGAATTTTCTTCTTAGATTATTGCAAGAAATTACGGTTCACGCTCGGACAACGACAGGAGCAAGTAAAGAAGCAATGAATTTGGATTATCTACCTCAATTAAGAAACGCTATCACGAGACCTTTAATTGAAGAAGATGTTGAAACATCTATCGATGTTATGAATCAATATCATTTATCAAGGTTTATTTCATTTTTATTTCTTTGAAAATAAATTATTGAAATTTATTAATTATTACTATTATATAAATATAATATAATAATTAATTTAATTAATTATTAAATATTATAAAGTTGTGGTAAATCATTATCATAAATTATTTTATTTTCTTTTTTTTTCATTGTCAAACATTTTTTTTATGTACTCTTTCGCTTTAGGGATGATTTTGATTCAATATTGGAAGTTTCTTTATGGCCTGGAAGTCGTAATCCAATGCAGTTCGTTGAAACAAAGGTTCGTAAATTTGCAATTATTTTAAAAAATTTTATTCAATTATATATATGGGTTAATAAATTGTCATTTTTCTGTCCTGTCGAAAATCAATATTTATTGATGTCAAAAGTAACCTTTTAATTTTAATCGACAATAAGAAAATTATATTTTTCATTGTTATATTCACAGGAATAATTTTTTTTTATTTTCTTTTATTCCAGTAGAATTGATAAATCCTTGAAAATGTTTTTTTGAAAAATTATATATTATATTATTTAGGGAAAAAATCATTTAATCGAAGGCATTTTACTCGAATTTTAAAAAAATTTCTCACTTTTTAAAACATAATCGTAATATTTAGGTAAAATCGGCATTTACAAGGGCTTATAATAAAAATGCTGCAACTGGTGCGTACGCATTGAATGCCACTGTAAGTAAAAAGAAGAAAACCACAGCCTCACAGGACGAAGAATTGGAAGGTTTAGAAGATGAAGAAATTGCGGATTCTGAGGAGGAAGATGATATTGATGTTTCGAAAATGATGAAGGTAATTAAAAATTTTTATATTTTTCTTCTAATATAATTAAATTGAAATAGGTACATTAATTTTAATTTTGTAAAATGAAAAATTTTCTTAAATGATAATAAACAAATAATATATTATATTTAAAAAATTAGACGAAGAAAGCAACAGCAAGTAAGAAAACTTCTTCAAAAGATGAAGATAAACCGTCCACGAGTAAGAAGAATTCGAAAAATGATGATAAACCGAAACGAGGGAAAGGTCGAGGAAAAGCAAAATAAAAATCTAAATAACAAGAAGTGAACGAAAAATTTTTTTCATTTTTTCAAAAAACAAAAAAAGGATAAAATTTGTCAATGATTCCTAAAATTTTTTTTGCATTCTTTTAAAACAAATTTTTAGGATATATTCTCTTTATAAAATTATCTTCTATTTTGATATTTTCATTTTTTTTTTTTTTTTTTTTTTTTAATCATGTATGCAATTATTTTCGATATTATTATAATATTATAATCATCATCGTCTCTTTTATTTATTTGATTTGTTTATTATGCGCTAATTGTGATAATTTGTTTTATTCTCAATGAATTTTTGTGTCAAATAATAAATATTTTTTGAAAATAATTTGAATTATTCTGTTTATTCCAAATTTTTCCATATCTATACTATTTAAATGAGTATTCGAAAAAAGAAAAAATTTCTTTTTGAATAGATTTAAATAAATTTTTTAATCATTGTTTTTTTTTTCTTGTGAAAAATATTTGACAGACAAAAAAAAACATCAAGAATCATTCGAATTTCTTTTTTTATTTGTTAGATACTTAAAAAAAATACAAGTTTATGCAATAATCGCGGATAAAATGAAAGGTGATGTTTTTTATTGTATTATGGAATGTTTTCGATGTGAAATCACGCAATTTTGTTTTTTTTTCATGTCTTTGATCATTCTATCAATGCAATACAAAATAAATGATTTATTTATTGAATTGTTACATTTATCACAGAATTAGACAAGTTCTCCTCTGGTTTGCACGCATTCTGAAAACAAATTTTTATTTTAAAACAATTGTTATTGAATTACCTACTTTTTTTTATTTAAAAATTTATTTATTTTTTGTTAAATAAATCATTTGTTTTTATTGATAAATGAAAAATTACTTTTTATTTCTAGATTTCGGGGAAAGAAAACTTTTTTTTTTTAAACTTACGTTTGGTGCTGCTTTTCCAGCCAATATATTCATTGGTTTTTTTATTTTCAGCAGTGAGCCAATCCATTAGAGGCTTGAAATAGTCCAAGAGACCTGAGCTACTCATTTTTCGTTGACCTGTCAATACCTCCATAGCATCCTGCCAAGGTTTAGATGATCCCAATTTCAACATTGCCCTAAAAATCAAAAAAAAATTTCTTTATTATATTATTCAATTTTATTTTTAGACATTTTTAACAAAAATTAAAATATTAAAATTAGTCACAAATCAGAGAAATTTTGGAAATTGAACAAATTTAAAGAAAAAGGAAAAAAAACAAAAATTTTTCTTTATTTTTGCATTTTTCCTTTTTTTTGTTTATGAATTTCTAATTCTTACAAGAAATTCTGAAATAATTTCTTTATTCTATAAACAATAATTTACTGGTAAAAATTTGAAAAACAAAATTTTAATTTATGAATAAAATTAGGATAAAAGAAATTAACTATTTTTATAACGGCAAAAATTTTCACTGAAATATTTAAAGATAAAATTTGTCATTAAAAAAAGAAAAATAATAATTAATTAGTCTGATTATATTTGAAAATTCTCTAGTCAAGAAATTAAATCTAATTTTACATTGAAAATTATCATAAAAACTCCAAATTTTAATTAATTTTATTTTTTTTAATTATTTTAATTAAAAAATATGTGACATAAAGGTTTTAAATATTTTTTTACTAAAAAATGTTTTTTAAATTAATAAATAATATAATAATTTCTTCATATAGAAATTTAGTAAAATATTTATTAATTAAAAAATTAAAAATATTAATAATTTACTATTGAAAAAAAATTATTAACTGCATAATAATTTGTTATTGAACCAATTTTACATTTGATGACAAAAATTGTCAAAAGCAAATTTGATGATAAAATATTAGAATTTAAAAAATTTCTAAAATTGACGATTTAAATTCTTTTGTAATATTAAATTAATGAATTAAAAACATTTTCTTTTTATTTAATAAATTATTTGTTAAATTATTTAATTATTTTAATTATATAAAAAATATATATATTTGACTTACTTCATTCGATTTCCTGCCTTCTTGCTGTCCGTAATATCACACTCGTGAAGTGGTTTTGATTTTGGATTATTTGGATCAAATTCACCAGCTTCAATGCATAAGGCTCGATGAAATTGAAATTGAACGACAAAACTCACATAATATCTCAAATATTCCACATCCGAAATTATATGATATTTTGATGCAGCATCAAAATCTTGCTCTGTTCTATCAACTGGTGGCTCTATTCCTTGATAATCTTGTGACAATTTCCACCTGAAAAAATTTTTTTTTTAATTATTAACATTAATTAAATCGTAATTGCAAAAACATTTTTTTTTTCATGAAAGAATTGAAATTTTAAATAAACAATAATAAATTTCATTATTATTATCATACCAATTGCAATTATATTGATCGGGTGTGACTTCGCCTCTAAATATATTCCATCTCCATAAATCCATAATATAAGCAAACGGAAGAAAGACAATTTTCTCCATTCCTTTCAAAAATAAATGATTTAATGATGCTTTATCGTCACTTGTATAATTTGCCAAAAGTTTAATTTTTTGCAAATGATCAGGCGTTGAGACACTTAAACTCATAACATCGCCAACGGCCTCATGAAATCCTGGATTAGCACCTTCACGAAAAACAACAGGCTGATCCTTATATTGTAAATAATATTGAATATGACCCATTTCATGATGAGCAGTTAATAATGAATCCGATGTAATTCGTGTGCATTGTTTAATTCGAAAATCTTTACCATCATAAAAGTCCCATGCACTAGCGTGACAAACCATTTCACGATCTTTTGGTTTTTCTAATATTGAATTTTTCCAAAATAATTCGGGCATTGCACTCATATTCATTGATACAAAACATGTTTCGGCCAATTTAAATATTCTTTCTGCATTGTATTCTGCAATAAAGAAGAAAAACGAAAGATAACATAAAATAGTAATTCACATTTTTTTTTATTTTCTTTCTCTACTTTATGAAATTTTAAAAAAATATATTTCTCATAAAATTTTTCTCTTCAAATTTTTATCGTATCTGTTCATCCTCGAAAATGTATTTTTGTAAATTGTTTAAACTTATGGTTTAGATTATATTTTTATAACAAATATAAAAATAATAATAAATAAAAAATATAATTTTTTTTTTTTTTGAGAAAAACATTATTTACTTTGTTCAACCATAGCTGGAGTGGCGTCAGGCAACATTTTGCCCTCATATGGAATAGTAAAGTCGGCAATATTGTCCCATGTTTGGGCCCACATGTTACCAAGTAAATGAGCTGGAATTGGTCCATCCTTGGTGACAATGGCATCTCCATATTTTGCTCTCAACTTCCTTCGCACATAGGCATGAATTTGAAGATAAAGTGGTTTAATTTCATTCCAAACAGTCTCTAAAAGAAAAAATTATATTTATAACAACATTTTTTTACATTTATTTCAATTTCAGTTTCATTTTAAAAATTTCTATTTAAAAAAAAATGAAGCATTGAAATTTTTAGACAAAAATTCGAATTTTTTTTTGCAATACTACTTTTACGTATGCAAAGCAAATATTAGTTATCTATACGTATACAAATTGTATATTTTACACGAATAGAAAATTTTTCCAGTTGTAGTAGTTAATTTCCCTGTTTGTGAACGTAATAACCTTACAAACTATATATTCTATACTTGTGGTTTTATTTTCTTAGTTATATATATTATTGTTCCTACGAACATGAAAATAATTTTTATTTACGAATTTTGAAAAAATTAATATTTATTATTATCTAATATTTAATTAATTGTCCCGTTTATATTATGAAATAAATTTTCTTTTCTTAAAAAGACAAAAAAATATGATATTCACAAGAATTAAAATTTTTCAATTCTTTTTTTCATTTTGCGTTCCTATTTGGAGAATACACTAAACGGAACCTGTTATTTAAAATGATAATAAATATTAAAATAAAAACTTTTTAAAAATATTTTTTAACTACAATCGAAACAATTTTCTGTTATTAATTAATTTTTAATTCTGAATTTAAAAAACACTAAGTTTCAATGGCGTAAGAAATATAACTTTTTGAAAATATTATATGTATAATAATTGCAATTTTCAATTTTATAATTATTTTTTTATTTGCATAAGAAGCCAAATTTTTCACTTATAAAATCGTCAAATGTTAATTTTGTAAAATTAAACATCTTATATAATTCGGAAATTATTAAATTTAAATAAATTTTTGTCAAATGTATTGAAAATTTTAATTTTTCATTTAATTAATTGACAAACAAATTAAGTCTTTTTACATTTGAGTTCGATTTTTAAAACTTTTTTTCAATTTATACAATTAATATTCTAATTAGTTAATAATATTAATTTGTTAAAAAAAAAAGAAATTTAGTTTCTTTGAAATAAAATTATAATATACTTCTATCAATAAATGCATTTTGAAATATTTGACACATTTTAAAAATTTTTAATTTTTTAAAAACAATTTTTTAGTAAGTATAAAATACTTTTATCTTTTAAAACAAATATAATTGATTTGGAAAAATTTTTGTACATTTATTTTGTACTAATTTAGAAAAATAGTTTTCCCTCCTTTATCCTTCAAACAAATTCGATAAATGTTAATTTGTTTTTAAAATTAAGTGTCTTTTTAAATAAATTTTTGTACATTCAAATCTCCATTTAGTTTCACTAACTCTAATTAAAAGTTAATCAGTGGCTTTTAATTTTAGCACAAAATTGTTAAACATTTAGAAAATTTTACTTTATTATTAAAAAAGAAAAAAATTTTGTTTATTAACATGAAATATTATTTACCATTTTCGTTAAATTTTAAAAGAGGATAAATTTTTTAAAAATCTTGTTTACCAACAAAAAGAAAAAACAAATTGACAAAATTTCCTGATTTCAAAAAAATATAAAAATTATTATTATTATTATGTCTATCTTTTTTTTTCCTCAATTCCGAAATATTGTTTTAAAGATAAAAATTTATATTTGTGTTTAAAAAAAAAATTGCTTAATAATATTTAAATTATTTGAAATTAATTAAAAATATAATTTCTCTCACCAACTTGTTCCTGAAAATCTTTGGCTTCATATTCATCTAACCATTCTTCAGATTTATCATTGAATCCATTCAAACGTGCTGCCTCATTTCCAAGTTCAACATATCTAGGAAAGAAAGGTTTCATTTTTTCAGCTGAAACTTTTCTCCATTCAATCCAAATATGTTTAAGAACATTAGCATCACGACTGGTTGCCAATAATTCAGTGATTTCTGGTTCAAGGGCCAAATCACATTTTGTTGGATTTCTTAGTTCGCAAATTTTTGCAGTTGAATAAATTTTCGACATTTGACTCGTGATATTTTCATATTCTTCGAATTTCTGTAATTACCATTAGTAATATATAATTTATTATAATTATATAATAATCTTGCAATTTTTTTTTGTAGTTTGAAAATTATTAAAAAATTAGTTACAATTTTTTTTCAAATTGCTTTAAATAAATTAAAGAAATTCTATTTAAAAAAAAATGTAATATTGAAATAAAATTAAAATTTAATAATTACAGCTTCGGATAAAGCGGATGTTCCAATGTTGCTAATTTTGGAAAATTGTCTCCTTGCATCTTCATCCTTTATATCCTTCCAGGGAATTTTTTTCACTTTTTCCCACAATTCTTTTTTATAGGCTGCAGCTTGACTCGAAACTTTTATTTTCTCATCTAAATTAGCGTCTGTCAAATTACTATCATAATTCCATGTCGCTATTACTTCTTTATTATTCCAGACTCCAAGTTCATCGTTTACTTTTTTTAAAAATTGTCTCGCATTTTCCAAACACTCTTTCGAATCAGTTTCAGTTACTGGTGTCTCTGATTCTTTAGTTTCTTGTGGAAATCCTAATGTCACTGCTACAAGAACTGCCAATATCAGCAGACTGTAAATAATAATGAAAGAAAATTTATATTATATTATAAACATTTATTTCTTATTCACAATTTTTTGCACTTTTGAATTAAGTGATAAAAAAAAATACAAAATAAAATAAATTACAATTTAAGTAATTCGTACAAATTTTTCAATTTGTTGTAAATTTGTATAAAAAAAAGTATTTGAGAGTCTAGAAGGTCATTATTATTTGAAAAACAAATATTTATAATTACTTTCATTTAAAATTTACCTTTAAATTTCCATTATTACTATAATAATTATACAATAGTAATTTATTAATAAAATTAAAATTAAATTTTTACAATTTGCAAATAATAATCGTCAATAATTTAAAATTATTTATATAATTGTTTAGAAATAAAAAAAAAATAAAACGAAATTTTTCTCTAAAAATTAAGCAATGTAAAAATAATTAAAAACAATTTAAATATATAAGTAAAAATATTTTTCATTTCATTATTTTAATAGCATAATTTTTATTTTATTTTTAAAATATAAAGAAAATAAAGAAAGTAATTGTAAAAAACTTACGCTCGCAACATTTCGATTTTGTTTTTAATAAGAAACCAATCGAGATTTGTAGAATTAGAAAAATTATTTATACACAAAAAAAAGTCACAATTTCACAGTGATGGAAAAATTAAAAACACTCTTCATAAAGGTGTATTCAAGTCCTACACTGCCCACTACTATTAAAAAGTAAATGTGTTTTCAATGGCAAGCTGTTACTTTTATGCTACTTCCCCACTCCTTTGTGCTTCAATATTCCTTAATGGACCTTGTTCTTCAGATTGTAACTGATAAAAAAAAATAACCATTTTTTATATATTTTCTATATAAATTAATCGTTATCTTTCATTTAAATTTTTTGACTTTTATATATTATTAAATTAATTTCTACTTTTCAATACAATATTAATAGATTCTAGTGTAACTCATAATAAACACGATATATATTTATCAATAATAGTAAAATGCTACACAAGTATTAAAATTATCGCGATTATAATCTCCTCAACATAGAATATAAATAATATATAATATAATAAATAATGATAAATTATTATTATTATTTTTGTGGAAATTAATTTTATAATTTTTAAAATAAAAATTATAAAATAATAAATAATAATAATAATAGATAAATAATAACTAAATTATAATTTATATAGAAAAACAAAAAATTATAATTTGTTTATAAAATTATAAATAAACAAATATTGACATTAATTAGAAAAATTTAATTTACAACGACAAAAATATTTTGTTTATTGTTAATGCGCGTAAATTTACGTAAATTTTATGTAAATAGAAAAAATTTTAATAAGAATGGAAAATGTTTAAATAATTTTGTATATATTGTATATTATATATGATAAACAAAAACATGTTTTACTGTTACGTTCCTTTTCCTTGATCGATATTGAATTTATTATTTTAAAATTGATTACTTTCAATGAAATTTAAATAACGCTAATGTTTATCGACGCATTGTATAAATTTTGTTATGTAATTTGACGAATTTTTGTGTGTCATAAAATGTACCATTTTTCCACGTGTTAATTTTAATAAAAAAAATAATAAGGAAAATTTCTCTCTAACTTAATAAATTTTCATAAACGAGACACAATAGAGAATTTTTAACACAACTTAAAAATAAATTTACAATTTTCTATATTAAAACTTTTTTTTTTTTATTTAAAATTAACATGTTACCTAATTCATAAAAATTAAAAAATAAATTCAATAAATTACTAGGTACGAATAATTATATTTCAATAGAGGCAATTATATTGGAAAATTGAAAATTAGAAAAACAAAAAGAAACTGACAATGTTAATAAAAAATAAATAATTAATTTGTTGACAAATTTTGTTTTATTCCAAAAAATAAAATATATTTCTAAATTTCAATTAATTATTGATTAATTATTAGAGTTAATCAATTTTTACTAAATTCCCTAGAAAGAAGAATCATTTTACTATATTTTAGAATAAAAATAATTTATAATAATAAAGGGCCCGTATATTTTAGTAAATAAATAATTTATTTTTTATTTATTATTAATTTATAGAATTTATAAAAAAAATGTATTTCATAAAAATTTTGAAGAATATGCAACTAAAAAAATGTTCTTCTATTATTTTAGCCGGAACGACTAGAAGAAAAATGGAAATAGAAATAGAAAAAGAAAATTGAAGAAAATTCTTTTTGAATTTTTCTAAATGAAACAATACAAAGTAGAATGCCATCATTTTAAAATTAATAATAATTTATAAACTAAAATGGAAAATTTCGTAAAAATTCATTAAAATTGAAAGAAAAATATTATAATTAGTTATTTTCATAATGTATTTCAGACCTTTTAAGAAGCTCGGTTGGAGAGCAGTTTATAATAAGACGAATGAGAGCGAGAGATGATTCGCCGTCTCCTACTCCTTCAGAGCGAGTAAATTTGGAACCACGAGCACGTAATAAACACCAAATATGGTCCTTCTTATATTTGCCAATTCGTCAATTCCTAGACAAAGAAAAGATTCGTGTCTTAGAATTTAAAAAAGTAAAAATATATATATTTTTTTTAAAACTACCACATAAATTTTACAAAGGGAATTAATGAAATTTCTTATTATTTTGTTCTTTATATTTAGGTTTTTTTTTATATTTTTTTCTATTATTTATTGGAGATAATAATTTTTCTTTCCATTTTTACTTTTTAATAAAAGTAATTTAATTTTTACCAAAATAAAATTGAAATTTAATTAATCAAATATTTTCTTGTAATGTAATAATTAAGAGAAAAAAAATTTCAATCATTCATCTTCCACTTTTTTAGTTATTCATTTTCATGTAAAATAAAAAAGAACAAATTTGATTCCTTTCTATCATTTTAATATACTAATCTCTCCTGCAAATGATTATTATCAAAAACAAAAAAAAAAAACCTAATCATTTGATTAATTTCTTATCAACAATTATAAGTTTCGAAAAATGAAACAATATAAATATATATCGGTAAATAATGTTTATCAAAATTTTTGTTATGTCCACTTATTTTGTAATTTTTAAATTTATTCAAAAATTTCAACAAAGATAATCGAAAATTAAATTAAATTATTCTAAATTGCTTAAATTGCAATTAAAGAAATGAATAATCAATATAACTAAAAATTATTATATTGTCAATAGTTGGAATATAATTTTTAATATACCAACCAATTTTGACATTGTAAAAATTAAAAATTATTAATTGTCAATTTAGTTGGAATATAATTTTTTACATACAAACAAATTTGTAAAAATATGTATTGTCTTATGTAATTACTTTTGTCAATAATATGTTAATATTTTTCATTTTTTCTGTAAATAAATAATCAGTGTTTGTAGAAAAATTACAGTAAATTAATATCCAAATCAATAAATAAATTTGATAATATGAAAATAAATTAATTTTTTTAGAAAAGTTTTTTAGTAAAAATGAAATTTGCATTATTACTGAAGTTCTTCAAGGAAAACGGAAAACAAGAAATATATATATATATATTAAAAAAATTGAATAAATAATAGAATACATCATTAAATGTAACCTGACACAAATATATTTTTATATCTTTTATATAGGTTTTGCGTCATGTCCTCTGAATTATTGTTGTACGTGAGTCTAGTATTAATTTCACACTACTGTTTCCTCAAAATATGTCCTTGTCGTTGACCAAGAAATTGCACTTTATTTCTGCTTTGCATATTAATATTGTTTTATTTCCCCAAAGGAGAAATCAAAAATTTTTTTTTTTTTTTTTTTGATTTTTTATTATATTAAAAAATAATTTTTCTCTTTCCGTAAAGAAAGACGTAATTCTGACGTAATGTGACAATATTCACACTAAAAAAATTATATCATTTGTTTTAATTAGCTAATAATTGTTTTAAATTTTTTTTTTTAAATATCTACATTATTGTAGTTTTTTAAATTTAGAATTAAAAAAAAAAATTTCTGTAATTTTTTAATATAATTACCAAAAATTTTTTTAGGAAATACAATTTTTTGTTAATGATTATCAGGAGTAATTAGCGAATTTTCATAATTATTTTCAAGAATTGAAAACAATTAATACTAAAAATTTCAATATTTAATTAAAAAACAAAAATGAAAATAAATAAATTAATTAAAAAACAAAAAATTCCTTTTTTTAAATTCCGAATAAAAATAGTAAACTAAAAAAAAAGAAGAAAAAGATCGAAAACTTTGTTTCTATGAGTGAATTAATACTAAAAATTTCAATATTTAATTAAAAAACAAAAATGAAAATAAATAAATTAATTAAAAAACAAAAAATTCCTTTTTTTAAATTCCGAATAAAAATAGTAAACTAAAAAAAAAGAAGAAAAAGATCGAAAACTTTGTTTCTATGAGTGAATTACAGTTGATGTTTATGAACGTTTGAAAAAAAATCATTGATCTCCGAAAATTTCAGGTATATAATAAAATAAAAAAAAAAAAAGACAAATAATGCTAAATAAAATGATTCGAAACAAGAGAGATAACTAAAAGAGAAGGTTGTCGTCGAGGCTTGACCATCATCTAATTGTTTCGCTTCTCAGGTTCCTCACCTTGAACGTTAATAGTCCACATCTTGTATATTTATGTATATGTATATAATATGAAAACTTTCCCAATGCACAAAAACCAATTTTTATCATGATAATTCAATGCTAAGTGAAGACCTAGACACCGAATTTTATGACAATTCGGTTTCCTTTTGATCCTTGATTTTGATATTGCAAAGAAGAGAATTTTATTACTCTCTGCGTTAATTGGTCGAAAACGTTTTTTTTTTTTGTTTGTTTTATTTGCTTTTTTCTTCCCTATTAATTCTCCTATATTTTTTTATCCTTGAACCTGAAACAAAAAAACAGTATAAATTTACTGGCATTTTTTTTATTCATCATTTTTTTTTATCTAGTCAACAATTCCATAATTTCACAAGTTTCTATTTTGGAAAGTTATTTAAAGAATGTGTGGAAGACTGGTTTTTGAGTTTTATGATACACGAAGAAGATGATTCGATTGTTGTTTTTCTATTTTTTTTTCTCTATATTTATATGTAAAATAAAAATAATAATATTAAATATAATGAATAAAATGTAAATAATAAAAATATAAAAATATTTTTTCCATACTATTTTGGAATTAATTTTTGTTGTTTTTAAATTTATTTTATTTTTCATGTTATATTCTTTTCGGATTAAATTTCAAACAGTGAGAAAATGGAACAAAAATATTGAGAAAAAGAATGTTCATTATTGGGAAGCCATTCGTTATATATATATATATATATTGTTAGAAAATCTTCCGGTTCTCATTTTCAAGGCATCAATATTTAAAACTCATAACAGACCTACTATTTAAAAATAAAATCCACTAAAATACATTTGGCAATTAACCTTTGCGTTTCCTAGCTATGCTTTTATAAAAATTATTATCAAAAATATTCCGGAAAAAAGATACGAATAAATTTTTTTTTAACATAAAATTTCGCCTAGTAAAAATTAAAAAATTCTTTTTATTAAATAAAAAGTGAATTTAAAAAAATTCTTACCCTACTTTTATCTTTTATTTTAATAAGGTAAATTTAATTAGATAATTGAGAAAATTATATTAATTATGATTATATTAATTTGTTAAATAAAATAAGTAAATAAAATTTTTAATTTGACAATTTAAATCGGTAAAATAATAAAATAAAATGTATAAGTTTGTTCCGTTTATTATTAAATAAATAAATAAAATTAAAAGATTAAAAAAATGAAAATTTGAAAAATAAAGAGATAGAAATTTGGATAAATTAAGAAAGAAGCAGAATTTTTAATTAAAAAAAAAACATAATGTTAACTTTAAAAATGTAAAAACAAGGAATAAATGAAAACTTTGTTATAAAAATTACAATTTACAATATAAATTTATATATATATAAAAAATATAAATTTTAAATATTTATATCTAAAATGATTAAAAAAATAAAATTTTTTCACACTTTTTCTGACAAAAAGTCTTTTAATTAAAAATATATATTTTTTTATTTATAAATACGGAAATGTGAAATTAGATTAACTTTTGTTTTCATTCTGTCCAATTTTTTCTTAACATTAAAATAGACGAAAATTTTAAAAATAATGAAAATTAGGATAAACGAAAATCCAAACAACAACAACAAAAATAAAAATTACGAATAAACAAGAATTAGAAAAAATAAAGTTTATTTTAAATTTTAGCAAAACATTAATGGAGGAAAAAGTCAAAAATAAAAAAAACAAAAACTTCTGAAAAAATATCGTTTCTTAAAATTTTCAATTTTTCAAATGTTAATTACTCTAAATAGAGTGAAAATTATTAAATAAATACTAATTTATTTATAAAAATACATAGACTGAGAATTTATAATAATAAATCTGAAAAAAAACTCTTCAAAATCAAAAGGTTTTTAATAATATCAAAAACATGTTTTTAGTTTTTATATGATTTGAAAAAACGTAAGGAATCAAAAAAAAGCAAAATTTAAAAACTTTGATATTGTTTATAAAATTTCTGCAAATTTTCTTTTAATAAAAAATTCCTTTAGTTTTTCATATGATTTTCAAATTCAAAGTAACACAATTTTCGGTGAAATGAAAATTTGATTAAATTAAAATTTTGTAAAATGCAAATTAGATTAAATGGAAATTTGATGAAATGCAAATTTTTGAAAATACAAATTTTTTTAAAAGAAAATTTCATCAATTAACAATTCGATTAAATAAGAAATTTTGATTAAAAGCAAAATTCAGAAAAATAAAAATTTTATCCAATGAAAATTCGATGATATGCTAATTTTATTATATTATTATAACTTAGATAATGAAAATTTCGTCAAATAAACAAATCATTTAAAAATTAAAATTTGTTTACAAGCAAAAAGGATTAAAGGAAAATTCACTGAAATGGTAATTTAATTGAATTAAAATTTAAATACTGAAAAATTCGTTCAAAAGAAAATTACATCAATCAACAAATAGGTTGAAGATGAAAATTGTGTAAAAAACAAATTTGAATAAAGAAAAATTCGATAAAATGAAAACTGGATGAAATGCAAACTTCCTCGTAAAATAATAATTTAATTGAGTGAAAAATGAAAATTTGTTTAAATAAAATCTCTGTTAAATACAAATTTTATAAAATAACATTTTTTTCAACAGGAAAGTCTTTCAATTACTAATTCGATTAAAAAAGAAAATTGTGTGAAAAGAAAAGTAGATTAAAGGAAAATTCAATGAAATGCTAATCTAATTAATTTAAAATTCGTATAATGAAAAATTCGTTCAAAATAAAATTCCGTCAAATAACAATTCGATTAAATGAAAATTGTGTCAATAGCAAATTCAATAAAATGCAATTTCTATCGGTAAAATAACAAATTTCATTAAATAAAAAATTTTATTAAACACAATTCTCAAATAAAAATTTCATTAAATGAAAAATAGAATAAAATTAAAAATTCAGTCAAATAACAATTCGCTTAAAAAAAATTCGAGTAAAAGTGCTTATATAATCAATAAATATAACTGAATAGTATAAAACTAAAGAAATTGAATTAATTGACAAAAAATAAATTTCCATATTTCCATAAATCAAAATAAAATTCCACGAGAATTCCCCTCTTTTTTTCTAAATTATAATTTGGTATTTATATTAATTTAGTTTTATCGTTGAGAAAAAGCACTAGGTCAAGTTATTTTTATAACAACAAACAAATTTTTATTTTGAGAAATCGAACTGTATCAACAAATAGCTTCGTCAATTCGAACAGAGAAAGAGTCTTATGTCCGAATTTGGGCAGATCAGTCAGCGGCGCGAAATATTTTAAATAATCCAATTTTGCTCCAGGGAGTAGACGAAAAAAAAGGAAGTGTACATAGTGTACCAAATTGTAGCAAAAGAAGAAAAAGAAGAAAATGATGATGATGAAGACGAAGAAGAAGAAGAAGGGAAGCTAGGCAAGAGGAGAGAAGAAGCCAGAATAGGAGACTGCTCAATTTTGGGAAAGAAGATCGTAGGAGGAGGGAATATCAAGAGGAAATATATCGACGCATAGTTTTGCTAATTTCTCTCAACGCCCTCGAAGATATATAGAAAAGCCAGGGCCGACAACAAAATATCTTCTTACCCGAGGGTTTTCTCTTGATTGTGCCATTGCGTTTTTGCCCCCTCAATTCGTCCATTGAATCCTCTAGCTTCGAAATGTTTTGGACGCTTTTTCCTGGTTCACGGTGACCGGCGCGTGGGACCCCTGCGTGGGATGAGCCGTTGGCCAGCCCTGGAGCGTCTCGCGTGCCCATCTTGGGTAACGTCGAGCACTTCAGCGGACATTATATCTGGCGTCGCGACGCCTTCGACCCTCAGCCGCTCCGCAGTCGCCCGTCAATTCACTACTCATTCCCACGGTTAGTAGTCCTCAATTTTTTATTGTTTTTTTTTCTTCTTTTTTTCACCAGTGTCAAAATTTTATCATTCCTCATATTCAGACACATTTTTTATCCAAATTGAAGCAAATACATTTTTTCTTGAGTCTGTAAAAAAAAACAAAAGTGTTGGAATTAGTGATTATATACAAAATTTAATAATTGTGATTAATATATAATAATATATAGTGAAGAAAAAATAGATTTTTAATCTTGAAAGTGAAGTATATTTATCCGAACGGAAGAGCGATTATTTGAGGATATATGATTCATCTTCTTGTGATGGAGGAGGTGTTGTGATTCAAGGGGTTGAAAGAGGCCTCTTAGAAAAATTTATAATTTGGAGAGTAGATTCAGTGGATAATTAGTGGAAAAGATTTTTGAAGAAGAGGTGATTTTTTTTTTTGGAAAAACTGGATAGTGATTGAGTGAAGAATTTTTCTGATGAAATGTCAGGTGTTTGTAGTAAACCTGACAAATGGTTCTAGAGAAGAGTTTTTTTTTTTTTCTTACAAAAGCTGGAACTTTTGATAAAAATTTTTTTTTTTATTTTATATAAAGGTAGAATTTTAATTTTTTTTTTTTTTTAAATGAAACAATCGATTGAAACTTCTTTATTTGAAAATTGAGAAAAGAGAAAGAATAATAAGAGAGGAATGAAAGTTCTTCTTCTAGTAATTTTGAAAATAAGAAAGAGAAAAATCTAGAGGAAGGAAATTTAAATTTTTTGACATTTAAACGAAGAAGAAACATCTTTTTAATTGAAAATAATGAAATTAAAATTCCCTTTCTCTGGAAATTGAAAAATAGCAACATTATAAAAATCAGAAAATTTAATGACAAATCCTACATAAATCTGACAAGAGCATTATTATGATTTAAGATCACCTCAATTTTCAAAAAATCTCTCCACTACTTCAAAATTTAAAAAACACCATGACTTAAAAATGATTTTATCCATAATAAAAAAACTGCCTAGTTGTCATGAGAATAAAATAAAAATATTTTCACGCAAAAAAAAAAAAATTGATGAAAAATAAGTCTTCTACATACTAAAAAGGGATCGAGCATGACGTAAACGTATCCAAAAACAAAATTATATTAAGGCTGGAGATATATGGCTTCATCACGAGAAGTTATATCATTTAACGTGAATCCAAAAATAATCGTCCGCTTTTTCTATACATTATTGTGTCAGAAGAAATGTCAAAGACTTGAAAGAAAGTTGAATCAACAAATCACATAATATATAAAAATAAACTTCGAACAATATTAAATTTTATAAATAAATAAAAGTGATGAAATATTTTTTCAAAAATTAATCCTAAGAATTTTTTTTCATTCTCTGCTCTAAGAGCCATAAATTTCCTACTATATATTTCAATAAAAAAAAAAATTCAATTTGAAGATTATTAACGATATTTTAAAACGAGTAAATGTAAATATTTTTTAAAAATATTTAAAGCCCTTAAAACTTTTAATATCAGGATATAGTAACTACCAATGCAATTTTAATAAATACAATTGGTTCCAATTAAAATTATTGTTATAATAATTATTTTAAACTTTATGTTTTTCTTCAATCTTGGTAAAAGATTGTTTAATTCAATCAATAAAAAGCCTTTTCATTATAAAATTAAATTTTATATTTTTCAAAACAAATTATTTTCAACAAAATTCAATAAATATAATTATACGGAATCATTCAATGAAAAAAATGAGTTATTATTTATATTATATTTACAAGATTTCCAAAACTGAAGAAAAACACAAAACGTAATAATAATTTTGATTGGAACAAATTGTTTTTTAGAAAAATATTGATAGTTCTTGCAAAAGAAATCTCAAAAATCTTTTGTTTTTTATTTCCACAAATAACTAGAGGCCAGACTCATTAGAAATTGTTGCAAAAAAACAGATATCTAAACTATTTCGATTTTCTTATGCAACTAAAACTCCCAAGAAGTGATAAAATTTGAATTCAAACTCATTTAAGAGTGTTGAACGGTATCTGAAATTCTTTGGCATTTAATTCTCGTCCTACAAAAACGGCACAGAACGTGAAAATGATAAACATTGAATAATAAACAATCGGTCAAAACACGAAGGATCCTTATCTTATAAATTTCCTAAATCCGAATGAATTTGCGAATCCATACAAAAACGCGATTGTAAAACAAAAAGTAGAAAAGTAATATAATAACAGCTACGACTTTGTGCTTCCTGCATGCTTCTGCCATCTGACGGCGGCAGGACGTATTAAAGCTATCATTATATTACTTTCCTACTTTTCGTTTTTCAATCGCGTTTTTATATGGATTCGCAAAATCTTTCAGATTTAAAAAAATTTATAAAATAAGGATCCTTGGTGTTTTGGCTGATTTAGAAAAAGAATCCACGTTTCATGAAAACAGTATTTTAAAATTAATGTTTATCATTTTCACGTTCTGTGCCATTTTTATAGGACGATAATTAAATGCCAAAGAATTTCAGAGACCGTTCGACACTCATAATACAAAATCTCTGTATAATAAATGAAAAAATTTTTTGATTTCAGAAGTCATAAATAAAAACCACTGAAAATGTGTGACGACGACGTAGCCGCTCTTGTTGTTGACAATGGATCCGGTATGTGCAAAGCCGGTTTCGCCGGAGATGACGCGCCACGTGCCGTCTTTCCATCCATCGTAGGTCGCCCCCGTCATCAGGGTGTGATGGTCGGTATGGGTCAAAAGGACAGCTACGTGGGAGATGAGGCCCAGAGCAAGAGAGGTATCCTCACCCTGAAATACCCCATCGAGCACGGAATCATCACCAACTGGGATGACATGGAGAAGATCTGGCATCACACCTTCTACAACGAATTGAGAGTCGCACCCGAGGAGCACCCAGTCCTCCTGACCGAGGCTCCCCTCAACCCCAAGGCCAACAGGGAGAAGATGACACAAATCATGTTCGAAACCTTCAACAGCCCGGCCATGTACGTCGCCATCCAGGCCGTGCTCTCGCTCTACGCCTCCGGACGTACCACCGGTATCGTCCTCGACTCCGGCGACGGTGTCTCCCACACCGTGCCCATCTACGAGGGTTACGCCCTTCCCCATGCCATCCTCCGTCTCGACTTGGCCGGTCGCGATCTCACCGACTACCTCATGAAGATCCTCACCGAGAGGGGCTACTCCTTCACCACCACCGCCGAGCGGGAAATCGTTCGCGACATCAAGGAGAAGCTCTGCTACGTGGCCCTCGACTTCGAGCAGGAAATGGCCACCGCCGCCGCCAGCACCTCCCTCGAGAAGAGCTACGAGTTGCCCGACGGACAGGTCATCACCATCGGCAACGAGAGGTTCCGCTGTCCAGAGGCCCTCTTCCAGCCTTCCTTCTTGGGTATGGAATCCTGCGGCATCCACGAGACCGTCTACAACTCCATCATGAAGTGCGACGTCGACATCCGTAAGGACTTGTACGCCAACAACGTCCTCTCCGGAGGCACCACCATGTACCCAGGTATCGCCGATCGTATGCAAAAGGAAATCACCGCCCTCGCTCCATCCACCATTAAAATCAAAATCATCGCACCACCCGAGAGGAAATACTCCGTCTGGATCGGTGGCTCCATCCTTGCCTCTTTGTCCACCTTCCAACAGATGTGGATCTCCAAACAGGAATACGACGAATCAGGTCCCGGAATCGTTCACCGCAAGTGCTTCTAAATATCTTCTCTCATCATCAAAGAAAAACCTTATCCACCTACAAAAAAAAAAAAACAAAAACCTATCCAAAGGTGGATCGAAACAAAAAAAATTCGACAATCATCAATATGTCGAATCGTTATCGTTATCAAAAGTTGTTCTCCTGTCCCGGTTGGTCAGGAACAACTTCATTATCGTTTTAATGTTCACGTTCATATTCTCATCTCGTCTCGAAGGGCTTTTTTTCGACGAATCGACGAAAATAAAAGGGATAAAAAAACACGGTGGGCTCTTCGTAACAGTGCATCCACCAGAGGTTGCGTAGCTCCAAAAAGACAATTATTTTCGAAACAAAAATTAGGAGGGGAATTTTTTTTTCTTTTTTTTTTTTTTTTTTTGAAGTGTCCAGAGTCGCTTCTATTTACTTCGAAAAGGACATCTCGGACACTTGATGAGGGGTGGGGAAGAAAATTTGGAAAAAATTGTCTATGAACGAGCCACGCAGCATCTTGGTGGTGCAACGCTTTGTTTTTTTTTACTGTCGCGCTAGAGATCCGGCCGACTCCTCAAAGATTATAATATTATAATTATGATATAGAAATAACTGTATATCGCGTCTGTGTCTAAGTTAATGTGTAATCTAGTCTCACACCAGCGAACCGTATAAACACCGGTATTCACGTACAATATTATATCTATAATTTAATTTATTTTGTAAATATTATATATTATTATATTGTTATACAATGCCAAAGTCAAAGAATATACATTATCTCACATATTATTCTTTCTGTTCTTTCCTTTCATTTCATTTTTCATTTTATTTATTAACGGGTCATTTCTTATTTTAATTTTATTTTTTCAAATATTTTTATTTCTTATTTAGGCAGGGTAGCCACAAGTCTGGGAAAATATTTTTTATTACCGTGGTCAGCAGGGCAATGTCATGGAAAAACAATTTCTTTCAGGGAAATTTGGAAAATTTAAAAATTTACAGAAAAAGTCAATTAGGTATATACTTTCGGTATGCGTAAAAAGATTGAATTTTTGTTTCTAGAAAGGAGGTTATTCTTCACAAATTTAAAATTTTGATACCTATTTCACCCATTTTGATAATTTGTTACCTTTTTCACATTTCTCAAAATTCAATTAATTTTTTAATGTAATATTGAAAAAGTAATTAAATTTTCAATGTAAAAACATTGATTAAAGTTTAGGAATGTTTAAAAATAATTTATTCATTTAAAAAGAATTTCTTTAAGATTTCTTGAATTTATATTAATTTAGAGAAAAAAAAATTACAAATTTTCATCTTTACTATAAATGATTCAATAGACTAAAGCTTGAATTTATGAAAAATTTTCATTCATTTAAAAATTATTTAGGCCAAATTTCAATACACTAAATTTTAATTTTAATTCAATCAATAAAAAATTCAATTTATCTAAATTTTATTCGATTAAAATTTCAAGTGTGATCCAACTTTCAATAAATTCTAATTTCTATTGGTGAAAACAAATTTATTAATTTATTAAAATGTGAATCAAATGCAAATTCAATTCATCGAAACTTAAAATTAACGAAATTGTAATCTAGATAAAATTTAATCGATTTAAATTTCAAATTATCCGAATTTCAATTTGTCCAAATTTTAATTGATTTAAGTTTCAAATTATCCAAATTTCCATTTACCCAATCTTTTATTGATTGGTCATTTTGCAAGTTAATTGCGGTTTTTAACACATTTTTTCGTCCGGGAAATTTCAGGGTAATTGAAAAATTTCTTTTTGTAGCAACCCTGTTAAGTGATTCTTCTGAAGGTGAATTTTTTAGAATGCTCTTGTTATTTACCTAATTATAAAATCTATTCACTAATAATTATGTCAATTTTCATAGTAGAAATTTTGCATTTACTTTATATCATAAAAAAAATTAAGCAATTTTGTTAAACAGAATTTCGATTAACTTTTTGTAGACTTTTTTTAACTTTTCAAATTTTGAAAAATATTTTTCGAAACTATGTTTTTTCAATTTTTATTGTTTCATATTTTGAATTTTTAGCCTGCAGTTTTTTGAACAATGAAAATCTTTCAATTTTGTACTCAGGTTTAGGTTAAAATTGCCTTATTCATTCATTTATTTATTCATAATATAAAATTGTGAGAAAATATTTTCTTAATTTATTTAAAACTATTTTTCAATTATACTCCAATGTTTATAAGAAATCAAAAATTAGATTTCTATTGTTTTCAATATTTAATTTATACTATTTTAACTCCTACATATTTTGATAAGTATTGACCTAAATATTTAACCTGGATTTTATTGCGGGATTTGAACTTGAAATATTTGGTAGTATTAAAAAAAAATTCGATTGATTTTGTTTTCTAAATATTTAATTTTAAATATTATCTATTATTTAGTAATTAGTTTCTTTATTTTATAAATAGCAGCGTTATACATATGTATTATACAATTTGTATTTAAAGGGCACTTTACTTTTGAAGTCCCGTAAATAAATAAATAAATATTTTAATTTTTAAAATACAAGAAAAAAGTCTTTTATTTAAAATTGTTTTCTTTTCTAAATTCAAGTCAATAAATGCGCTATAAATTACAAATTTTACAAGTATTAATTTAGTGCAAGTTTAATTCTGACTTTTCAATATCATATAAAGTATTTTCAAAAGAAAAAATAAATTTCAAAAGCCGAAACTAAAAAGTAGTATGTACTTTCAGAAGAATCACCCTTTTTAATTTCGAATTCACAAATTTCAAAAATTAATTTTAATTTTTAATATTAAAAAATAAATAATAGTTTAGAACATTAAATTTCACCCACCAAATTTTTTTTTCATAATTATTTTCAACAAAGTTACATGTGCTTCTTTAATAAAAAAAAAATATTGTATAAAATTTGTTTTTTAGTCTGATCACACGCTTTTCGTGATCTACTTTTTTTTTTGATAAGATTTATGTCCAAGATAATAACAAAATTTAACAAGCGATATTATCAAATTTTTATCAACAAATAAATTGTCTGGCCAAAATCATCTTACATAATTATGTTTATTTTTCTTTCGCTTTCATGTTTAAAAATAATATTTTTAATCTAAACCTATTTAAATTTAGTTGAAGAAATTATTTTTATACTTTTATAGAATTTTGAATTCCTTTTTATGATAAACAAGGATTATGTTTTCATTTATATATTAGAAATAAAAAATTACAAAAATAGGATATTTTAAAAATTAAATTATTGACAAAAAATTTTTTTTATTATTGAAATAAATAAAAAAAAAAATTTCTTGTATTTTCAAAAACTTTTTACAATAATACGAAGAAAATAAAAAAAAAATCTTGAAATAGATTCTAACCCTTTTAAAAAGTTTCACTAATTTAAAATTTCATCAATGGAATTAAAAAATCTGGAACACGGTTGAAAATATCTCAGACTGGATATCTGAGAGAAGAAGAAGAAGAAGAAAAAAACGACGAAAAAGAAGAAGGAGGAAGCTCGTCTTTTAAGAAAATTAGAAAAAAGAAGACAAGACTTCGAAATAAATTCGGATGCAAGTTATTTTTGTTGTAAGCGATCATGTCAATCTCTACGTGGGTTTCTTTTTTTTCTCTTCGCGGGTGACGTAAAATATTTCACGACTAAAGAAAAATCTTTCGTTATAGTCTCGAATACATCCACCTGTTTCGAAACGAATTTCACACGACGTGAGGGAATCACACACGTCCTTCCTTGCATGGTAGCGTGAATATTTGGAGTCACCCTTGATAAATTTAGAAATTAGGTATCAAGGCCAAACAATCAATATGAAAAAATAAATTATTCTCAATCACTTGCCTTTTTGTGTCAATAAAAATTTTTCATATAATTTGACAAAACAATTAATTATATTGAAATCAAATAAACGTCAATTTATTTTTCATTATTATTTTTCCATATCTTCATTAATGTCAATTATTATGTAATTTAAAAAAAGAAATTAAAAAGGAAAATTCTATTTCCTATTTTTATTTGAAATTAAAAGACAAATTAATTAGATAATAATATTGTAAAGTAACCAAATTAATTTTGTAATTTTTGATAATTTTTCACTATATTATTAATTTTTATTCAAATATATTGTCATTTTGTATGACAATATAAATGTTCGAATTTACAAATATGATTGCAATAATAATAAATCAAAAGGATCGTAAAAAACATCTCGCGAAGCAAATTGATTATATTTTGGACAATTGAATATGTTAAATTGTGCGAGAATCTCGTAAAGTTACTGAGAAATTATGAAAACACAACAGCGGAAGTAATGATTTCCTTAAGACAAACAGCTTCATGTTAAAATCGTACGTTTGCTTTAAAAAAAAAAAGAGTGGAGAAAAAAAATAATAATAATTCTAGACCGGAAGAACGTTTTCACGAAACGAGGCTTGAATGACGTTTCAACTTCTCTAACATCAAAGGGAATTCTATTCTCGAAGATTTGTAGAAAACTTACTTTCATTTACCTTACATTCATTAGGAAAATAAGCAAAAATTTAAACAAGTTACAAAAAATTATTTTAAAATTATTTACGAAATTTTATCATATTAAATTATTATCATTTTAGCTATTTTTATTAAATTTAATTATAAAAATAAATAAATAAAAGTAAAATAAAAATAAAAATTGGATAAGAATTCAACTGAATTCACTTCGTGTCAAAAAAAAAAAAAAAACTTTCCCTCGCCAAATTTGGATTCTTGTTTCAAAAGATAAACACTGCAATGACTTTGAAAACTAAAAATATTTTCCGTCACATTGGAGAATGAAATTTCTAAAAAAAATATTTGTCAAACTATCGAAATCTACAGGATCAAAAACAAAAATTCTAGATTAAGAAATTGTTTCACAATTTTTTTTTGAAACTAAAGAAATTCTTGGGAAACTTTACAGAAAAAAGAAAATCACTTCCCTCATAAATTTTTGTTTGCAAAAAAAAAGGAATTTTCTGAATCCTAAAAAAAACTGCGGGAGAAATTCAAATGAAAGAAATCCTAATCAACTTTAGAAAAAAAAATTTTCATCTTAAAATAATTATTTTTTCAGGAAAAGAAATAAATTCCTTGAAATTAAAAAAAAATTTTATTCTTTTTCGAAGGCAAAAATTTTCTGGATCATAAAAAAAATGGTTTTGATGATAAAATGGAATTTAAAAATTTACTGAAACAAAAATGAATTTTCTAATAAATTTTGAAACGCCAAAGAAAAATTGCAAACTTTTTGGATTTTCAAAAAATTGAAAAATTTCCAAAAAGAATTTTTCTCTAATCAACTTTGGAAAACGAGAAAATTTTAAATTAAAAGAAAATGTCTTTTCGATATAAATTAGAATTGAGAAGCTAACAAAAAAAAAGAATTATACTAAAATTTTTTAATTTTGAAACAAAATGAAAACAAAATGAATTCTCAAGATTTAAAAAAAATCAAAGAGAAAGTAAAACTGAAAAATTTACATAAACAAATTTTCCTCTGATTTGAGAAACGAAAAGTTTTTTAATAAAAAATTTCTGTTTAAGATTTAAAATAGTAGTAAAAAAAAACTCACAAAAATAATAAGTACTTCCGTAAACAATAAAAATGGAATTTTCTTTATCTTAGAAAAAATCTAAAAAAAAAAGAAAAATTAAAAATAAATAGAAAAGGATTTTTTTTAAAAAAATTTAAGAAAATAAACAAATTTTTATCAAAATAAAAAATAGAATTGCAAAATGCATAAAAAGAAAAATCACTTCCCTAATCAATTTTTGACAGCAAAGAATTGGAACTTTCGGATCTTAGAAAATTTCATAAGAAAGTAAACTTATTGAAAAAAATTACAAGAAGAAATTTTTTAACCAACTTTAGAAAAAAGAAATTTTTTTTTCTAAAACATAGAAAAAAATCAATTTGAAAAATTCACAAGAAAAAAAAAATCTTTTCAATTTTGAGATATAAACATATTTTTGTGTCGTAATTTGAATTATTTTTTTTAAGTAAAATTGTTATTTCCAAAAAAGAAAAACAATAAAATAAAAATTTCCCATTAAAAGGGGATGATGAGAATTTCTATTTCTCCCTTGAATTTCTAATTTTCATGAAGATGATAGAGCGGAAGAAAGACAGAATCACTGATACTAAGTGTCTTGGGGGATGAAACTGACATATTTTGCGGTCTGTTTGGAGAAGCCTGGTGCCGCCTAGTTCGGAAAGCGTCGCGACGCCTCGGGAAGCAAGCCTTTTTCGTGCCTGTTGGGCAGGAACCATCATCCAAAAATGCGGGGGCGTTTAAACGAGAGCATATATTCGACGTCGCGACGCTTCTTCGGCACAGACGCCACTACACTCTGTCCCGTGCACGGTACGTACTTTCACTTCCTGATCAATCAAAAAAAAAAAAAAAAAAATATCTTATCATCTCTCTCTCTAAACTTCGATTGTTCGATTCTGGGATTAATACGGAAAAAAAAGAAAATTTTGTGCGGTTTACCTTTAAAAAGAAAAACATTTTTTTTTCCACTTTGTGCTTCGCGGTTCCAACTTCCGGTTCGGTGGTGAACACGATGGTGAAATTATCTCTATACACATTCAGTGCTCGTGGTTAAAAGATTTCTTCGTCACGTTACATTTTTCCTTCAAGAAGCTCTCCTTCGCCAATCAGTCTTCCTGAGTATACAAAAAAGAAAAATTAGAAATTTTTTAGTCTTCATTTTTTTTTTAATGTCTAAAATTTCATTCAAAATTTAAATTTCAATAGTTTGAAATTCAATTTTTTTTTAAATTTCTATTCATATTTTTCAAATTTCTATGAATTTAAAATAATTGAAAATTGAAATTCTTTAAAATTTAACTTTCAATATTTTGAAATTCAATTTCCTTTAAATTTCTATTCATATATTTTTCAAAATTTTTATGAATTTAAAATAATCAAATTTTTAAGTAAATGAAAAAATTTTCAAAAACCGGAAGTAATCGAAATTACTATTTGAAATTGAAAGTGTTGTTTGAAATTTTCCAAACTGAAATTAAAAATTAAATTCATTATTAAAATAAAAATTAAGTATATTATTATTATAATTATGATTACTTAAATCATCTTTACTTGCAATAATTAATATTAATAGATTATTGATATTATTATAATGTCAATTTATAATTATTGTTATAAATTATTATAATTAGTATCTAAACGAAAAAAAACATAAATTTTGAAGAAAATGTAATTATTACGAAATTTGCAGTCAAAAAGTTCAAACAATTATTACAAGCAATAAAAATAAAAAAGTTTCTCAAAGTTGCAATTAATTTCTGAAATATTTCGTCTAAAGTCGTAATATAAATATTCTCGTAATATATTATCGCTTTTACAATTTTCTGCTATTGTTCAAATTAATAGACAATTTTAGTAAAAAAAAAATATATAAAATACTTTCAAGAGAAAATTGTTTAAATAAAAATTAATTTTTGATAAATACAGGATTATTTTATCTGTGACACAAATAATTTATATATATTTTAAAATTAATTATTTAAAAGAATTCATAACTTATTTGTTCTATTGATCCGTTATTTATATAATAATCGAATTTATTGATAAAGAAATTCTATTATTTTCAATAGCATAAAATATTTTTTAAATAAAATTTTACAATTAATTTAAAATAAAAATTAAAAATTAACGTAAAAAAAAAGTTGAAATTCATAGACGTGAAAGTTATATTACGAGAATAGAAATACCAATATATTGTTTCCTGTTGTTTACATTTCTTTTTTTTAATTGGTATGTTCCACATTTCCAATCCAATATCAGTAAACAAAGTTCTGTTTATCAGAATATGGCAAAGTGCCATTTTGAAAAATATCCAAGTTCATGATCGCGTGAGTGACTTTATGCTTTGAAGGAAACCCAAATATTGAATCATCTTTTTTTTTTTGTAAAATATACTTTCTATATAAAAATAAAATTCAAAAACAAAAAGAAATTATCAATTTTTCAAAAAAATTGTGTCACAAAATAATTTTTTTTTATCATAATTTTCAACATTTTTTTATCCAACTGATAAGAAAAACATGGAAATAAAAACTTTTATCATTCAAGAAATAATATGATTCGATTTTAATTATTAAATCTCGTTGAAAATGAAAATTATTTCAATAAACTAATTATTTTTATTTTAACTGTTAAATGGATATGATTTTTAATTTGTAATCATTTAATTGAAATAATTTTCATTAACAAAAATAAAATAATGAAAAATTATTTTTATGCAAGTAATAAAACTAAAAAAATACAAAAGAATTCATATTCTCTTTAAAAGTTAATTGTCCAATAAATTTAAGAATAAAAATTTCTCAACAAATTTGTTAAACGTAATTTATAACTTATTTTCAATTTTTTTTTTATCACTTAATTTGTAAAAATTTCAGAATAAATATTTTTTTTCAATTTTTTTTCAAATAAACGATTTTTAGAATTATTAAATAATAAATTTGAAATTTTAATTAGAAGTCTATTTAAAAAAAAAATTAATTTTAAATTGAATATGTAAAAAGAAATAAAAAAAAATTGTCGATTTCTTAAAAAACTTGTGAAGACGAAATATTTCAGAACAAATAATTGAACATATTCTAAATTTGGAGAAATTAACAAAGCCGAAGGTCTGAATGGACTCGAAGTTTTCACGAGTGCCAAAAATATCTCAACGAGGCTTTATAAGGTCATGCCTCCCTTAAACGTGATGGTCTCTCTATAAATATAGAACCCCCCCCCCCCCAGCGTGTGTGTTGTGAGAGCAGAAGTAAAAAAAAAAAGAAAGAAAAAAGTCTTACCCACGTGTGTGATAAATATCAAATTGAAGATTTCTATTCTCAGGACGATAATTTTTCTCACATTCTATTTGAAGAAAAATATATGAAAATTTTATCTCGATTTTTTTTTTTGAAAAATAAAATTCTCCTCGTAATCGAAATTTTTGTTTAAAAGGTCTTTGGCCGGTTTCCGCGATTACGCTTTTCTTGTAAGAATCACATAATCTTGGCACGCGTGTATGCGTTCTTCGACGCTGGCAAAAGGCGTCGGGGTCCATAAACGACTCTTGAACTTATAGGGAGCGTCCGTCGTTCTCGTCTAAAGTTAGCGTGCTTGGCTGAAAATAGCGTCGCGACGCCGTGGCTATATCTCACTCTCTTTCTCTTTCTCCTCTCGGTGCTACTCCTCAGGACGCCTATCGTTTTATAGGCAACTGGGTCATTTCTGGCACGCGAACCTGCAACATTAACCAGAAAACGTTACATATTTCTTTGAAAAATTCTTTAATTTTCCGAAACACATTTATCAATAAAATTCAAATTTAACATCAAAATTCTTTTATTAAAATTTTTAGTCCTCTTTTTTTTTCTTTATTCTTTTCTTTAGATTTGAAACAAAATCAATAAAAATTTCCAATTATTCTCAATTTATAAAGATTTTTACAGCATTTTTTAAATTAATGTAAGCTGAAATTTTTTTTTTTTTTTTTATGTCTAATATAATAAATTGAAGGCTACAAATTAATGTTACCGGTACTGCGAAATTAATTAGTATTTAGTTCATGAGAAGAATTATCCAATCAATGCGCGTCACAAGATTATTTGCGAAACAAGAGTGATTCATTTGAAAAGGATAGCAGGATGAGCCAAAAATTCTTAACAGCTATTTTAATCTCAAAGCCCTAAAATTCTCAAAATTTGAGAATAATTGTTCATTCCGAATTAAGCGAAAATGAAATTAATTTTCTTCAATGATAGACATACCATATTAGATCTTATCACTAAAATCGGTAAATTACTATTTCACTTTTAATCAAAAGCTACTAAGTGACAAGAAAATAAAATAAATTTTAAAAAAAGTTACAGGAGTACAAAATAAGAAAGTAATAAATACACTAAGAAAAAAAAATAACAAAGAATTCTACGATCAATCGAAGTTCGTCAATTATCTATGGAGAAGCATTATTATTATTATTATTCTCTACAAATGTATTTATTAATTTGAATTTTCAGTGGATGGAATTTTATAAAATCGAATTTTTATTTATCGAAATTTATAAAATTAAAAAATTTCATGAATTTTTTTTTCTTTTGAAGAATTTCTAGTTATTCGAATTTTTTCATATCATATTCTTTAGTTTACTGATTTTTTGTTTAACAAAATTTTCATTTAACAACATTTATATTTCCATATAACAGAATATCTATATAAGGAAATTTTTGTTTAATTGAATTTATATTCGCTCAAATTTTTGTAGAATTTTTATAAAATAAATTTTTTAAAAATAAATTTTATTGTAACAGAATTAACTTTGTTTAAGGAAAATTTTGACACACAATAGGAAGAGAAGTTACTTCCACTTTACATTTTGATAATTTTTAAATAAAATACAATTTACAATTAAAAAGTATTTCAGTGAATAATGAATAATTTTAATTTTTGACACTTTTAATTATTAAAAATTCACAATGGATAAATATTAAAAATTTCTGAGATTAAGAATAAATTTCGGTAAACATAACATAAAATTCCATAATTATTTTTCAATCTCCGAAAGTTTTAATCTTTATTCAATGACAACTTTTAATATGTCCAAGTTACAAAAATTAAATTTTTTCATACTTTTACTGAAATATTTTTTAATTATATATATATATTAAATTTTATTTAAAAATTATCTGAATGTATAGAGTTGGACTAACTTCTGTTCTGATTGTGTGCTCCATTTTTTTTCAATGAAAATTCAGCTAGTCATTTTATTTCAAAAATTTTTAAATTAAACGCCTTTTGCGCTTTGTTTTGCGTTATATGGTTGGCAATGTTGTCAACCAGATTCATAACCTAAAAATTTAATTATTTAATTTTTTTTTACTTTTGTACATCAACTTTGAGAATTAAAGTTTCTGTCTGTACTTTGCGTTTTTTAATTTAAAAAAATTATTTCATAAATTATTTTGTAAATAATAATTCGTTTTTTCATTACAATTTTTATTTAATTTCAAGGGTACGGCCATAGCTCAGCTATCTAAGTAGGGTTGTCATGGTAACGTATAAGAGTGAGAGAAATAAAGAATGTTCTTATTTCTCTCACTCTTAAACGTTGTCATGACAACCATACTTAGATAGTTGAACTGTACGGCAGTACCCTTAAAATTAAAATGAATCTGATCTCATTCATTTTGAAATTTTTTGCTTAAACTCGAAATAACTTGAAGCGGTATCATTTTTGCTGCTTCTCAAAATCCATATCGTACGTGTATCATTTATAATCCAAATTTTTTCTGTACTATTCGATTAAGTAACAATTCATAAAAAATCGATTCAATATAAATTCTATAGGTAATTTTATATAAATTTTCAATAAAATAGAAATTCGATTAATTATTAAATTAGAAACACTGAAAATTCCGACTTGTTAGAGAATATTCATGAATCTCATCATGAAAGAAAAAAAAAATGAAAAACACCAAAAACTAAACAAACAATTTTCGATTAATTTGCAGAACGTAGAAAGACAGCGAAACCAAAATGTGTGACGACGACGTAGCAGCTCTTGTCGTAGACAATGGATCCGGTATGTGCAAAGCCGGTTTCGCCGGAGATGACGCGCCACGTGCCGTCTTTCCATCCATCGTAGGTCGCCCCCGTCATCAGGGAGTGATGGTCGGCATGGGACAGAAGGACAGCTACGTGGGCGATGAGGCCCAAAGCAAGAGAGGTATCCTCACCCTGAAATACCCCATCGAGCACGGAATCATCACCAACTGGGATGACATGGAGAAGATCTGGCATCACACCTTCTACAATGAATTGAGAGTCGCACCCGAGGAGCACCCAGTCCTCCTGACCGAGGCTCCCCTCAACCCCAAGGCCAACAGGGAGAAGATGACGCAAATCATGTTCGAAACCTTCAACAGCCCGGCCATGTACGTCGCCATCCAGGCCGTGCTCTCGCTCTACGCCTCCGGACGTACCACCGGTATCGTCCTCGACTCCGGCGACGGTGTCTCCCACACCGTGCCCATCTACGAGGGTTACGCCCTTCCCCATGCCATCCTCCGTCTCGACTTGGCCGGTCGCGATCTCACCGACTACCTCATGAAGATCCTCACCGAGAGGGGCTACTCCTTCACCACCACCGCCGAGCGGGAAATCGTCCGCGACATCAAGGAGAAGCTCTGCTACGTGGCCCTCGACTTCGAGCAGGAAATGGCCACCGCCGCCGCCAGCACCTCCCTCGAGAAGAGCTACGAGTTGCCCGACGGACAGGTCATCACCATCGGCAACGAGAGGTTCCGCTGTCCAGAGGCCCTCTTCCAGCCTTCCTTCTTGGGTATGGAGTCCTGCGGCATCCACGAGACCGTCTACAACTCCATCATGAAGTGCGACGTCGACATCCGTAAGGACTTGTACGCCAACAACGTCCTCTCCGGAGGCACCACCATGTACCCAGGTATCGCCGATCGTATGCAAAAGGAAATCACCGCCCTCGCTCCATCCACCATCAAAATCAAAATCATCGCACCACCCGAGAGGAAATACTCCGTCTGGATCGGTGGCTCCATCCTTGCCTCCTTGTCCACCTTCCAACAGATGTGGATCTCCAAACAGGAATACGACGAATCAGGTCCCGGAATCGTTCACCGCAAGTGCTTCTAAGCAGTTTATCTCAATACAATTTATTATTATTATTATTATTAATTATATTATTATTATTATTTACACTTTTCCTTCGAAGTACCACACATTGCCGCGTCGGCCAATCAGCTACTTTAATTACTATTACTATTTTGTACTTAGTCGCGAGTTTGCTGATAATGGTCGTCATTCAAACAGAAACGTCATCTTTTGTATATAAGTTTACATCTATGGAATAAAATATAATCTTATATTCTTACAGCGGTTTAATTCATAATCTTTCATTTCGGTATACCCTACATTTCATCATAAGAAGGCGAAAGAATGAGTGGTACTCTTATATCTCTTACGAAAAAATTTATTTCAATTCTAATTTTTATGCATCAATTTTTTTTGTTGTTGTTCATTTTAATACTATTCAAATTTTATTGCTGAGGATTAAAATTTTGAATTTAAATTAAGAAATAAGTTTTCAAAAAATGAGAAATCTACCATTATGAAAAATAATTTCTGGAATAATTATTGGAATCATTACTAAAATAATTATTGGGAATAGTGACTGGGATATTTACTGAAAACTATGAGAAATTTTTGCGCCACTAAGTTTCCATAGCTTCAATGCCTATGTAATAGTATTTTATTGTAAATTAAATGCATAGGAATATGTTTAACACAAAATTATGATTCCATTGAAATTTAAAAAAAATATATTTTGCGAAAAAATTACTGGAGTTTCCAGTAATTAATACAGTAATTATTACCATAATTATTCCAGTAGTTATCCCTATAATTATGCCAGTAATTATTTTTCATAAGGACATATTTTTTGTTATTTCGAGAAATTTAAACAAATTACATTTTTCACTTAACCACAGTTAATTTTAAGGAAGAAAAATTTTTTTTTAATTATTTTTTTTGTTTCATTTTTAACTAAATTCTATCATAATTGGAGAATTTTTAAGTTTTGGTAATTTTTTCTAGCAAAAAGAATTAAAATTATAAATCATAAACCAAGATGTTTTTAAATTAAAATTTCTTTGTTAATAATTTTTTTTAAGAAAGATTTTTTTTCTTAAATTTAACAATAACAGAACAATTAGAAAAGTCTTTAATATGTTAAATTTGCGTTTATCTCCTCTTTTTTGAAAAATGGATTTATCAACTTTTGCAAAATTGCTCCTCAATTTTATTTTTATTTCTTTCAATGTTTAGTGAAGATGATTTTTAATTGAAATTGATTAATAAGGAAATTAAGGAGACAGTATGGTAATAATAACCATAAACGTTGCTTAAAAAACGTCGATGAAGTTCAAAATGTTTACGATCAACAAATAAGAAGATAAAATATTTTTCTGTTCAAATTATTATAATGTTTTGTCTAAAAAAAATGTTTGAAACGATTCTCGATCAACTATATTATTAAAATAAAATTTTTTAGGCAAAAAATTAATTATTATTTTCCAAATGAAAAATATACTATATATTTTTTTCAATCGTTGATTATATAAACATTGTGAATTTTATGACATAAATTTTTAAAATTTATACAATAGTGATAAGTGTCCTAAACATTTTAAGTCCCATTTTAGTACTCATAAAGGAAAAATGTATTTTTTGATTTAAATCACTTTATAGGTTTCAATTTTTAATCAAATTAATTATTTTTAAATCTTCATAATTAAATTCTCTATCGATAACATGATAAATTAATAATTAAATTCAAAATAAGTAGTTGATAACAATTAAATTTAAATTAATTGAGAAATTATGGTTTATTATAGTTTTAGTATAATTTATTATTATAATATAAAACTATTAATTCTATTCAATTTAACAAAAGAAAAAATAAAAACAAAAAGGGACATTATTTAATCCATTCAGCAATTTTTAATTTTTTTAAAAAATTTTTTAAATACATCTAAGTCTTATAGAATGTTCTCAGTTACTTTTGAAATAATAAATTATAATAATATGTTCATTCATCACATTGTCAAACAATATAAGACGAAAATTGCATTTTGCAGTATTTTCTCGTTTCTACAGCTTAAATGTCCTCATCAGAAACTATAAAAAAATTTATTGAAAACATTTTTTAAAAATTGAAATAATATACAATTTAAAAAAAAAAACATTAAATAAAAATAAAGACAAATTAAAATTTATATGTATACCTAAAATCAAAAATCAAGTTGAACACATAAAAGATTATTAAAATATTTTTCTTTGTAGTAATTTTTTATAAAAATATTTCTAAAAAAAATTTTATATTATTCTAATTTTTAATAAGTGTTTTATAGATTTATTATTTCCCAAAAACAATTACGATGTCTAACAAGTAGTTATAAGAATTAAAAAAAAAGAGAGAAACAACTCTTTTTCCATACAATTATAATATTTTTCGTAAGAGATATTGATCCACGTACAATTAATAGGCGTTGATAAAAGTATAGAACTATTACATATCATATCGAAATGATATCAATTTCATAATAATCTGATTACTTAAATGCCTCACAAATAATATATAGCTGTAGCAAATCGGAAGTTTACTTAAATCTATAGAAATTAGGAAAAAAATTTACGTCGATTTTGAAATTTCCGGAATGAGATTTTCGTCATATAAAAATTTTAAAAAAGAAATTTTTTTTAAGAAATCTAAATATTAAAAATATTTTCGAAATCAATTAGTAAATTAATAATAATTAATAGTAATTAATCATTATTATTATAATTAATAGTAATTAATTATTATTATTAATAGTTTTAAAAATTTTTCGTAATAACTTTCCTTTATAAATTTTCAATTCTAAAATCAAAAATATCAAAAAAAAATTAACAGGTTCCTCACCTCAATTACACAGGAAAATGACATGATCTTGTTACTCATTGGCATTAAGCCAATAATATGAAATATTTCTTTCTCTCTACGAAATCTCGAGGATAACGAACGCATTAATAATATGCGTATGAGAAATCTTGACCTTTAAATTTCATTCATTTTAATTTAAATTTGTACTTATTCAATAATATTTAAACAAATTAATTCCTAATTAAAATTTTTTTAATAGCAAAAAAATTTCTTTAATATTTTCAAAAGAGGAGCTATTAATTCTTAATCTTTTTTTCCCATGAAATACGAGTTAAAAATTAAAATAGAAATTTAAAAAAAAGGGAAAAAATTCAAACATAAAAAAAGGAAAATTAAAAATAAAAAACTAAAAAGAGGAATAGTGGAAAAAGAATTAATTGAATCTATTTTTCAACATCTTTTTTCGATCGTGAGATTCAATTTAATTTCCTAAACAAAAGGGTCATGCGTGTCAAAAAGGGGGGAAAAAAAAAATTATTGTCACCTTTCAATATTTTCCCTCGTTTTCCATACTAGTGAAGATTATCGTGATCCAATTCTCTTTCTCAGGATCATTTCATCTCATTTTTATTTGCGATTTTTTTTTCTTTTTCTTTTCTATAATCGCTAAAATTGCTTCCTTCATTTAAATTTCGTCCTTTTGAGTCCACTATGAGAAATTTCTTCTTTTCTTTTGAAATTAAATAATATAAGAATATTTTCCATTTCTTCATTTAAATAAATCATTTTCCTTACCTGAATTTTTCCGTCTTAATTTTGTCTTTCATCAAAAAATTTTTCCTCATTTGAATATTTTCATTAGGCATTCTCTTCATTTCAATTATTTCCCAACTAATTTCTTTCACTGGATCATTGGAAAAAAGTTTCCTCCGCCTGGAAAGATGGAATCTCGTGTTAGAGAAAAAAAAAAAACCAAAGTGTTAGTAATTCGCGGAAAAATTTTGTTTATTTCTTTTTTTCTATTTTAGGTCAAGAAGAAAGAAAGAAAGAAAGAAAGTCGCGTTCGCGGGGTTGAAAGTCGGGAATGCGAATCTCCCGATGTTGAATATTGGTTGCTGGTGGAAGGCCACCTCATGGAGGGCTTAAAGACACTCTTTCACATCTGGTGGGGAACGCTGATCCCTTATTTGGGTTCAAGGGGCGTCGCCTTTAAACGTGTGTGTTTGAGACACATATGCTAATGCGTCGCAACGTTTAAGTTTTCTTTAGGGCGAACTAAGGACTATAAACGAAACTTTGTTTGGTGTGTGAGTATTCGTCAAGCAGATTTCCTTCTAAGGGGCGGATCGCTATTTTCAGCACGAACCGATATGGATAAAGGGACCTAACTTCGCCAGCAAAGCACCACTCGCTGCTCGGTCTCTTGCACGACAAAACGCCAAACAGTGCATCACTGATTTTTTATTCTCGTTCACGGTACTTATTCTATTTTCTTTTTTTTTTTTTGCAATCTTACATATATATTTTTTTTTTTCAATATTCTCAAGTTCTACACAACTCACCTGGATTTTGTTTTTGTGCTTTTAAATAATTGTGCCTCCTCTGCTTTGGATTAATTCGAATTCCTTAGTGTATGAAAATTTAATGATCATTGAAAATTTGTTTGAAGATCATTTTCATATAATTACGAACACATCTGCCTCTGTGGAGGAAAATTTTTTCAAATCCAGAAACAAAAGATTGAGATTTTATCTCTTTATGGAAATCGAATTTTTCCACTTGTCCTTTCAAAAAACCTCTGAAACAAAGAAAATGTTCATTTATACAAAAAAAAGTGCTTTTTAAAGGATATTTTGTGATTGTGAATTGAAATTTAATTAAAATGGTGTTAATATAACGGTTTTTTCATTTAAAATTAAGATTTCAATGTTTGTGGAAAGTGTTGCCAACTTTAATGTCTCTCAGAAGTTGAGGGATTTCCCTACTTTTATTCATGAACATTTTTTGTAGATTTCAAATATTAAAGTGATATTTTTTATTTATTTGAACGTTTCTAGTAAAAAAAAAATTTATTTTCCATAATTCTCAATTTTAAGTAATTTTTTTTTTTTTTTTTGAACGGTTAAATATGTTTCATTTATAATTTGTAACTTTTAATTCATAGCACAAATTATCAATGAAGAAAAAGTAAAATTATATCTCAAAATAATTTACATTAATTGAAATTTTTTTAATATAGAAAAAGAACGTAATTTTTAATTAAGAAATTATTAATTTAAAAAAAAAAAATGTTATATAAACTTATACTACACTAAATATAAATATTGTAATAGCTGATACAAATTCTCATGTATACAATTTGTAATTTGCAGAATTATATTTTGGAGCGCAAATTATGAAAGTAAAAATTTAATATTGTTACATTTTTATATAAGAGATTTAATTGTTTTGAAAAGTTATT